GTGGAGGGGAGCACTGTGGTGAAAAAAGGAAAAAAAAGAGAAAAGGGGGGGAAATGTCAGAGCAAAACAACATGTTAAAGAGGTTGATGTACAAAATGTAATAGTATGTAATAAATGTGATAAATCAAAAAAAAATACAGACCCCAAAAGTTTTAATTTTACTTGCTATGTCTCCAGTGCTCCCCACATGGGAGTGGTTTTGTGGGGAAAATATAACTGTTAGGTTGGAGACTCAGAATAATTTGAATTGTCACTGCTCTATGCTGATGTATGATTAGGCCAATAAAACTGACCTTATAATTTCCTTCCACAGGAAATTACTGCCCATTCAAATTAATTTGGCACATTACTTTGTTTGATTAAACTAACTGCTGTGTGTAGATGTGAGAGAAGCACCACTTTTGTGGTATGGCTAGAAAGTCATTTGTTCAATTAGCACTCTCCAGTGAAGCATGTACTTTTGATTTCAATCAAGTGTAATTAATGTGTACTGGTTGCATGTGTCACAGGCACAACAAGGGAGGGGGTCTTTTTAACCCTTTGAACAATTCTGGTTTTGTTACTCCAAATCAAGATTGTCCGCACACAGTTCAGCATCTACAATTACTTTAAAAGGAGTCTCCAGTGGCGCAGTGGGTTAAACCCTTGTGCTGGCAGGACTGAAGACCGACAGGTTGGAGGTTGGAATCCGGGGAGAGTATGGATGAGCTCCCTCTGTCAGCTCCAGCTGCAGAGACATGATAGAAGCCTCCCACAAGGATGATAAAACATCCAACATCTGAGCATCCCCTGGGCAACGTCCTTGCTGACTGCCAGTTCTCTCACGCCAGAAGCAACTTGCAGTTTCTCAAGTCACTCCTGACACGAAAGAAACAACAACTTTCAAACAGTAGTTCTCAACCTGTGGGTCCCCAGATATTTTGGCCTTCAACTCCCAGAAATCCTAACAGCTGGTAAACTGGTTGGGATTTCTGGGAGTTATAGGCTAAAAACATCTGGGGACCCCAGGTTGAGAACCACTGTTTTAAACAATATTGTTATTGTCATCTGTATTGTGTGTTTTATCTGTGTGTCACTTTTCTAAGGTGAAATACTAAAAGCATTTGACAGCAATTTTAGAAGAAACTGATGTAAGCTGTTGTACCTGAGAGACCTAAGAAATACAAGCTGAAAGAATAATAGAGCAAAGAGAAAGAAGACAACTGAGATGTGCTAACCTGGAGAGATATCTTCAGAAGGAAAGACGGGGTTATAATTGTAGCTAGAACACACTAGCAACAATCCAGCCCACGCCACCTTGGTCACATTTAGCTGGACTTAATGGAGGCTATTTGGGTGATGGTGACATTGCCCTATGTCACCAAGTGCTAGGAATGGAAAGCTCACTTCTTAATGGCCTTACTTGACCCAATGAGTGTTCCTAAAATATTATAGCTGACCATGGGGTGACAGTCACTCAGATGACCAGAAAGCATCAGCCAGGCCTCCCATATGTGGGTGCTTAAACTCTCCATTTGAAATCAGTGTGGTTTCCATGTGGCTTAATTTGGCTGGCTCAGGTCTTCTTTTAGAGTTATCCCCTATTACAAGGTCCATTTCCCCTCTTTGAAAATAAGAAAGCACTAATAATGACAACAAGAAATACCCCTCATTCTGTGAAAGATTTATATCCGGAGATGTGGAGGAGGAGGGAGGATTGTATTGTACCAGGACTTTTTACTGTCAAAAAGACCTGCGATGAGAATGAAAGGTTGTTAAGGACCAAAAAAAAAAAAAAAAAGAGTTATTGCTGCCCTTTGAAACCCCACCTGCTAACGTCATTGTCAACCACTGGCTGTTTTCATGTCTCTACAGCTATAAGAGTGATCGGTTTCCCTGTAGGTTACTAAGCAGCTCAGCAGGGAGGAGGAAAAGCCCAAATTGTTGGTAAGTTTTGTTTTCAACAAATATAATTTGTGCATCTCTAATGTTCTACAATATTTTCATTTTTTTATTCTATTCAGCTTGAGATGAGTTATTTAATTCAAGAAAATCAAGAAGCTAAGGTAGAAGGCAGTGCGAATAATACTAGGGTGGCTTTTGTGTATAGATTTAACACACAGTACATATAGACTTTGTAATTTGTTGCTGGGTTAACCTGTTTGTGTGGTTAAATTCAAGTTTCATCTGATCCTTCAAGTGAGGAGGACTTAGGCTCTTTTACTTCCCATACAGCCGCCTGCTCTTTCCAGTATGCGGAAGCTGGTGATTTTGGTCCAATGCACAATCCTGCTTTTAAGAGGGTTGTGTCAAGGAGCTCCATTACGGCCTGAGGAGACGTGGAAATCTCTGGACAACCCTAGAAACAGGGAATTGGTAAGATAAACTTGGGGGGAATGCCTGTGCCACTTGTGAGCAAAAACATCTAGCTCTGTGTCAGACCTTGTTCAATTCAAATACACATGTGCAGCACAGTATGGCTACATTAGTACTCAAAACAGAAGTACAGTATACGTTTAGAATGAGTAGGGTCACACTTTAATACATCCTCTTTTCCTTTAATTATTGGTTGCCATCAGTTCCTAAAGGGTTAATTTTTCAGGATATTAAATGCTGAATAGTTCTGTTTCTCCTTTGTAGAGAAAGAAGAGAAATAGCTATTCTAAATGAGATGCTATTTTGAATACTATACTTATGAGCTTGTTGTCCCTACGAGCTATTAAACTGGAGATGCTTGGGCACAGTAATCAGTTGGACATAATATTTTATTTATTGCCTTCTGTCCAACTATTAATAGTAAGAAGTTGGCTTGAAAAGATTATATCTACAGTTTGTACCTGACCGCGAACATACGTGTTGATTAAAAGAGAGAGTGGCTTTATCTGCTTTGTATCGATTAGAAAAATGTATATTGCTTTCTGGAAGAAATGATAAAATTATGTATTACAGAACTATTGAAAGGATGTTAGAAGAATCTGTTAATTAAAAAGAGAAACCACCAGCATGTTACTACCTAAGTACTCACTTGTTGACATATTCACAGATATACCTATTTGCATGCTTTTATGGTCCCATTTTTATTGCAATAGTTCTAATAGGTAAAAATTTCCTTATACTCGGAGCTTCTGAAATATAGGATACTATTATCAAACTTTTCAAAAATGAGAGAACATGTATTGACAGATGCCTGTTTTACAATGTGAATTTTCATCCAGTTTTTCAGAACTCTCAACGCTTATATTTCTGGGAAAGACTTGAATCTCATAAAGTTTCCAGATGGTTTCTCAGTTAATGATAAACCAAAACCAGTCGCTTTCCATTCGGATCCTGTTGCTTCTGCGTACGCAGATTTTGAAGAACAGAAAAACTTACTTACACATTATCTCAAAGACTGAAAAATGTGTATCAAGGTAAATAAAATACAGCCTAGTGCTGATCCTTCATCCTCACACAAGTCAATGAAATCTGATGAAATGTCTAAACACAGTTTGGGACATTTCTATAATTATGCAACACATTAATTGACTTGCCTTGTACATTTAAATCCCCCCTATAGAATTGACAGCCATGTAATAGCTTATCTTACATAATATAATTCTACGAAAGCAACTAACTTTGCACAAGCAATTGTTGCACTGATATTTATGTCTGAAGTTGCTAGTAATAAGTGGATCCTATCCTCTTGTTTGATTTGAAAGGAACCGTTTAAAAGAAAATAATCTGGGAAGCATTAACTTAGATGAGTTAAACTGCATCCGTTTAATGTCAATTTATCATATGCAAACTTTTTTCTTCTATGTGTGACACCATTTCTCCATTAGTCGGTCATACTTTCCTGATTTGAGTCTCCATATTACAGAACTAGCAGTTACATTATTAGTGAAGGTAAAGGTTTTAATTGGAAAAGAAGCCCTTACTGTTGCATATTTATGGATGCCATTGTTGTTATTTTAATCCCAGACTAAGAAAAAAACAGGGTAAAAGATTGTATGGATTCATAATCCTTTCCCTTAATTACCTTTCAGGAAAGTAGATGGAATTAAAGTGGATCCTTGGCATCCGCAGGGGTTTGATTTCTAGGGCTCTTGGTAGATAGCAAAATCTATGGATGCACATCCCATACCATAGTAAAATGGTGTTCCTTACAGAAAATGACAAATAACTTTTAATGCTGGGGATGATCTGAGGATCTCTCCAGCACTACAGTAGCAATATGCTGACACATCAACGTAGTGCTTGGCATGTGGCAAACTTGAAAGTTTGCTTTTTGGATCAACCGCCCCTGAGTAATGGTTGGTTGAAACCTTGGATGCAGAACCTTTGGATACGGAGGGCCAACTGTGGGTCACTAATACCCACAGAGCTGGCCATTGAGTCTTTTTTTTAAAATATATATTATTTATTTATAAATTTTCCATATACAGTGAAAGGGGGGGAACAGTCTTCCGGATAGAAAGATTAGAAAGTTTAGGGGTAAGCGTGGGGGGGGGGGAGAGGGTGAGTGAGGGGTGAAGAAGGGGGGTAGGATGGGAGGGTAAGGGAGGGGGAGTGAGTCTTAAGTACTATAAGATTGTGGATCGAATATGCCATTGGAATGCGTTTAGTGAAGATCCTGGGCATTGCACACACAACACCCTGCCAATGTGATTGTGTAGGAAGTCCATCAAATAATCTGGAGTAATTTTCAGTGCCATTGCTGGGCACACACAGGCCAAGATCAATGGTTTACTTTAATAATCAAAACCAATGAAACTGGGTCTTTATTACCTCTTTGTCTGAACCCATCTGCATTATATGGTTATATAATGCAGTTCAATACAGTTAAAATGCACTATATGAGCCTACACTGACCATATAATGCAGTTTGAAACTACATTGTATGGCAGTGTAGATAGGGCCTCTCATTGTAGTCTGCTATGGCACAAAAACATCTCCAGATGGTTTCCAAGGCATTCATAATAGGGTTATAGGACCTCTAGGTAGACTTACAGGAGGAAGGAAGGAATACTGATTACATTGTGTAACAGGATTTTTGTTCCTGGGTTATAAATGTCATTTCCTAATTGCTTCTATCATAATAACATGGAAAAAGTTTATTAAATTGCAGAAACTTTGTTTTTGGGGAACATCCTGCAGCACATTTTGCTCTAGTTTTTCGATGAATATCTCCTCAAGTCTCAACCAATTCAACATGGTTTGCAGTGATCTGCACAATTAAACAGGAAATAACACTTTCAAACCAGATCCCCCCCCCCAATTTTTGTTACATAATATTATGGGAAAAGGAACAAAGTCTAGCAAATTGAATCTCATCATGTTGAAATAGGCTAGGAAACCAAAACATAAAATATCAGTAATACAACAACAAAAATTAATTTCTATAATATCGTTCTCCCTTTGTTTTACAGGTGTCTGCTTGCCAGATTATTTGGACGCATCCATGGAGAAGCGTTTCTAAATAACTGCCAGGTTGCAGTTTTCTTAACAGTTGCATCATGCTATATAGAAATGTAAAGCTCACACTGTATTTTATTTGTGCTTGTTTAAATGTAAATAAATTACAAATGAGATAATTACAGCCAACTGGTTGCACTGGAGGACAATTGATAATAAACATGCGTTATAAAATTCTGCGATTCATATGATTACTAACTGCAAACATAAAAGAACTTTTTGCATAATAGATATTCTTGTAATTATGATTTCTTAGAATCACAGAGTTGAAAGAGACCTCGTGGGCCATCCAGTACAACCCCCTGCCAAGTAGCAGGAAAATTGCATTCAAAGCACCCCCTGACAGATGGTCACACAGCCTCTGTTCGAAAGCCTCCAAAGAAGGTGTCCCCACCACACTCTGGAGCAGAGTTCCACTGCTGAATAGCTCTCAGTTAGGAAGTTCTTCCTAATGTTCAAGTGGAATTTCCTCTCCTGTAGTTTGAAGCTATTATTCCGCATCCTAGTCTCCAGGGCAGCAGAAAACAAGCTTGTTCCCTCCGCCCTATGACTTCCCCTCATATTTATAAATGACCATCATGCCTCCTCTCAGCCTTCTCTTCTGCAGGTTAAATATGCCCAGCTTTTAAGCTGCTCCTCATAGGGATTGTTCTCCAGACCCTTGATCATTTTAGTTGCCCTCCTCAGGAAACATTCCAGCTTCTCAATATCTCTCTTGAATTGTGGTGCCCAGAAATGGACACAGTATTCCAGGTATGGTCTGACCAAGGCAGAATAGAGGGATAGCATAACTTCCCTGGATCTAGACACTATGCTCCTATTGATGCAAGCCAAAATTCCATTGGCTTTTCTAGCTGCCACATCACATTGTTGGCTCATATTTAACTTGTTGTTCATGAGGACTCCAAATCACACATACTGTTGTCGAGCCAGGCATCTTTAAGAAAAGAAAAGTTGATCATCAAATAACACTGTGTCACATGATTTTTGTTCCTGGGTTATAAATGTAATTTCCTAGTTGGCTCTATCACAAAACTGTAGACAAAGTTTATTAAAAAGTTTTTGCAGGACATCCTGCAGCATCTTTTGCAATAGTTTTCAAGGAATATCTCACAGTCACAACCAAATCAAAATAGTTTGTGGCATCAGGTTTGTGGCATATTTTGTACCTAGTAATTGGACTTGCAGTGTAATCATTTATGGCTGAACTGTACAGAAGCTATACAAAATAAGTCAGCCACATTAAAGACAATGTTGAGGCAGCATCATAAATACTAAAATGGTTAGTATTTTGCAAAATGCTAATATGCTTAATGATGGTATGTATAAGTTGTATTAAGACGTTAAATATATGTATATTTTTCCCAACTCCCAATGATTGTATGTGTTTTTATGGTTGGAAACCGGGCTGAGTCCCTCAATGAGGTTGAGAAGTTCGGTATAGAAAACTTTGAATAAAAATAAATAAATAAATAAATATTTTCCTGTAATAGGTTATTTATTATACCATTTTTGGAAAAATGGTTAATTGTATATTCTGATATTTTTTTAAATTAATAAAAAAATACTGAAGTGGTAGAATGAGGAATGAGGAGCCCAATTTTGCTTCTTTGACATAGCAGTTGTTAAGAATGCAGAGTCCATTTTCTCCCATGGGAAGTTAATAATTCAGCCTTCCCTAGTTGTACTGCAGCTCTCAGTATCCCTCACCATTGGCATGGAGCTCCCAGTGGCGCAGTGGGTTAAACCCCTGTGCTGGCAGGACTGAAGACCGACGGGTCGCAGGTTTGAATTCGGAGATAGCGCGGATGAGCTCCCTCTATCCGCTCCAGCTCCTCATGCGGGGACACGAGTGAAGCATCCCACAAAGGATGGTAAAAAACATCAAAACATCCAGGCGTCCCCTGGGCAACATTCTTGCAGACAGCCAGAAGCGACTTGCAGTTTCTCAAGTCACTCCTGACACCCCCCCTCCCAAATTTTTTGGCAAAGCTGGCTAGAAATGCTGTGAGTTGCAGTGTAATAACAACTCGGATCACTATGTAACAAGAATGAAAAGAAAAGTTCTGCTCCTAATTTGAAAGAGTTATTTCCTGTTTCATTATGCAGTCCTTACTTTGAAAGTAGTTGTTAAACTCCAGAAACTTTGTTTTCGTGGCTGCCACAAACTAGGTTGAATTGGTTGAGACTTGACATGATCTTCTTTGGAAAGCTATAGCAGGATGTCCTGCAAAACAAATATTTTGGCAGTTTCATAAACATTTCCCATGTTTTTATGATAGAACCAATTAGGAAATGACGTTTATAACCCAGGAACAAAAATCATGTTACATGTAACCCAGAATATCAAGGCAGATAACCCACAATATCTGTTTTGAAATGGGTTATCTAAGGGCCCTTCCACACAGCCCTATATGCCATAATATAATAAATAATAATAAAATAATAAAACTTCATTTATACCCCGCCACCATCTCCCCAAGGGACTTGGAGCGGCTTACATGAGGCCAAGCCCCACAGTACATCAATAAACAAAAACAATAAACAAAAACAATAAATACAGTAGTTAATATAAATCACATATAAACAATAACACACAAGGATTTAAAAACCTATGGCTGGGCCAAATGTAATAGTTTAAAAAATTAAAAAAATAACACTGGGCATGAACAAGGTAGGATATAACTGGTATAGGGTTTTCAAAGAGAAATGAGGGAACGCAGTCAATCCTAAACCAGTGGTAAAGTGCATTTTGCGGGCATATTGCAGAGAAATTTCCTTATTCTGGGAAGCACACTGGAACAACCACGTTTTCAGGCTCCTCCTAAAGACTGCCAGCATTGGGGCATGTCTGATGTCCTTGGGAAGTGAGTTCCAGAGTCGGGGGGCCACCACCGAAAAGGCCGTCTCCCTCGTCCCCACCAATCGCGCCCGCGAAGGAGTTGGGAGCGTGAGCAGGGCCTCTCCAGATGATTGAAGAGATTGTGTGGGTTTGTACACAGTAATGTGTACATTATCTGCTTTGAAATGGAATATGTGGCCATGTGGACTCAGGGCCCTTCCACACAGAATATCAAGGCAGAAAATCCCACATTATCTGAGTCTGGATTCAGATAACCCAGTTCAAAGCAGATATTGTGGGATTTTCTGCTTTGATATTCTGCATGGAAGTGCCCTGAGCCCACATGGCCACATATTCCAGTTCAAAGCAGATAATGTAGGATTTTATTCAGCTGTGTGGAAGGGTCCCCAGAATATCAAGGCAGAAAATCCCACAATATTTGCTTTGAGCTGGGTATACGAGTCCACACGGCTATATATTCCAGTTCAAAGCAGATAATGTGGGATTTTATTCAGCTGAGTGGAAGGGGCCATGCTATATTCAATATTCCCTCGTCTACCTCAGAAGTCAGACTTGTAGTTGTCTCTGTTTACCTTCAGAACAACAAAGCCTGCGAAACTCATTGGCTGAGGTCTCAGCGCGAATGTGACTGGCGCACGCGCAGATCGCTGCACAGCCTAGTTCTCTCCCGTCTCCGCTCAGCCGGACTGTTCTAAGTGCGGGACCGTTGGTCCGCCGCAAAACGTGTCCCCCCTTCCTCGCCTAGCTCCAGTCTCTCAGAAAAGGAGTCTCGGGTCTTTTTGGTGTTTGTTTTCTGTCCCAAAATGTCGGGGTTCAGCCCCGAGCTCATTGACTACCTGGAAGGGAAAATTTCCTTTGAGGAGTTCGAGCGGCGCCGGGAAGAGCGGAAAGGCCGCGAAAGGAAGGTGAGGAGAGGCCTTCCCCTTGAATCTAGGCCTTGACCCCTTTAGGCCTTAGCTCTCCCAACGCTTCCCGCATTTTGGCACCGTAATGGCCCAAACAATGCTATGATTGAGGAGAAACGGCATAGTAGTATTATAGCAGTAAACCCTTGGGGTTCCCTTTCGTAGAGAATAGGAGCATCTACACTAGAATGGGCACACCAAATCCCCTTCTCTCTCTCTCCTGAGGAATCTGTATAAGGACCAAGTAGCAACAGTCAGAACTGACCATGGAACGATAGACTGGTTCAAGATTGGGAAAGGTGTCCGGCAGGGTTGCATACTCTCACACAACCTATTCAACTTGTGTGCAGAACACATCACGCGATGTGAGGTGCTTGACGAATGCAAGGCTGAGGTAAAAATAGCTGGAAGAAACATTAACAACCTTAGATATGCAGATGATACTACTTTGATGGCTGAAAGTGAGGAGGAGCTGAGGAACCTTCTAATCAAGGTGTAAGAAGAAAGCGCAAAAGCTGGGTTGCAGTAAAACATTAAAAAAAACCAAGATTACGGCAACAAGAATGATTGACAACTGGGAAATAGAGGGAGAAAATGTGGAGGCCGTGACAGACCTTGTATTTCTAGGTGCAAAGATTACTGCAGACGCAGACTGCAGCCAGGAAATCAGGAGACGCTTACTTCTTGGGAGGAGAGCAATGTCCAGTCTTGATAAAATAGTGAAGAGTAGAGACATCACACTGGCAACGAAGATCCACATAGTAAAAGCAATGGTATTCCCCATATTGACCTACGGATGTGAGAGCTGGACCTTAGGGAAGGCTGAGCGAAGGAAGATAGATGCTTTTGAACTGTGGTGCTGGAGGAAAGTGCTGAGGGTGCCTTGGACTGCGAGAAGATCCAACCAGTCCATCCTCCAGGAAATAAAGCCCGGCTGCTCATTGGAGGGAAGGATACTAGAGGCCAAAAGGAAGTACTTTGGCCACATCATGAGAAGAAAAGAAAACTTAGAGAAGACAATGATGCTGGGGGAAATGGAAGGCAAAAGGAAGAGGGACCGACCAAGGGCAAGATGAATGGATGGCATCCTTGAAGTGACTGGCTTGACTCTGAAGGAGCTGGGGGTGGTGACGGGTGACAGGGACCCTGGCGTGGGCTGGTCCATGAGGTCACGAAGAGTTGGAAGCGACTGAACAAATAAACAACAACACACTAGAATGGATCGGAGGTTTGAATCCATGGAGAGTGCAGATGAGCTCCCTCTGTCAGCTCCAGCTTCCCATGCGGGAACATGAGAGAAGCCTCCCACAAGGATGATAAAACATCAAAACATCTGGCCATCCCCTGGGTAAAGTCCTTGCAGACAGCCAATTTTCTCACACCAGAAGCGACTTGAAGTTTCTCAAGTCTCTCCTGACCAAAAAAACATAAAAAACTAGAATGGATGCAGTTTGGCCAATGTTATAGCTATAGGATCATGTGCAATTTTATGAGGTCTTTACTTTGCTCTGTTATTTGAGTTTAAGAAATGTTCTTTTAAAATTGTTAACATTCTTTAATGTTGATACTGTACTCACTAAGGAGCTTGGATGTTTGCAGACTCCTGAAGTAGTGGTCCAATCACAATTTTAGGACAGAAAAAGCATCTTCTAGTAGAAACAGTTGAAGAGTGATACGAGCTCTTATTTCTTTCTTCCAGTTTGTCCCTCAGGTGGCATTTCTCCACGTTAACAATTTGCCAATAACAGGTTGGCTTTTGCTATCTCTCAGCCAAGAGAGTTTCATAGGAAGGAAATGATAAAAAGAACAAATAGTCTGAAATGACGTAGGATTGTGTTTTTTTGTCGAGCTACCAGCTTGAAAATTGGAGACACTTCCTCTATCCTTAGTGGTTGTGTAGAAGAGGAAATTTCAGCAGATGCTGCTTATCATGGGACTAGGTAACAGCAAACGCCAGTTGAAATTCCCTCTTCTATACAACCATTAAAGGGACAGGAGTCCTCTCTAGTTTTTGCTCTGACAGCCCTAGTTACTTGAAGAGTTGCTGCAACCCATAGCTGTTGGTTCACACTTTGAAGTCACATGATAAAACCCCAATCCTGTGCCCGCTGTTGGGAGCAGGTTGAGAAATGCTAAAGAAAAGCTTCTTTGGCAAAAGCTTCACAGTTACGGAATACAGTGATACCTTGAGTCAAGAGTTTAATTTGTTCTGTGGGCAGGCTCTTAACTCAAAATGCTTTTATCTCAAAGTGAATTTTTCCATTAAAATACTATTAAGCCGTTCCGTTCCCCCAAACCCGTCCCTCCCATTTTTTTACATGTTTTTAAATAAGAAAAGGTACTCTATAAATAGTAAATAATGTATAAATGCACATTCATATCAAACAATAAAAAATCAAATTTAAAATGGTAGAAGCACAAAGTTGTGGCAAGGAATCACAAAGCAAAGAGACAGAAGCATCATTTTCTTCATTCTGTACTCATTTCAGCCTCCCTTCCATGCTGGCTTTCTTTCCCTCTCTCTCTTCATGAAGCTAAACATACAAAGAATAAAAACTACACAAAATCAACTAACCCAAGGTCCCTCAAAATGGATAAGAACAAATCTGACAGCAGTCTCCCAAAGCAGACAAGAGCATGAGGCACAGAGACTTCTTGCTTGAACCCCTATATTCTGGCACTAGAACTTCCTCTGGTGTTAGCTCTTAACTCAAACTGCTGCTCTTATGTCAAAGTGAAACGGGGGGGGGGAGCGATGGCTCGTAACTCAAAACACTCTTACATTGGGATGCCTTTAAGTCAAGGTTACACTGTATGTCAACGTCCCTGTCAAGTTGGAAAGGATAAATGGAGAGAAGGGAACCACCATTGCTACTAAACCCTCACTCTCAGGAGGGGAAAGCACAGTTTTCCAAAGTTATTATTAATTCTGCATCAACCAACAAGGCAACTACAATCAGCCCTCCACATTTTCTAGGGATAGGGGCACATAACTCCTGTGAAGGAGAAAAACTACAAAGAAACAATAGGGTTTTTTCCCCCCAAAAAAATAACACTCCTCTCAGAATCTCTTTGTCTTACAGCATGATTGATCAGTTTCCAGAAGACATTGCCTATGGAGCCACACTAGAAGACCTAGACATTCCTAAAGAAAATATTTTAATCAAATCTGCAAAGATCAAACCCCCAAATGTGGAGGGTCAGCTGTATATACTCAAAGACTGGCAACACTCAACAGGATTTCTTGTTGAACATTTTACTAGTGGGATGAGTCTGGTCCTATAAACTAAGGCTTTGTAAGATTCACTTGTTTTCTTTGGCCCCTTTCAGAGATAGCCTCTGAATTGAGATTTTTTTTTGCTACTTAAGACTTGAATATTGCATTTTATCAAGCTGTATGCTTTTAGCTTGAGCTGGCTGCATTATTTTATTAATGTTGTTTTGTTGTGTTTCGATTAAATTTTGCTTTGTCAGAATCATTTCCTTTAAGATGATATACAAACATTTTACTTGAATGTAATCAGTTGAAGTGGAAACAGTATCAAGAAAAGGTTAGACATTGTGAGGAGCAGTATCGGTCTTCCTATAATATAGTTTCTTGAATATAGCAGTATAAAGATCAATTTTCATAGTTTAACAGAACAGCTTTTTTCAGGGTTAGCAGTTGCAATCTTAGATCTGGGTTGGATGAAGAGCATATCTGGAAATATTATTGGACTGCAAGTTCAATCACTATATAATAAAGTTTGAAAAAAAATCTGTTCCTGATTTAAAAGTGCTATTTCCTGTTTAATTGTGCAGCACTATTGAAATAAAATAAAGGTATAACACTATGTAACACATGTTTTTAAAAAATCTATTCCTGGGTTGAAAGTGTTATTTCCTATTTAATTGTGTGGTAACTACTTTGAAAGTAGATGTTATACTCCAGAAACTTCATTTTGTGACTGCCACAAACTATGCTGACTTGGTTGAGACTTGATGGGATCTTCATGGAAAAACTAAAGCAAAATGTGTTGCAGGATGTCCAGCAAAAAAAAAAAAAAAAAGGAAGAAAAAAAAGAAAAAAAAAGAGTTTTTCAGTTTAATAAACCTTTTCCCATGTTTTTCCAATTAGGAAATTATGGTAGATTTATAATCCAGGAACAAATATTGTGTTACATAGTGTAATATCTCACTACATAACTCTTTGCTATGTATATGCCAATAGAGGCTTATTGGATTGGACTATGGCGAAAAGGCTGATGGGAGTTGCAATCCAAGAACATCTTGGAAGAACCCCAATTTGCCCACCCCTCTGTAATATAAGCAATGTTGAACTGAAGTTTGAAAAGAATTTGTAGTTAAATTGTGAAGTTTGGGACCTAAGCTTAATTTACCTGAGAGTCAGCTGCATAGTTTTGTAAGAAAAATGTTTTTTGACTTAATTCCAGATGAACAGTTCATTCTGCAAAAGGAATCTTTTCTTTATTACAGGATAAGGAAAGTGGAGTTGCTGAGGAGAAGGCTGAGGACCTCGATGCACCTTCTACATCTGGACAAGGAACATCTACTGGCCTTCAGCCTCACGTTGAAGCAGATGGTAGGGTGTTTCACTGTTTCAGTCCCATCAAAGGAACACTTGACATGTTATGCCAATTCCTAAAATAATTTTGTAAAGTGACATTTTAGATCATGTAGTTCCAACAATGAAGTCAGCAAACATATATTGGATGATCCCAGGAGCTGTCTCTTACTTATTCTAGGTCTTAGACAAATGACTTTTTGTACTATAACTCCCTCCCACCCCTCAAACAGCAGAACTAGTGAATATAATGACTGGGTTATTCTGGGAGATAATAATCTCAAAAAGTAATGTTTCCAATTTCTGATTCACTTGTTTGGCTACAAGGACTTGTTACAGAGCTAGGCTATGGGTTTGATTGATTTGACCCTGCCTTATTATTGTTACCCTTTCTGGGTTCTGCTGTACAAGAACTCAGAACTGAGAATATGTGAATTATATGAGTTTATAATGAAGTTAATGAGAGTTAAAATCCAGAAGTCACAAACATAGTTTGCTTTACCCTAGGGTACTTTTTGACTACTGTAGGAAAGTTCTTGAGCAGCTCCTGTGAAAACTAAAATCAAAGCATGATTACACTATGTAACAAAATTTGAAAAAAATTGTTCCTGGTTTGAAAATGACATTTTCTGCTTAGTTGTATGGTACTTTTTTAAAAAGTCATTGTTCTACTTCAGAAACATTGTTTTTGTGGCTGGTGCGAACTATGTTGAATTGGTTGAGATTCTTTGAGATATTCATTGAAAAACTTTAGCAAAATGTGCTGCAGGATGTCCCACAAAAGCAAAGTTTTTGCAGTTTAATAAACTTTTTTTCATGGTTTTTTTTTTGATAGAACCAATTTGGAAATGACGTTTATAACTCAGGAACAAAAATAGTGTTATAGGCTTTGCTTTCATCATCAAGGTCCCGAAGTGAGACTGAATGGAGTAGGAAGAGAGGAATACTATCTTGTTCATTATGGAAGTGATCCTAAGTACAGCTATTTGGATGATGAGCGGAAAATCCATGGCTCTCTGTATATTGTTGAACTGGAGCTCCCATCATCCTTCACTACTGTTTATGCTAATGATTACTGATTAGAGTTACAACCTTATCAACTTTAGTGGGATGGGTTGTTGTAGGTTTTTTCGGGCTATATGGCCATAGTCTAGAGGCATTCTCTCCTGACGTTTCACCTGCATCTATGGCAAGCATCCTCAGAAGTCGCGAGGTCTGTTGGAACTAGGAAAAAGGGTTTATATATCTGTGGAATGACCAGGGTGAGACAAAGGATTCTTGTCTGCTGGAGCTAGGTGTGAATGTTTCAACTGACCACCTTGATTAGCATATAATGGCCTGATAGTGCCTAGAGCAAACTTTTGTTGAGAGGTGATTAGATGTCCTTGTTTGTTTCCTCTCTGTTGTTGTGCTGTTGTGATTTTAGAGTTTTTTAAATACTGGTAGCCAGATTTTGTTCATTTTCATGGTTTCCTCCTTTTTGTTGAAATTGTCCACATGCTTGTGTATTTCAATGGCTTCTCTGTGTAGTGGGATGACCGCAAATTCTGTGGGATGGGTGCACATTCTGTGCCACATTTTAGACAGAAATAAATGTTCTTGATTTTAGAGACCTGTATTAATTCTGTTAATGTGATGTATGTTCACCAAGAATTACACCCTAATTATCTCAGTTAGTCATGTATACATAGAATCCATATTTGTCAAGTGCATATGAGCCCAGCCTCAGAACTTTGGATCCAAAAAGATATAGTTAAAACAATGCAGCAAATTCTTGCTTTTTTCCCTAGTTTCTTCCAATGATGTCTTTTTGTGATTTCAGAAACTGCCGTTTCCTCCATTTCTTCTAGCACTGGTTAATTCAAAATTAATTTGTACTTTTTTCTCTTCAAGCAGAAGAAACATCAGAAGGGGTCAGTAAATCTGTCCATCGTGTCTTTGCTTCCATGATGGGAGAGAATGATGAGGAGGAGGAAGAGGAGGAGGAAGAAGAAGAGGAAGAGGAGGAGGAGAATGCTGCACAGCCTACAGCTGGGGATGTCTTTGCCCTGGAGATGGTGCTTAATAGGGAGACCAAGAAAATGATGAAGGTATGTATTTCCAGATTCAAGGGCTTCCTTGGGCTTTGCTTGTTGCTGAGATACAATGAAGAGGTGTGTTCTTGGAGCAGGGCATTGAGAACAATCTCCAGGCCTGCAAAAAACTTCTTCGCGTGGAAGGAGGCCTCTAACAGGCCTGTTGTGGATAATGATCTCATCCTGGAGTACTCATCTCTAGGCTCAGTTCTTCTGCACTAAAATGGTTGGGTGAAATGGTTGGGTGATGGAGACTACCACGAGCCACTAATCCTTTCTCAATCCATCGCTTCTGGAGGAGGAAGAACATTGTCCATCCTACATCTCTACAGGGCGTAAAATGTCTGAGGTTGCACTGGGATGCTCTTTCAGCATAAATAACACTATATAACAATTTGAAAAGAATTATGTTCCTAGTTCGAAAGTGTTATTTCCTGTTTAATTTTGCGGTACATACTTTGAAAGTAGTTGTTATACTCCAGAAACTTCATTTTTATGACTGTCACAAACTATGTTGAATTGGTTGAGACTCGATGAGATCTTCATTGAAAAACTGTAGCAAAATGTGTAACGGGAAGTCCCACAAAAACAAAGTTTTGGCAGTTTAATAAACTTTTCCCATGTTTTTATGATAGAATCAATTAGGAAATTACATTTTTAACCCAGGAACAAAAATCTTGTTACATACTGTAATGAATTGGTTGCTATTGGGTTTGAACAATGATATGTGTGTATGTATGATTGGAATCTTAATAGACGCAATTACATTTCAATGGCTCATGGCAGGTTCAGGTGGTCTACTGAAACCTCTTTCTCTGCTTTAAAAGACAATTTATTGAATCAAATGTGTCTTTCTCTATTTTTTAGGAAAAACGTCCACGCAGTAAATTGCCACGTGCCTTGAGGGGTCTCATGGGTGAAGCTAACATTCGGTTTGCTCGTGGAGAACATGAGGAAGCCATTCTGATGTGCATGGAAATCATAAGGCAAGGTAACTACTATGTGCACATGTGAGGTCTCCAAGGCTCCTCCGTTGCCTTTAGGGAACATCTGCCAAGGCCTTCCTATTTTCTGACCACAGCTCCTAATACTTAGTCGAAGGCCTTTCCCAAATATTCCAGGGTTTGCCTTGGAAGTAACATGGTTACAGTATCTGATCACAGCAAGACTTATTTAACTACCGTATATACCGGCATATAAGACGACTGGGCATATAAGACGACCCCCAACTTTTCCAGTTAAAATATAGAGTTAAGATGACTCCCATGCATAAGACTACACCCGCGTATAAGATGCCCCCTGACTTTTGAGAAGATTTTCTTGGGTTAAAAAGTAGTCTTATACGCCAGAATATACTGTATTTTAAACCTTTTTCTTATCAGGGTTTTAATAAGGGTTTTGGCCTTATTGTAAGCTAGTTTGGGAACCATGTTAGATGAAAAGAAGGGTGTAAAATTAATTAAATAATAAATAACCTTGGTGTCCCCAGGTGTTTTGGACTACAGCTTCCATCACTGCTAGTGGTTTGACATAATGGGAACCATGGTACAAAATAACTATAGCCATATATGGTATGTAAAGGACCGTAATAGTAATAATAATACTTTATTTTTAGACCGCCCTCTCTCCTCAAAGGGACTCAGGGTGGTTTACATACAAAAAAGGCAAACATTCAATGCTCAAACAAGTGCAAATACATCAAAGCAATATGACATAATACAAAATAATAACACAAAACTAATTGCATGAAAAAATTAAACATCAAAAATGAAAAAGAGGATACAAATAAACACGTAAAACAAAGTACAGTAAAACATAATCAACATTAAAATGTTGTATATTGAAGAAAGCCAGCAGTTGGGAATGCATGCAGAATCAGACTGGTAGTCCATGAAGATCTTTAAATCATGATAAAATGTGAATATCTTTTTTCTTAGATATGCTAAGGCAGTGCTTTTGACTGTCACCCTGTGAAAAGTTTTCAGGAAACAAGAAAGAGTTGAAAGGGAAAGGATATAAATATAGTGATAGTCCTTGGAATATCAGTGAGGAAAAAATGCTGGTTCCCCCACATCAGATAGTTTGAGAGGCACTGCAGTGAGGTATAACACCATTGATTCAAATCCTAACAAATGCTTGCTTTTGTTTCCTGTAGCTCCTCTGGCTTATGAGCCATTTTCAACTCTTGCCATGATTTACGAAGACCAAGGAGACATGGAGAAGTCTTTGCAGTTTGAGCTGATTGCTGCTCACTTAAACCCCAGTGACACCGAAGAGTGGGTGAGGCTGGCTGAAATGTCGCTTGAGCAGGACAATGTTAAGCAAGCAATCTTCTGCTATGCAAAAGGTGCAGTAGATGGCTTTTAGCTAGTACACAATTTTAACAGCATTTCCTTCTTTCCTCTTTATTGATTGATTTGCGCCATGTTCCACTGTGTCAGTTTTATTATTGTCATAATTTTGATTTTAGCTGTGTCATAGAGAATGATACAACATCTTAATAAATCGAAATATCTAAATCCTGTTGCCTATACAAATAAACTTTCCTGAGCTATGAGTATCACGGCTCAATAAACCAGAAACTTTTAAGTATGTTTGTTGACACTAGGAGAAACTGGATCTAAAAATAAGATCTTGGTAACTAGTTTCTCAGTTCAGATAAAAGAGGAAGCTGTGGTTGATTTCATACTCTTTGGATCATCAAAGGAGCATCACCTGTGAACACAAGGCTTGTTGGTATCTTAGCTTTTGATTGCACTGCCATAAGTGGTATCTTCTCCTTTTATTAAGGTGAGATACAATTGTCTAGATGTGACCATTGCATATTATGTGCGGATTACTCGTGTCTAATGCACCATCAAATCTAATGCGCACCTCACTTTTCAAAATCCTGAAATCAAAAAAAAGTATTTGCTGGCAAATGTAATGCAGAGTGTCAAAAAATTCACTCTTTGTAATTTGGTCAAAAAAGATGCAGATTATGGTGGCTGCCTACTTAGAAATCCTTCTTTTAAAACAAAAGCGTTAGAACACCAAAGCTTTCCGCAATTGCAAAGAAAACCATGGGTTGCACCTATGCTGTAGAATGAATCCACTTTAACTGCCCTGGTTCAATGCTATGGGGTCATGGGGTCTGTAGTTTGGGATCATGGGGGCTGCCAAAGAATGCTGATGCCTCACCAAACTACAAATCCCAGGATTGCATAGCATTGCGCCATGGCCATTAGATTAGAGATGACGTCCCTCAAATAGGAATTCCAGGTGCTCCTGAGGCAGCTTCCTCTTTTGCTTTGGCTAAGATTATCATATTACGCAACTCTAATGTGCACCCTAATTTTTGGAAGGTAATTTAGCTTTAAAAAGGTGAGCATTAGATTTGAGTAAATATGGTAGTTTAAAGGTAAACTTGTTTAACTAATAAGCAACTTACAGAGTTTTCTGGTCACTGTATAATATATGGCCTGTTAATGTTGATTTGTGTTACTGGATTTATGAAGTATGTGGGAAAAATGTGCAGAAATAGGGAGTAACCTTGAGTGAATAATGCACTGGAACGTGATAATTGTCTAATAGGAAAAGAGCACTCTCTTTCTCTCATCACCAACATTTTGTCTCTTTTTTGCAAAAAATGTAGTTCTGCATTACAAACACATCTATTATAACATTATTGGGTACTATCATTCCCTTTTTGTTTTTTGTAGCTCTGAAATACGATCCCACAAATGTACGCTACTTGTGGGAAAGATCGAGTCTCTATGAACAGTTGGGGGAACATAAACTGGCAATGGATGGCTACAGGCGCATTTTAAATCTTTTGACCCCTCAGGATGGAGATCGCTTTATGCATTTGGCCAGAGACATGGCAAAGTAAGTACTTGATCTAACGCTTCAATTCAAAAGTCAAGGTGAAAAGTAACATAGCATCCACCATGCCATCCCAAAATGTATGTTTTTTGCCACCAGTAAAACATATTATATGTATGTGAGGGATTGAATTTATTTATCATGTCAGAAGCGAGTTGAGGGTACAGTTAAAATGCATTTAAAAACACAACATTTTTTTTTAAAAAACTTGGCATTATGCTAAATGTCTTTTGTCCACTTGGAGTTATATTGACATCAGGTTCCTGTGTGTGTGCGTGCCTTCAAGACGCCTGTTAACTTAAGGCAATCCCATGAATTTTCTAGAGTTTCTTTAGGCTAAAACCTTTTTATTCAGACAGGCTTAGTTTGAATGTGTATATATTGATTTAAACAGAATTGTTAATACCCATGATACCCATGATATATAATGAACAGGGTATTAATGTTTATATATTTGTAGATTTTAAATTGTACTGAAATGCTTTTAATGTAAGCGGCTTTGAGTCTCCTTGTGTAGAGAAAAAGCAGGGTATTATTAATAATATTTTTTTGGTCATGTCAGGAGCAACTTGAGAAACTGCAAGACACTTCTGGTGTGAGAGAATTGGCCGTCTGCAAGGACGTTGCCCAGATGATTTGATGTTTTTATCATCCTTGTGGGAGGCTTCTCTCATGTCCCCGCATGAGGAGCTGGAGCTGATAAAGGGAGCTCATCTGCCTCTCCCCGGATTCAAACCTGCAGCCTGTCTGTCTTCAGTTCTGCCGGCACAGGGGTTTAACCCACTGCGCCACTGGGGCTCAATAATAATAATAATAATAATAATAATAATAATAATAATAATAATAATAATAATAATAATCTACAATAATCTATAATACAATATAATACAATAATCTATAATAATAATAATAATAATAATAATAATAATAATAATAATAATAGACAGCCAGCAGAGTGTCTGCTGTGGACTCATCTTGTTGTGTTTCAAATAATAATAATCTAGGCAAAGAATACTTATCTTCCTTCCTCTTGGTTGCCTCCCATCCAAGTACTGACAAAGACAGACCCTGCTTAGCTTCCAACATCAGATATAAGTTAGTAGCAGATTAAGAAAGCATGGAACCGGTGTTTGCGACTGAGATAAAAATAAAAGGCAGCCTATTTGGGTCAGACCAGAGGATTATCCTATATACTGTTCAATTTGCCATGTGGAGATTGGGAGATTATACACCAGTGATGGGTGAGGCTACTCTACAAGTCGGGGGGCCATGACACTCTTTAAAAAGCCTCCATTGATTCTGAAGAAATGCTCCCCTCCACAAAAATCTTCACTGCTGGACAGAAGAGATGAAGGGAAATTAGTTTATCTCCGATTGGTAGTTAGGTCACAGGGAAAGTGACAGGTCCAATGAGAGTCTCCCATGGTTTGTATTCACTTTGTTGGCCAGAGGTTCCCCATCCCATTTCACTGAGACTGGATCTACACTGCCCTATATCCCAGGATCCGATCCCAGATTATCTGGCAGTGTAGACTCATATAATCCAGTTCAAAGCAGATCACCTGGGATCAGATCCTGGGATATAGGATCTGGGATTTATATTATATGTAATATTACTAATAATATTACAATATAATGGTATAGTGCAATATAGTAATATATAATACTGATATTGTACTATGCTAATAATATAATATATTGTATGAAAATATATCTTGTAAGCTGCTTTGAGTCCGCTTTGGGGTGAGAAGGGCGGCATATAAATGCTGCAAATAAATAAATAAATAAATAAAATATAGGGCAGTGTAGATCCAGCCTGAGACACAAATTAGTCTATCCTAACACTGGACTTCCACACTTTTCCCCTCCCCTCTCTTTCACTAGTATGACTGCAAGGCACTCAGGAATTTTTGTGTCAGGTTTTTTAGTTATAGTTTGGTATGAACCTGACTATGTATGATTAATCATAACTACGTTAAGTTTCATACAAAGGAGCTTCAAACCATGGTTTATTAATCTTTTTTCAAACCAGATTCCCCGCTTTTTGAGGTTTTAGATGTTGGACTAAAAGCCCCTGATGTCTCTTCTCAGCTATATAAGCCTGGGGTCCCTTCAGGTCCTCCTGGATCACAATAAGGTGTAATGTTCACATAAAAGCAATAAATTATAATGCAAATAAAGAGCTACATCTGTCTTTCACGTTCAGTCACACATAAGTGATAGGATTCTCAAATATTTATCATGATAGATGTCCTTTGTTGCAGGACATTTTGTGTTCTCCAGAGAGCATTAATTTCCTTTACAGTCCAATGAGTTGTTTATCTGTATTTACTAATGCTCCCTTTACTGCTGTTTTTTTGCAGGAGTTATTATGAAGCCAATGACATCACTGCTGCTATTGAGATAATGGAGGAAGCCTTTAGTAAACATCAGAATCTCGTATCCATGGAAGATGTTAATATAGCCGCTGAACTGTATATTTCTAACAAACAGTATGATAAAGCATTGGCGGTAAGCAGATTAATTTTCTATAATGGCTTGCCATTTTAAACACATTAGGAGAGCCTGAATATATGTATGTATATCCCTTATCCAAGGTAATCTGGAGCAATACATTTAGGAAAGTTGCTCAGTATGGCCACATAAAATCTTGAAATTGCACCTCGTATTGACCTGATTCCTAACCATTACAAACTGGCTATGTCTGTATTGCCGTTATGGGTCTCTAGTGAACAAGTCGGTCTCCACCACAGAACTATGTCACTCCTAAATTTCTGTTTCAGGGAAGAAACTGAGGCTGGATCTACACTGCCACATAATCCAGTTTCAAAATGTGTTTCATGACATTGAACTGAATTATATGGCAGGGTAAAAGGTAAAGGTCCTTACTTTCCTGCAGAAGCAGTACCTATTGATCTACTCACTCCCAGTGTTTATTTTTAAAAAATTAATTTATTACATCTGGCCCAGCCACAAGGTTTTAAATTCTCTGCGTTATTGTTTATATGTAAGTTATATTAATTGTACTGTTTTATTTGCTTGCTGTTTTGTTTTTACTGATGTGTTGTTGGGCTTGGCCTTATGTAAGCCGCCCTGAGTCCCTTTGAAGAGATGTTGGCGGGGTATAAATAAAGTTTTATAATAATTATTATTATTATTACTCACATTTGAATGTTTTCAAACTGCTAGGCTGAAAGAAGCTGGGGCTAACAGCAGGAGCTCACCCTGCTCCCTGGATTTAAACCACTGACCTTTCAGTCAGCAAGTTTAGCTCAGAGGTTTAACCTGCTGTGCCACTGGGGGGCCAATATGGCAGGGTAGACTAATATAATGGATTATATGGCTGTGTAGATCCAGCCTAAGAGGGATTTCAAAGTCCCAATATTCACCTTGAACTTTTCTTGATATATGGCATTTTCACATAACAGTTTTCTACTTATACTCTGAGTTGGTACAATCCTCTAATGCAGTGGTTCTCAACCTGTGGGTCCCCAGATGTTTTGACCTTCAACTGCCAGAAATCTTAATAGCTGGTAAACTAGCTGGGATTTCTGGGCCAAAACACCTGGGGACCCACTGATTGAGAACCATTGATCTAATGGAACATTACCGTTTTCTCCCTTGAACAGTTGGATTTCTTCTTGTTTAACTTCCGAGTTTTTTCTCAGATCTCCTTTTACACTGGACTCATTTCATTTTCTAATGTCAAGAACTGCTTCTATTTGTAGGTTATTACAGATTTTTCAGGGATTGTATTGGAGAAGAAAGGGTCAGAAAGAAATTCACCAGCAGAAGAAGATGAAGGTACTTGGAGTTTTAGGTTTTGTTGCATTCAGCTTTCTCTATCCATAGTGCATGATCTTCTGAAGCATTTTTGGTCTTTTACTTCTACTTAATGATAGATAGTTAAATTCCCTATATAGTATTGTGCATGTTACCGTTTGCCTTTTTAAAAAAAGAGACATGGCAATTTGCTTGTCCCTTGGCGTGTGACTCATGAACAGTTAAGGAATAAAGAAACCCAAGAAAGATTCTGGCTGTATTTCTCCTATTCTAGAAATAATACTTTAAAAAAAGAAATGAAAGAGGAGCAGGGTTACATTTCTTAAATTGTGGAGAGTGCCTCTACCTCCTCCTCTTCCTCAGAGGCCCTTTGGGAAGCCCAGGCCGGTTGAACAGAGCGAAGGAGAAGAAGAGCACCCCCTAGCCCTTGCAGCAGCAACTCCCTTCTCCGCCTCTTCCTCGGAGGAAGAGGCAGAGGAGGAGGGAGTTGCTACTGCTGCGCCATCACCACCTGCAAGTGCTTGGAGGCGCTCTTCTTCTCCTTCTCCTTTGCTCTTCTTCTCATCCAGCCTGGGCTTTCCTACATCACGGATTTTCACTTATCACGAGTAGTTCTGGAACCTAAAACCCACTATGTGAGGGAACACTGTCGTTCCATAGTATAGTTGTATGCTTGGTAAAATGCATTCTTTTCTTTCTGCTGAATCTGACAACCATTCAGTTTCATTGGATGGACCGGGATCTTATTACAGTGTTACCTTGACTTAAGGGTGTCCCAACTTAAAAGCTGTTGCTCAGCTGGAGTTTTGCTTTAACATAAGAGCAGCATTTTGAGTTAAAAGATAGCGCCAGAGTACAAGGTTTTAGAGCTTCAAGGGAGCAGCCTCCGTGCCTCGTGCTCTTGTCTGCTTTGAGAGATTGCTGTCCACTTTGCACTTTTCCGTTTTGAGGGACTCTGGGTTAGTTGATTTTGTGTGGTTTTTATTCCTGATATGTTTGGCTTCATGAAGGGAGGGAGGGAGGGAGGCTGGAATGAGTACAGTATGAAGAAAATGATGCTTCTGCCTCTTCCCTTTGTGTTTTGTGCTTCCTTTTCATGACTTTGTGCTTCTATCATTTTAAAGTTGATCTTTCTTTTTTATTGTTCCATGTGAATGTCCATTTATACATTATTTGTTATTTATAAAGTAAGTTTTCTTATTTTAAAGCACCCAACAAAAATAGGGTGGGGGATCAGGGGGCTGGAACAGATTAATTGCATTTCAGTGGAAAAATTTGCATCGAGATAAGAGTGATTTCAGTTAAGAGCTCGGTCATTGAACAAATTAAACTCTTAACTCAAGGAATCCCTGTATTCAATGACTGTGGAGCCTCTACCAAAGAAGCTTTTCCATAGCTTTCTCAATTTCATCCCTTTTGCACTTCCCCGGCCCCTGTTTTCTTGTTTTGGGACGCAGGATGGCTGTTGGTTCAAGGGCTTCAAACTATTTCTTCCCATGTGCCCATACACCTCCAATCAGTTTATTTTTTTAAACTCAAGGTGCTTATCCTATCTCATGCCTACAAATCATAAGACCAAATCTCATCAACTGAATGTATTATTTACTTTTCCTCTCTTTCATCTCCCATGTCCATTGAAAGTGGCAATGGAAAAGCAGGAGAGTCAAGAAGAAATGCCTGATCCCCAAGAGCCTGTGCCTGGAACCAGTTCTGGATGTGAGCAAGTTACTTTCTCAAAAGTTGTTTATACCAGTGGTCTGTACTTAGGAAACAAAAGAAATACATTGTGATAAACACGAGAATGGCCCTATTTTAAGGCTTTTCTCAAGGATGGGCAGCTGTTATAGTGAGGCAAAATACACTTTGGGTTGGCCATGAGCCCGAGGGCTGCAAAAAGAGAGAGCAGAGAAGGAGTCAGGCTACCTCCCATGGAAGGGAATTCCACATTAGTCTGGGAGCAGCCACAGAAAAGGCTTCCTGCTTACTACCTTGGCTTATATTAATACATAAATGAACTTTAGTTGTAGTCAGTATAGTATTGACTACTGACATTGAACTCAACTGACTATGAAACTGAGTGTCCAATTGACAATCGTGAATTTGCTTCATTACACTATGTATGCATTTTTTAAACTATTCTGTTCCTGGTTTGAAAGTGTTATTTCCTGTTTAATTGTGTGGTATTTACTTTGAAAGTAGTTGTTATACTCCAGAAACTTGGTTTTTCTGACCTCCACAAACTATGCTGAATTAGTTGGAGTCTTGGAGATATTCATTAAAAATCTATAGCAAAATGTGCTGAGGGATGTCCCCCAAAAACAAAGTTTTTGCAGTCTCATATGATAAAATCAATTAGAAAATGACATTTATACCTCTATCTCAGGGGTCCTCAAACTTTTTAAACAGAGGGCCAGGTCATAGTCCCCAAAATTGTTGGAGGGCCGGATTATAATTGGAAAAAAACATGAATGAATTCCTATGCACACTGCACATATCTTATTTGTAATGCAAAAAACACTTTAAAACAATACACTAATTAAAATGAAGAACAATTTTAACAAATATAAACTTATTAGTAATTCAGTGGGATGTGTGGGCCTGCTTTTGGCTGATGAGATAGGATTGTTGTTGTTGTTGTTGTTGTTGTTGTTGTGTGCTTTCAAGTAGTTTCAGACTTAGGTTGACCCTGAGTGAGGGCCGGGTAAATGACCGTGGAGGGCCGCATCTGGCCCTCGGGCCTTAGTTTGAGGACCCTTGCTCTATCTGGTGTCTGTTTTGTCATTATTTAATCAGCACTGAATGTTTGCCATATATGTGTTCTATGATCTGCCCTAAGTCCCCTTCGGGGTGAGAAGGGCGGAATATAAATACTGTAAATAATAAAATTATATCCAATTTATCATAAATTGATCAGCCAATTCAACCCAGTTTGTGGCAGCCACAAAAACAAACGTTTCTGGAGTATAAGAACTACTTTCAAAGTCCATGCCGCACAATTAAACAGAAATAACACTTTCAAACCAGAAACAGATTCCCCCCCCCCCATTTTGTTACATAGTTTAATCATTAATTAGTGTGATTGCTTTCAGAGACATAAGATTAGCAGATCTAATAGTTTAGATAGTTTAGGGATAGATTTTTTTTGAGGTGTGTGTGAATCAAACCTTAAGAAATAAAACACCCCAGTCAGGTCTGAGCTCTGCTAGAATAAACACTGATTGTTGAGGATGGGGATGCAGTGACTTGTCTATGAAAAGGACTTGAAAAAGAAGAACTCTACGCTGCAGCTTTTGGTTGCAGGCTTCATTGTGGTGTAGCTGTGGTGCTCATTCTGACCTCTTTTCTCTAGCTGCCGAAAAAGTTTCTTGTTCCATACCTGAGGGTGTTCCCATTGACATCACAGTGAAACTCATGGTGTGTTTAGTTCATCTAAACATCTTGGAACCTCTCAATGTAAGTATAGGAGGGAAATGTATCTGGGTACATTTCCATAAAGTTACAATAAAAAGAGGATAGTTTCAGTAGCAGGGTAGTCCTATAAAAGGGATGGAAAGGGTTTAGCCAAGAGTGCTAACTTTACAGAGAATTGACTGGTTTTTGGCCCATGGGAAGAATGGTTCTTTTGTCAAATCACAGACTCCCCCACCATTCTTTGGTCAGCACTTCCCATCCAGCTTTGAGAGATTGGTTACTCCTAAGACTACTTTGAATTTTTTTTTGTAATTTTTTGTAAACACATATTTTATAGGCCACTTCCACACTGCCCCTATTTCTTAGGATCTGATGCCAGATTATCTTCTTATCCCAGATTATCTGGCAGTGGAGACTCATATAATCCAGTTTAAAGCCCATGATCTGGGATAGGACCTGGGATGTAAGGGCAGGGTAGAGTCCATAGTTTGGTTTTATATCTGCCCTTTTCTCCTATCAGAACCTGAAGTATTAGGGGCAACCTGATAATGCTTGAGTTGCCGATCAGAAAGGGGTAACCTGAGATACTGCATTATATATACCATAATGTATTCTAGGTCTAGGTATAGACATTGGCTTAATGCCTGTCTTCCAGCATCATTTAATCTTTCTTGTAGGGAAATGCCATCGTTGTCTCTTTGGACTGGTTGACATGGACAATATACTTGTAACACTGTCCTTTTTCACTCATGTTATCCTTATGTTATAATTTTTACTCTAATGAATAGGAATGGTTTGCTTTCTAACTCATTTACAACAACAACAACAACTCTACAGATTTTTATATAATATAGTATTTGCGATTTCTCCTAAAGAATATATTTTCTGGTGGAAGATCAGCATGACAAATTTTGCATACAGTGGACCCTCAATATCGACCAGCATTGTGATCCAGGACCCCAGCAGATACATTTGTGGATCCTTAAAGTCTATTCTCTATAATGGTGTAGTAAAATTGTAATCCTAATATAAAATGGCAAAAATCAAAGTTTGCTTTTTGGATTTTTTTTTAAAAAACATCTTCAGGCTGTTGATAGTAGAATCTATGGATACTATGGGCTAATTGTTTTTGCAAATAATAATAATAATAATAATAATAATAATAATAATAATAATATTTTAATGTGTTACCTACCTGTCCTCATGGCTCAAGATAAGGCACAACACAGATATTCTGACAGCTGATTTAGTTTGCTATATTCTTCACACTGCATGTTTTCACACTACTTTGATTTTTGCTATTTTATATTAGGATTACAATTTTACTACACCATTATAGAGAACAGACTTTAAGGATCCACAAATTTATCTGCTGGGGTCCTGGAACACAAGGCTGTTCGATATTGAGGGTCTACTGTATGCAAATTTTTTCCTACTGGTATCAAGCAAGGTTTTTCTTTTTTCTTTTTTTTTTTTGTATTTTTTACCTTTTTCAGAGATAGATTCACTGTTACAAACATTTATTTCAGAAATTCTGTTAACTAACGCTTGTTTTTGTTTGTGAAGCTCTTATTAACCACATTAGTGGAACAAAATCCTGAGGATATGGGAGATTTGTACCTCGATGTTGCAGAAGCCTTTCTTGATGTTGGAGAATATAATGCTGCATTACCTCTGCTGAGCTCTCTGGTGTGTTCAGAAAGATACAATCTCGCTGTTGTTTGGCTCCGTCATGCAGGTAATAGCCCTGTCCGGTTTAATAGTGTGACTTCAGCAATGTAAACTATCTCTGGTTGAGTTTGAAATAACTCAAGTTTGTTCTAGACTGCCCTATATCCCAGGATCTGATCCCAGATTATCTGTTAATCCCAGATTATCTGGCAGCGTACTCATATAATCCAGTTCAAAACAGATAAACTGAGATCAGATCCTGGGATATAGTGCAGTGTAGATCCAGCCTCAATCAGGATGGATTTGTAAGCTGCTCCGAGTCCCCCGGGAAGATGGGGCGGGATATAAATAATAATAATAATAATAATAATAATAATAATAATAATAATATTATTATATTATTATTTCTTTTTTAAAAATTCAAAGCTCATGATTTTACAAAGTAATGTACCAAAAGGAGCAAAGATTCAGGTGCTCAGTCTTAGGCCCCTTCTACGCTGCCATATAGATTATCATATCAGATAATCCACATTTTCTGCTTTGAGCTGGATTATGAGTCTTCACTGCCATATAATTAATTTCAAATAAGATAATACGGATTTATATGGTAGTGTAGAAGGGGCCTCAGGGCCCTTCGACACAGCCATACAACCCAGAATATCAAGGCAGAAAATCCCACAATATCTTCTTTGAACTGGGTCATCTGAGTCCACACTGCCATATATTCCAATTCAAAGCAGATAATGTGGGATTTTATTCAGCTGTGTGGAAGGAGCCTAAGTGTACTTGACAAGAAGATATATAAATAAACTTCAGCAATATGTGTCAACATACCTATGTTTTGTTGCTTGATGAGTGAGGATCTGACCCTGTAGTTTCAGAGCTGAGATGGTCCTGAAGGTCGCACAATTATTGGGGGAAATGGGGTATCCTTGGGAAGGAAGATGGTGGCTGTTTTCTTGTGAGAGTTGTTACAATGTGATAACTCAGATGTCAAGGCCTGAGATAGGACTTGGTTGACTCTCTTTCTAGAGTGCTTAAAAGCACTGGGCTACATCGAGCGTGCGGCCGAGAGCTATGCCAAAGTGGTGGACCTGGCCCCCTTGCACCTGGATGCGCGCATTTCCCTCTCAACGCTCCAGCAGCAGCTGGGCCGGCCAGAGAAAGCCCTGGAGGCCTTGGAGCCAATGTACGACCCAGACACACTGGCACAGGATGCCAACGCAGCTCAGCAAGTAAGAATGTCCAGCTGGTCACCTGAACTGAGTTTGGCATTAGAATGGATGGGTAGTGGGTTAGGAGCATGGTGTGAGGAGCATGCTGTGAGGGGTGAGATCTTAATACCAAATGGAGTCAAGGAACCTGGGGAATGTTAGCTAGCAGTGCAGAAATACCTTCAGGGGAAACTTTTTGCCCACATTTCTGTTATAGTCCTTGTTCGGGCTTGTATGTTTCGATTGAATGCAAGATGAGACTCATTGTGTTCTACTTGCCTTCTTCCAACATTTAGGAATTAAAATTGCTGCTCCATCGTTCAACGTTATTATACTCTCAAGGCAACATGTACGGTTATGTAGATTCGTTGCTGACTATGTTAGCAATGCTCCTCAAGGCAAGTGAAATCTTTTACTACATGTCACAATGGGTTTAAGGCTTGCGCATGAATTCATTCTCTGCATGGTGATATTATGCCAAATGGATAATAAATGTAAATCTTATTTGGTCTGTGTCAGTATATAAAAAGATCTTGTGGGACTTCTGGGCTGGAAGAATAAGGCTGGATATACACTTCCCTGTATCCCGGGATCTGATCCCAGATTATCTGCTTACCCCAGATTAACTGTCAGTGGAGACTCATATAATCCAGTTCAAAGTAGATCATTTGGGATCAGATCCTGGGAGATAAGGCAGTGTTAGACTAAGTTTATCTCAGAATTAGTTTCAAGGATGTTACAAGATCTATTTATAAGTTTAGATGAGATTGAACATAGAACAGTTTTCTGAACAGTGTTGTCAGGAGAAACCTGCATTATCTGGAAGGTTTTGGTCAGGATTAGTCTGTCACCAAGATCTCACCAATTGAGAAAACACTGGATGGATCTTTACGCTGGGACTGAGAGTCGCTTGCCATTCCTATCTTCCTATGTGTTTGAGGTCTGCAACTTTGGATCTCTTTGTGGCTCCTTTCCAGGTTGCCATGAACCGGGCTCAGGTATGTTTAATATCCAGTTCAAAGTCTGGAGAGAGGCATCTCTATCTTATTAAAGTGTCCAGGGACAAAATCTCAGACAACAACGATCAAGAAACAACCAACTGCGATGCCAAAGGTAATAGGTTTGTGTCTGTGGGGTGTTTGTGTTGCAGTCAGGAGATAGAGTAGGGCATAGATTGTCTCTTCTGAAAAATAACTTTGTGTATTATACCTTTGAATCCAAAGGAGCATGCGCACTGTAGCATTAATGCAGTTTGACACCATGCCTCAATGCTATGCGATCCTTGGAGCTGTAGCTTGGTGAGGCAACAGTCTTCTTTGGCAGAGAAGGCTAAGCACCTTGGAAAACTACAGCCCCCAAGATCCCATAGTACAGAGGGCTGTTCTCAGTTACCTGGACCTTTTCTGATTCTATTTTTTGACTTCCCCTCACATAAGAAGAGAGTTAAAAATAAAGTATTATTATTATTATTACTATTATTATTATTAATTTATATACTTTTGTTCTCTGCATTATATGGGGAAATGGGTTATAAGCATTCTAAAACACTGCATTGTCTTGTGGCTCCATTCTAGCCATATTTGTGGTGCTTACAAGTGTGCTGACCAAAGATGATTGGTGGAACCTCCTGTTGAAGGCCATCTACGCTTTGTGTGACCTTTCACGGTATAAAGAGGCAGAGCTCCTGGTGGACTCCTCCCTGGAGTATTACTCCTTCTACGACGACAGGCAGAAGCGCAAAGAGCTGGAGTACTTTGGTCTCTCTGCCGCCATTCTGGACAAGAATTTTAGGAAAGCTTACAATTACATCAGGTGAGTTTCTTTGCCTGGGTCGAAGAAGCAAACTCAGCTCAAATCCAGTGATAGAAATCTTCATCAGATGGAAAGGCTTGCGCTACATATGGTCTTCCATTTCCAGCGATTCAAACAACCATGGCTTCAAAATACATGGAAAAAATCCTGGGTTTTTGGGGGTTTTTTTTGCTGTAATTTGTTGTTTGGGCTTGGCCCCATGTAAGCTACCCCGAGTCCTCATTGGGGAGATGTTGGCGGGGTATAAATAAAGATGATGATTATTATTATTATTAAAAGCTTGATTTTAAAAGATAAATATTTCCATTTGACAGTAAGTGTAGTTAACTCCGACTCTGGGAAGTGGTGCTCATCTCCATTCTAAGCCAAAGAGCTGGCATTGTCCATAGATGCCTCCTAGGTCATGTGGCTGGCATGTCTGTATGAAGCGCCGTTACCCTCCCACCAAAGGAGTACCTATTGATCTACTCACATTTGCATGTTTTCAAACTGCTAGGTTGGCAGAAGGTGGGACTGACAGCGGCAGCTTGCCCTGCTCCCTGGATTCAAACTGCCGACCTTTCAGTCAGCAAGTTCTGCAGCTCAGCAGTTTAACCCACTGCGCCACTGTGGCCCCAGCTTGATTTTACCCTATGCCAATGTCTAGACATGCCCTTCTATAGCCTCCAGCCATTTCACAGGTCATCGGTTCTTTTTGGCATTCATTTGATATAAGGAACATTAAACTACACCATTGCCTATAATGGGACTTGAGCATCTGTATGAGGAGGTCCTGGAACCCAACCTCATAAGATAGCAGTGATCCACTGTTATTTCTTTCTGTCCTAAAATAGTCTCCTTACCTAGTGATAGGCTGTAACTATAAAGCACTAAAAATATATTGGTAGTTAAATTACATTAATTTAATAAATTGCATTATCTGCATAAATTAAATTAAATTACATTAAAATACTATGGTAATCGTGGTCAACTTGTGGATGCTCATATTGGGGCTTCTGATATAAAAGCTGTTTTTTTCTGCAAGTTTCATGTGTTGTATGTTAGTTGCACGAAACCCATTTTTTTCACTGTTTGGTGCAAAAAAGCCCCATCTGCTTTTCTCTGCAGCATGATTCCTTTGTAACACTTTGGGATTTTCAAATACCAGGAGACAAGTGTGCAAAATCCTAAAATTTGCACTAGTCAAGATGAGACCAAGGCAATGAGGAGTAGTGGTGTGCACATCACCTTAGAGCAGTGTTTCCCAACCTTGGTCCAAGGTTTCACCATTACTATACCGTTGCAGATGGTGACTACCAGATGGCATATGTTCTGTGTCAGAAACCAGAACTGATGTGGTCTATCCAATGCAGTTTTCTGAACCAGCACCCCAAATAACCAAACTGAATCTAAAGTTGACTTAAAACTAATTCGTAACCCTTTTGGTACTAATGCTGGAGAGTGGTCCCTGGTCTGATGGTCCCTGGTCAAAAAAAGGTTGGGAACCACTGCCTTAGAAAATAGATTGAATGCTTAAATGGCCAACAAATAACCATAGCCTCCACACCTGAACATACTGGGCTCGTAATGGAATTTGTGTATTGGAATGCTGAGAAGGAGGCCTTGCCTTTCGTAATGGAATTTGTGTATTGGAATGCTGAGAAGGAGGCCTTGCCTAATTTCAAAAAAGAAAAAGCAATTTTAAACAGCAGTAGTTTAGCAGATCAGAAGCTTCCTGAGCTAGTAGTAGAGTGAATGAGCTTTGGCATTTACAGTAACAGAAACAAGCTTTAAAAGTTACAAGAGACTTCCTTGAAAGAACTTAAATTTCTATATATGAACGTAAAGGCCTAGCTCTCTCGGGAGACATCTTGTCTCTCCCCATGTTCACAGGAGAGAAAAATGGAAGACTCAGAGGCTTACCATGTTGCTAGAAATTTTGAATAAAGCAAGCTGTGTCTCCGAGGACAGAGAGCATTGGGAGAAGGGTTTTCCCTGTCAGCTGAGTTGATTATCTCTTTGATGACTATAAACTTGTGTAGGATGTGGTTGAGTTCCAACACTAAAGAAAATGTGATGGAGGGTGATTTCCATCAGTCTTGATTGAAGGATTATAACTGTAAGACCTGTCTCAGGTGCAAGATGTATGACAAATGCTGTGTTACTTCCCTGCAAATAATGATTTCACTGGTCAGTGCCTGAACCAATACCTTCACTGCACATAGCCTCACGGGTCTTTGCTTCTTCTGCAGGATAATGGTCATGGAGCATGTCGATAAGCCTCAGCTTTGGAATATCTTCAACCAGATCACCATGCACTCGCAAGATGTTCGGCACCATCGCTTCTGCCTTCGGTTAATGCTGAAGAACCCCGACAATCATGCACTCTGTGTTTTGAATGGCCACAATGCCTTCGTATCCGGTAGTTTCAAGCATGCTCTTGGTAGGCACATTACTAGCGTTGCAACCTCTGACCCTGTGTTTAATGTTCATTTTCTCTAATCCTATTATATGCGTTTCACACTTTAATCTGCGTGTGTAGACAGACAGATAATAGGCATTTTGCTTTTCTGGACTGTAACTGCCAGAATTTTAAACCCATGGTGGCCAATTAGATCAGCACATTGTGATTCTGGGAGCAGTAGTTCAAAAACGTTACTTTCTACGTTGGATGTGATACAGGCTCTAGAGTTGTATGATTTTAAGTGCTGGAGCTAATGGACTTGAAAGAGTGCTTATTTGGGAAGCAAACACATATTTGCCACAGTGGCTATTTCATGCTCTACTTCTATTTTCCTGATGAGCAGAAAAACCAACAAGGCTTTTTCTTCTAATAAAAAAGAATAAATTTCTGAAGAGATATTACATTTAAAATTCATTTAAAATACGACAATGTTGTGTCTATACTGTTAGGATGCACTGCCATGTCCCTTTGTTACCAAATGACCCCAAAACCTTCAGGGTTTCTTCATCCAATCAAACACTGGAAGCAAGTAGATGGTTCAACAGGTTTATTTGATCAAGTTACCCTGCTGGGTGAACAGAGGCAAGTGTCACCCAATACTGAGACGCAAGTCAGCTTTATGGTCAACATCTTGAGCATGTGCACAGATGATTTCCAAGCTATTTTCTCTGATTAGTACCTCATCCCTCTCTTTGTTTTGTTTTTTTCTGGCACCAGCTCTTATCAGTATTCCTGCGCCTGTTTTTCTCAGCAGCTGATTCCCCCTCCAGCGTCTCACCTTCCTGCTTGTTACTAGACATTTCTCCTTTGTATTTTCCCCTTGTCTGAACTTTCAGCTTTGTTTGGTAATTTCCCCCTACTATCATTGCCCTACTCCCTTCAATTCAAATGTCCTCGGGGGAAAAAAACCCTTTTTTCTCATCTGATGCATTCACTACTGTCTCTGTGGCCAGTGGCCATGCTGGTTTGGGATTATGGGAATTATCCTCTTCTAAAAGAACAAAGAAAGCTTAATAAATTATCAAGCTTTAATTAAAACAACAAGCCGTAGCACAGGAAATTTCATGACCACAACGAAAAAGAGAATGCCCTTGCTTATTCTTAGTAGTTCAAAGCTTCACAAGTAGAGGCTGAGCTAATTCTTAGTACAAGTGATATACGGATGTAAGATATTCAGTGCGTATTCTGTGTTTTTTTTGTTTTGGGGACCTCATTCAATCAGAGGAAAAGCAATATTAATAAATAACATTCCCAAATGCTTTCTTGTAGGCCAGTATGTGCAAGCTTTCCGTACTAACCCTGAAGAGCCCCTCTATAGCCTCTGCATAGGCTTGACATTCATCCATATGGCCTCTCAGAAGTATGTCTTAAAACGACACGCACTTATCATACAGGTGAGTGGTCAGGCTCTCAGTTGTACTTGTAACACACTCTCATCTACCAATAACAATTCAGGCTTTCGGGCTTGCAAGGGGTAGAGTTCCTTCTTCTCTTTACTCATACCTGGTGAAGAATCATGTTGCATACTTTGAAGTTATGATGGGATTGTGTTATGACTTCAGAGATCATGTTATGACTTGAATAGAGTGTACATGAATACACACACAGCCCCCCCCCCCCAAAATGTATACACCGTTGTAAAAAGTTCAAAAGCACTCAAGATGGTACAAGAGTAAGGCCGTAATACTCCCCTTAAGAGGAAGTTTCAGGGAGTAAATTATCCCGTGGGTGAATTATGATGGCCTAAGTCAGATATATGCAACTGCAGCTCACTTTTTTGTCATTTTGGAGACACAAGGTTTCTATGCATTGCCCTCTACTGGCTGTATAACTAATTTCTCCCTAAACCACCTGTTTTCGGCAGTAGTTCCTTGGAAGTAGATGGATATTTGTCCACTGCTTTTCCACTCTTTACTGAATAGGAAATGGCTTGGTTCAGGGGGTGGGGAAAGAGTTACAGCTTGTTTTGGGGTGCTGGGTAGGAGATTTGCTGCTGCATCTCATAGCTAGAGTTGTGGCCTAAGTTCGATATGCACATCTCTTAAATATGGCAATCAAAAATCAATATAATTTTATTATTGTTCAGATTTTTAAATCACTGGTAAAATACATTTTTTAAAAAAACTAATGCTTTAAAATCCGAATAGACTAATGAATATGTGTGTAACCCTCTCTCACTCCAGTGGATGAGATTGAAAACTATAGTGATTGTACTAATAGAGTTATATATACTTTACACCAATGAATGTATTTAGATATTTTGTTTTCCATACATGGAGTAGCTCATAGAACGAATGCAAGAAAACTTTATGTATACAGGCAGTCCCCAAGTGACAAGCATGCGACTTACAAACGACTCATAGTTACAAACAGGGGTTGAGACAACAGGAAGGGAGAGAAATCTGCCTCTCAGAAGGGAAATTCACTCCTGTAAGAGTTATCATGGCATAAAGGTGTCTGAGTCCCCTTGAAGAGACAGGATGGGATACAAATAAATAATAATAATAATAGTAATAGTAGTAATAATAAGAGTTGTTATTTAAACGGAAGCTTTCTTGCCAATCCTTGTTTCCACAACAAGCCAAATTTTTCAAGATCCAATTCTCACAGGGACAGAAAGTGAGGCGACATCTTCTGAACAGGGGCACAAGCATCAAAACAAACACCACAGGGTTGTTTGTTTTCCTAAGATATATGTACGTGCGTGTGTGTATTTGGAGTTACCCTTAAAAATGTACCTGTTCTGACTTACGAACAAATTCAACTTAACAAATCTACACACTATCTTGTTTGTAACTTGGGGACTGGCAATATATTGAGCTAAATTTTCCCATACTGCCTTTGTTCAAGCTACTAAAACTTAGCTCAAAGAAAAATCTTACAGGCTGTTCTGCTGCTCATTGCCTTAGTAATGTCTTGCCTTTCTTGTGATTTCTATGGGTCAGTCCAATGCTATTTCTTCCATTAGTCTTTATATTTAGAGATAACCATCTTGCTGAAATTACTGTGATGATATCCATTTTGGATGTACTACTTTTGCTCTCTGGAAAAGAATAAGTTCTGTTAATAGAAGTGTGTCAGTGGGGAGCAGGAGAGTGAGACACTATTAGCCTCCTTTTGTTAAGAGTGGTATGCTGAGGTAGAGAGAGGAAATGCAGTGGGGAAAGAAGAAGGGCTGACTTGAAGTCAGCCTGATTCAGCAATTACCTTGACGGTTTTCAATTACTCTTCTGTCATTAATCATAATGTTCTCTATCAGAAAAAGGAGTGTACTGCCTGTATTATTCTTTTCATTTTTCCGAAGAAATTGGGGCTGCAGATAGAACAGCCCCAATAATAATATTAATATTATTATTAATAATAATAATAATCCCATACCCTAAATCTTAATACCCTCAAATTTGGATTGTTGTGGAAACAAGGATTGGTGAGAAAGCTTCAGTTTAAATAACAACAACAATCATTTATTATTATTATTATTATTATTATTATTATTATTATTATTATTATTAGTTTTTCGGTCAGTACAATAATAATAATAATAATAATAATAATTATTATTATTATTGTTGTTATTTAAACTGAAGCTTTCTCACCAATCCTTGTTTCCACAACAAGCTAAATTTTAGGATATTAAGATTTAGGGTATGGGAAGAGAGATAATCTGGTTATTTGTCTTTGAAAGTGACCTTAGAAAACAAGGTAGGTATCTTCCAGCCGGTTCCATCTGTAGACTTGAGTTAGTCATTCGCATGCAGTCATGCTAGCCAGATGACCTTGGAGGTGTCTATGGATAATGCTGGCTCTTTGGCTTCCCCCCAGAATTGGACTCGACTAGACTTGACTCAAGGGGTAACCTTTACCTTTAAACCTATATTTATCCCTTCAAACAGCAATCCTTTGCTCAATGTGTTATCATTTAACCTGGTTCAGATTTTGAAACACAAATGGATGCCTTAGATTTGTGCTGCACAAGTCCAGTTTGGGATCTTGGCCAACATATGATGAACATAATACAGAAATGAGCCCATCAGGCAATGTTTCTAGTACCCAGCATTTGAAATCCAATGTTTACTCTTAATTCACAGCTGAGGCAAGAGGTTTTCTCTGGTTTAATGAGGGTCAAAGCTGTCTGTGCATTTAATAGTATAACCTCTGACTCTTCTGTGGGTCTTTCTCTCCTGTACTCAGGGGTTCTCATTCCTTCAGCGGTACCTGAGCCTTCGTGGCTGTTGCCAAGAATCCCTCTACAACTTAGGCCGTGGCCTTCATCAACTGGGATTGGTGCATTTGGCTATTCACTATTACCAAAAAGCCTTGGAGGTTGAACCATGGATCCTGGAGGTATTCTGGAAATCTCTTCAAAATATATATTTAAGTTTGTAACACACACACATGCTCACTAGAAGGCTTCGCATGGACTTTGCTTATGTTTTATCTGGGTTTGTGCTTGGCAACTACTGCACACAATATCAATATTGTCAGCCCTCCATACTCGTAGGTTTAACTTTTGTCAATTTGATTACTACCAGATTATTTGTACCTGCCCCCTCTGCTCTACAACCTTGATAGAGAGGGGTACAGTTGGCTTTTTGGCCAAGATATGACTCTGTCTTTTTTCTGTCAAGAGCGGCACAGCTGGTATCCCACACTTCTCTCTGTTGATGGAGGACCCTTCATCCTTTGATGGAGGAGGAACAGCTGGCTCAATATGCTTCTCTCTGCTGAGGAAGGACTCTTTTTTCCAATGGAGAGTGTGTAGTATGCATGTTTTTGAGGTGGTTGGGGGTGGGGGTTAAAATATTTTAGGTTATTTTAATTTTGCAGGGCTCTTGTATACGTAGTCCCTACAAATATGGAGAACTAGACTTAGAGTTTGGAGTTCAGAGTTTTTAAATATTACATTAGCCCCCGGTGGCGCAACAGGTTAAACCCTTGTGCCGCACGACTGCTGACCGAAAGGTTGGCAGTTCAAATCCAGGGAGCGGGGTGAGCTCCTGTCTGTCAGCTCCAGCTCCCCATGCAGGGACACGAGAGAAGCCTCCCACAGGGTGGTAACACATCTGGGCGTCCTCTGGGCAACGTCCTTGCAGACAGCCAATTCTCTCACACCAGAAGTGACTTGCAGTTTCTCAAGTCGCTCCTGACATGAAAAAATATATAATTTATACGTACATATTTAAAAACAAAAATAAGGGTCACTTTCATAAGAGCATGTTATGAGCTACAGTCCACTTTATCAGATATCTGATGTCTTATCCAAAATTTCAGGTATATTGACAATGTGTATGGATAAACTGGCAAGAGGAAGTTCAGAAAATTGGAAAATTGATTCTAAAGTGCATAGTAGATTTGGCAGCCTTTTCAGGAGCTCCTTTGCAATGTACATCGAAGTGTAAAGCATAAATACCACTCTTGGAAATCTGTGCAATGTACATATACTTAATGCACACACAAACACACACACACCTTAAGGCTGTGACATTAGACATTAGAAACTCTTTTGAACAGTGTTGCTTCCATCTGATAGGATAGGATATCAAATCTTCCTAGTAAAACTTCACATTGTTTTGACCCTGGTCAGACCTCCCAGTATTTCCTTCACTTGCAAAATTTCTGTTCTTGTGAGAGATAATTGGGAGCTGACTTTCAGATATGAAGCTTGCCTCCTTGGAAGTTTTCCTCAGCATTTTTTTTTGGTAAGATTTCACTCTGCCACTGGATTTGAGGAATATTAGCAGTGAGGCAATATTTATGAATAGCTGGGACAAAATTTGCAAGCAATAATACAGCCCAACAAAATTAATGCTTGGTGTTTTGCTTTTTAGGTCTGTTTCTGGGGTTATTTGGGGTGCTGTTTCGGAAAATTGCATTAGATAGACTGCATCAGCTCTAGTTTCTCATATATGATTATCATGATTTTCTGTGGGCAAGCAGATGAAGAATAGTTTTTGAGATATGTTCTCTATCTCAAAAACTAGAGCCAATAGGGAAAAACTGGTGTTGTTTTTGGAATCAGTGGGTGAAATATACCCCAAAACAGGTCTAACATCTGAGGCCCCAAAATGTGTAATGTCAGTTGAATTTCTTTTGCCTCAAATGTTTGCCAATGTGCCCATGTTAGAAATGCTGAGAAAAATGAATTATCTTTCTCTCCCAAATCAGGGGATAGAAGCTGACCAGACGGACCTAAGAAGAGATATCGCCTTCAATTTGTCACTCATCTATCAGAGCAGTGGAAATATCAGAATGGCTCGGCACCTGCTCTATACTTACGGAGTTGTGTAATGCAAGAGCCCACATCAAAGCCCAATATCCAGGCAGGCCATTGGCCTGAGAAGGATGGATTGCTTTCAAGGGAAGGAGAGCAAGCTAGTCAGATAGATGGTGCTGCCTCTCATTTTCAGAGGGACAGAAACCAGGAATGACAGATGAATGAAGTGCTCAAGTGGAGCTTTGGGAACAGACCCTTTGAAGTGATTGCAGGCAATGCATCATTTATAACAATCGGTGCTCTCTGCTGAATGCAAAGCAGAAAAGTAGACCTGATGCGATTTACTCAGTGAAGTTAACTGAGAATGTTCCTGATGTGGATTAAGTAGTTTTGATCTGTGATAACCTGACTGGAAATGCTGCAGACTGTAGACTGTCATGACACCATTTGAAACTACAATGTTTAAGGTGAATTGAGCTTTGAAATAATATTTTAAAGTACTGTGAAAGCAGAAGTTAGTGAGCCTGAAAGACTTCAGCAGGTCAAACCAAATTCACATTTTTATACTTTTAGTGGTGTTGGAGAACCAACAATGAATGCTGAATTGATATCTAAGTCCTTTTATGGAAAGGGATCCTCAGTGGGAATTTTACTGAAACTCTTATTTACTTTTTTCTATGTGAATTTTTTTTATTTATTGAATAAATAAAATATCATTTATGTTACTGAATACTATCTCAATACATTAAAAGGTCTCCAAACTATGGCCCGCGGGCCGGATATGACCCACCAAGGCCATTTACCCAGCCTCCACCGCTACCGCCATGGCTGCCATTTGTACCCTTGCCTCCACACACATGCAACTGCCAATGCACACACACACACATTCCCCACTGCCTGTCATTGATTATTTTTGTTTTATTTCTTACCTGCCTCTCCTCACAGCTCGAGGCAGGTCACAGCAATGGATGGATGGAAGGCAGGCAGGCAGGAAGGTGAAAGAAAAGAAAAAAAAGGAGGGAAGGAGAGAGGGAGACAGAAGAGAGAGGGAGAAGTGGGAAAGAAAAGAGAAAAAGAAAGGAAGGGTGACTTTAGCCAAGTCTCACATTCTCATCCTGAGATGAAGACAAAGACAATCTCCTTTGAATAAATCTTGACAAGAAAACTCTGTTAGAGAGTCTAAAACAACTTGAACACACACAACAACAACAACAATCTTAATTAACTTGACTATCTCATCAGCCAAAAGCAGGCCCACAATTCCCATTGAAATAACAGCAAGTTCATGTTGGTTAAAATTGTTCTTCATTTGAAATATTGGATTGTGCTTTCATTTTTTTTGTACTACGGTATGTGCAGTGTGCATAGGAATTTGTTCATTTTTCAAACTATAGTCCAGCCCTCCCAACAGTCTGAGGGACCATGAACCAGCTCTCTGCTTTAAAAGTTTGAGGAGTCCAGATCTTACTGTTATTTATTGCCCAGTTTTAAATTGTTTTGTGCTTCCAAAGAGAGGTGGGTAGAATCAAGAAGCTCTCTTGGATAACTCTGCCTAAGCTGCTTTATGACTACCAGAAGAAAAGATGCGGTACAGGACCAGTTGCTTTCCAAAACATCTTCAACCATTATTGTGTAAGAAAAAGGACAAATCTGCAGAACAGTAACTACAAAACACAAACTGCTTCCAGTGTAAAAAAAGTATAGCTATCTTTTAATTCTTAAATAAACACACACCAGCAAATATACATCAGATTTACATTGTTTATGCTAATAGTTTGGAAAAGAAAAAAGTGGCAAAAGTACAACACATTTTCAATCATGATTTCTGATGAAGTGCAGTCACTATTTACTCTTGGACCAATCCCAGAAAGGTGTCTGGGATTGGAGGCAAAAGGAAAAGGTTTTCTAGCTGGGTGAATTTGTCATCAGCAAAACCAGTAAAAATAGAATGATTCTAAAATGCAATGTACAACCGTCTTATGTATAAATACATCAACAATGATATAATGAATTGTTTCCTCACACATTTTTGTTGTTTTCTTACCTGATAATGAACAATTTGAGCAAGGCACTCACGTATTTAATGACCTGTGAGAATGAGGGAGGAAGCAGGAGAGAGAAAGGCACTCACCTCAAAATTGACTTAGCCTTTATTTATCCATGATGCAGAATTCTACAAGTTTGATACCACTTTCATTGCCATGGCTCAGTGCTACAGAATTCTGGGATCTGGAGTTCTGTGAGATAATAGCACTCAAAATGGTTTAAAAACTGCTGTTAAGTCTACAGTATGGCTACAACCGTAGTCATATTTTAGTCTCTATGTAGAGCAATGGTTCTCAACCTGTGATCCCCAGATGTTTTGGCCTTCAACTAACAGCTTCTAAACTGGCTGGGATTTCTGGGATTTGTAGGCCAAAACACCTGAGGACTCACAGGTTGAGAACCACTGATATAGAAACATTTTTAGCATGTACTGTACCTTCTTTCAACACCACAATCAACCCTCGTCATTGTGATGAACTTATCTAAATTCTCTGACATTCTTTTACACTCGTCACTCTACCCCCCTATTTTCATCTTCTAATTTTATCCAATTTTATCAAGCTTATTATTTAATCAAGTGTTATTGTGTTTTAATGGATTTTAGTTCACTATGAGTGAAGTTTTAGGAAGGTGATTAGTGTCTTTGTGTATTTTTGGTTTTTATTGTTGATAGGGTCAGTGGTCTAATAAATAAACAATCAGTAGTCTAGTCAATAAATAGAACTATCTATCTATCTCTATCAGTGGTCTAATAAATAAACAGATCTATCTACCACAATCAGTGGTCTAGTCAGTAAACAGATCTATCTATCTACCACAATCAGTGGTCTAGTCAATAAACAGATCTATCTATCTACCACAATCAGTGGTCTAGTCAATAAGCAGATCTATCTATCTACCACAATCAGTGGTCTAGTCAATAAACAGATCTATCTATCTCCCACAATAAGTGGTCTAGTCAATAAGCAGATCTATCTACCACAATCAGTGGTCTAGTCAATAAACAGATCTATCTATCCACCACAATTAGTGGTCTAGTCAACATATCTATCTACCTACCACAATCAACTGCTCAAAACTCTTTGGCACCATAGGCGTTCTGGACATTCATCAGTGCAAAAGTAGTTGGTGGACAAAGAAACTCTGGGTTTCAACTACAAGCTCAATTCAGTTATACTGTTTCAAAGCCCTACAGTTTCAGCTTCTGTTCACTGCAAACACACCAAATGTTGGGGAAGACCCAGTTCAGCACATCACTATGTTTCATCCTAGGGATCTAAAGACTTTCACTCAGGAGGTTTTAGCACTGGGCCACATACAAATCACTTTTTAATTTCAAAAAGGAAATTTATCAGCTTACCAAGTTCCTTTGAGGCATTTTAATAATTAGTTGTTGCACTTAATTGAGATTCAGGCCTTTCCCAGCTCTTGGTCAGTTTGAGTGTATACATTTTGAGGAACACTCTTCTCCATTAACAGAGGGGATACTGAGTTGAGACCTGGCTTCTGCTGTTCAGTAACTTCAGTGAGTCTGTGGCACTCACCCTTTGAAAAGGTCCAGCTTTAGGTCTTCCCTTGTGTACCACTGGCACTGTATGGCCGTCGTGCATCTTGGCCTCAAAAGGGCTGTTCACAGGCACATAGTCACCTCTCGCAGCCTGGAACCTCCTTCCGCCTAAAAAGCTCATGGCTGGTTTAGTTCATTTAGATACTTTCTGGAAATAAACTTCAAATGGTTCTTCATTTCCCAGCGCTTCAGGCAGACCTGGCTAGGAAGCCTCACTGGTTTTTCCTACAGAGGAGGATGTTTCATCAGAGTTTGGAAAAAATGATGCGCACTGAAATTTATTTTTATGACAATAACACTATGTAACAAAATTTGGGGGAAAAAAATCTGTCCTGGTTTGAAAGTGTTCTTTCCTGAAGTTGTACTCCAGAAACCTTGTTTTTGTGGCTGCTACACACTATGCTGAATTAATTGAGACTCAATAAAAACTAGAGGAAAATGTGCTGCAGGATGTCCCATAAAAACAAAGTTTTTGCAGTTTAATAAACTTTCCATTTTTAATGACTGAACCAATTAGGAAATGATATTTATAATCCTGGAACAAAAATTGTGTTGTGTGGTGTAATAAGTACAACCATAAGAAGCACCTATTTCTACCCTGATCTTCAGAACTTTAAATCATAATGAGAACTTCCTTTCAAACTCTTATAATCTAAAAATAAAATCCTTTCAGTAATTGCTTGCTCTTTTGTAAATCAAATTTTTGCACAAATGAAAAAAAAAATGGGAAAACAATATTTTTGTCCAATTTTCTCCCCACCCAAAATAGACAGTTCAGCTTATGTGTTAATTTATTGCATAGTGCTTCATCACCATATTATTGTGTGCCTTCAAATTGTTTCCAACATAACCCTATCATAGGGCTTCCTTGGCAAGATCTGTTCAAAGGAGCCTCCCCTGAGGCTGAAACCAGTGGGTTTCCATGGCCGAATGAGGGATTCAAACCCTGCATTCCTAGTCTAACATTCAAACTACTACAACACAATGGCTCTCAGTGCTTCACCTACATTGTCCCAATGATCCTTACAAAAGGCTGGGGAATCTATAACCCTGCAAATTAGGCATAGGCAATCCATGGTTCTAAAGTACTCACAAAACTAGGGGGAGTTGGTGCTTTGCATCTAAAGTGTTGCTAAAGTTCTGGTGGTCAAAATTTCAGAACTGTAACAAAACTTTCAAAATTTCATTATAAATGGCAGTCTAATTGGTTCTGTCATAAAAATCGCCAATAACGAAATAATAATGAAATTTTAAAAGTTTTTTTTAGAGTTCTGAAATTTTTACCACAAATTTAGCAACACTTTAGAAGCAAAGCACCAGCGCCCTATACTTTTGTAAGTACTTTAGAACCATTTAGAACCATGGATTGCCCATGCCTACTGCGAATCTTGTAACTCTCAGAGCACTTGCTTTCAGTTGTGAGTGAAAAGATGGCAAGCCTGCCTCTTGTAGAAGTTTCAGTCTGTCCTAAAACACATGCATCTTAAACCTAAGAAGGCAAGTAGCACTAACCCTGAATGGGTATTCAGATAAACTACTTATGTTCTCAAAAGCAGCCATTATGAGGAAACAGACATTTTATGTCAAGACAACTATTTTGACCGAGGAAAGCTCCCTCACTGACCTCTTCCTCATAGTTGTGTTCAACAGCACTTTTCTGTTGTCTGCTTGCTGCCAGCTCACGCTGCAGACTATCAAACTTTGATTTGAACCACTGGTGAGCCTCCTCCAAATTAGCTGTGATCTGAAAGAGGGAAGAAGAGGACAGAAACATGTACAGTGATACCTTGACTTACAAGCGGCCCAATTTGTGAGTTTGTTTGAGATCCAAGCAGTCACTCAGCCCGTTTTTCACTTTGAGATCCGAGCTGAGATCCGAGTTATGCACTATTGCGAGAGAACGTCATTTGTCAACTTAGGAGCAGCCCTGAGGCACACAGCAGAGTTTGGATCTTTAACACTTTAAGGAACACTTTGTATATAGAATACACTATATAATAGGTTTCCTCAATAGCTCTTTTGTGCTGGGAAGCTGCCAGCTGAAACCGGGGAGGTAGGTAGGCAGTTGCATTTAGTGGGGAGAGGGTTTCTTTCTGAAACGGCATTTTCTTATTTAAAAATATGTAACAAAAATGGGTGTGGTTTTCAGGGGCCTCGAATGGATTAACAACATTTAAATGAGGAGATTTGCTTTGAGATATGAGTAATTTGAGTTAAGAGCAAATTAAACTCTCTAGTCAAGGTATCACAGTACTATTAAATAACTATGTGAAGGCATGCAGATGTCATTAATATAACCTTATTTAAAGCTCAGCTAGTAAGGAAAGTAAACACTTAAACCAAGTTCTGGAATTGTCAGATATAGTTACAGCAGCTCCGTCGTTGTAGTCATGCCTGCCCCACCCACCCCACTCCCCCCAAAAAAACCATCTCATTTTCTGGCACAACCTCAACTGAAAGGTTTCTGATGGGCTGCAAATCAGGTGCTCTGAAACAACATCTGAACTGTTCTCCTTGTCATTAGGTACATTGAGAACAGGCAGCTAGAGAGACACCCTGGGGTCCTGATGAAACTCAATGTATTGCAGGAATAATTTCCTAGTACTCTGATCTGCAGCTCCTCAGAAAACCTTCGGCATATTTGCATAATCTCTATAGGATTAAAAGCTTCACCAAACTTAATAGCACCAAGGCACACACCAAACTACTCTGCCTAGATTCTTTTTTCCTCTCCTTCTGAACCTACCTGTTGGGACTCAAGACCGGCTTCTTTCAGCTTCTGTTCAGTATGTTCTTTGCATTTCCTTAGGTGGTTGATTGTGTCTTCCAGAGTCTGAGTGCATCAAAAAAGTGCAAAATTGGATATTATTCTCTCACATTTTTAACATCGACCAAGAGTCTTGGCCAGGAATAATTGCTCAGTGTAGTAAAGGCCACTCACTTCTATGGATCTTGTTTAGTATGGATTCTTATTAAACAAGAAAGATGGAGATGATGTCTAAGAAAGACTCAAGTGGCTACTACCATAGACAAAACTATACAATGCTCTGCAGCCATATATCAAGGTTCTTACATTTCATTTATAAGATTTATAAAATGGGACATGAGTCTACTGAAAACAACATTAGAGAAAATTAGATAAAGCAGATGTAAATAAAATATAAAACAAAATAATTGAAATATGACAGATTTTTTAATAAATGGCATCCGTCTAATTAAGTGTTCCTTCTGTATCAGTCTTTGCCTGCCAACCAAAGGACAATAAAATTGGAAGAGCAGCTATTTGAGAGTTCCTGAGCTTGGAAAGAGTGACTGAAAAACCCTCTGTCAAATTACCAAATGTGCCTCAGACCATATTGGGATCAGGAATAAGGTGTGCTCTCTCCTTATAAAAACCTGGATGGCCCTATGAGAGAATATGGTCTTCCACACAAACCTGACGAATATACTATATTTACTTGAATCTAATGGTCACCTTTTTTGGCTAAATTACCTTCCCAAAATTAGGGTGTGCATAATGAGCCAAAGTAATAGGGAAGCTGCTTTTGGAGTTCCACTTGGAGCTCTTATTTGAGGGATGTCATCTGTAATTTAATTGCTATAGCTCAATGCTATGCTATCCTGGATCTGTAGTTCAGTGAGACATCAGCATCCTTTGCCAGAGAAGGCTCAAGACCTTGTAAAACTACAGACCCTATGATTCCATAGCACTGAACCAAGGCAGTTAAAGAGATTCATGCATGAACCCCAAGATTATCTTTCCCACTGCTGAAAGTCTTGGTGTTCCAAGACTTTTGTTTTTAAAGAAGGAATTCTAAGCAGGCGGCAACTGCAATGGCCATAGTACAAAGAGTGCACCTTTTGCCACTGCACATTACATTAGTCAGCAAATTACTTTTTTGGATTCAGGGTTTTGAAAATTGAGGTGCACATTAGATTTGATGGTACATTATACTCAAGTAAATACGGGTATACAGTATAGAGATTAACCTGCCATGATCACCGTTTTGAATAATGTCCATAGTCAGGCTGCAGCCAATAAAAGTGCTGTAACAATGGAACTGGTAATAAACTCTGCTCAGCCAAGTGGGACAAAGTTTTGGACAAAATGGAGCTCTGAGCTCATCAACAGTCAACCCACAATGACATTTCGACAGGCGGAGAGCCCTTCACCTTGCATTCGTCTTCAAGCTGTTTCCGCCGTTTCCGCTCCTGTTCCAACTGGCTTTCCAGGTTTCTGTTCTCTGCTGCCATCGCTTGTTGATTTTTGGCCAGCTGTTGCATCTCACTTTGCAGGCTTGTTAATTCAGTGACAAATTGTTTGATGCTCACGGACTAGATAGATGAAGAATTAGACCTCATGACCACAATGTATTGTTTTCATCACAGAGTAACTCCTAGCAGTCTGTGGAAAGGGAATTTACCTGCTCGTAGTTTTTCTTCTGGTACTGCTCCTTCAGATCTTCCATCTGCTTCAATTCTGATTCGATTTCCTGAAAATGGTTCAAAACAGAGAACAGTGTGCCAAGAAAATACTCTTCCCTGTCTGAATATGTACAGGGTAAAATCCTGTTAAGACTTACAAATGACTCCGAGTTAAGAATGGGGGTGAGGCAACAGGAAATGAGAAAAATCTCCCCCTCGGAAGGGGAATTCACTTCTGGAAGAGAAATCATGGGGGAAAGGTGCCTCCATTGAAGCTTTATCCCCAATCCTTGTTTCCACAACGAGCCACATTTTTCAAAATCCAATGATCCCAGGGACGGAAGGTGAGGTGAAATTTTCTGAACAGGGGCACAGACAGTAAAACAAACACCACGGGGGTGTTCACCCTTCCCTATGCCATCCAAAGCTCATATATTAGGTATTTATATATAAATTAAATATAAAGTTAATTATATATATATAATTATATATTTAATAATCACACACACATATATGTGTGTGTGTGTAATGTTCGTTTGTGGGATTAACATAATTCAAAAACCACTGGGCGAATTGACACCAATGTGGACACAATACACCTATCAGGCCAACGAGTGACCATCACTGATAAAAACACTGAAAAACACAGAGGAAGAGACTTAAAAAGACAACAAATCAAAAATACATTACAACGCACACACAAAACCACATTTATACACAAACACACATATATACACATATACACAAATGTATACAGATATATATGCATATGTATATATATATATATATATATACACACACACACACACTCACAAAACACATATATACAGAAAGGGGGAAGGAAGGGAGGGAGGAGAGAAGTAGGGAAAGAGGGAAAGAAGGAGGGAAGGAGAGAAGGAAAGAAAGAAAGGTAGATAAGGAAGGAATGAGAAGGAAATAAAAAGTGAAAGAAGAAAGGAAAGAGAGAGGGCAGGAAGGAGAGAAGGGACAAAAGACAGAAAGAGGGAGGGAAGGAAGGAAGGAAAGAGACACGGATTGATGGAACCTGAGAGCAAAGGAAGGGAGGAAAGAAAAAGGTAGAGAAGGAAAAAAGAAGAAGGGAAAGAAAAAGAGGGAAGGGAGGGAAGAGGGAGAGAAAGAAAGAAGGGAGGGAAGGTTGGCCACAGCAATGCGTGGCGGGTACAGCTAGTGTGTGTGTGTGTGTGTGTGTGTATAATATTAAATTATATATCAAATATATTTAATAATTTATATATATATTATAAGCCATATATATATATATAGCTGGAGTTACACTTATAAAATGCACCTGTTCCAACTTACATACAAATTCAGCTTAACAACAGACCTACAAAACTGATCTTGTTCATAACTCGGGGACTGCCCGTACATTCAAATGATACCAGAGTAGCAATAGTGGTAGATAAGGAGAAATTAATAATTATCTATAGTAATAGGATTAATCCTAATCCAAGTCTAATGGTTCATTCCAGGCAATTTTTAAACTCAGTAGTGATCTATTAGAGCTGTGTCTATTAAAGGCAAAATGTTAACGTTTAGCTTTCTTTTAAAAAGCATATAGCTGGAAAAAGCTAATATAGTATTTTCTACTGACAATGGTGTACTAGCTTCGCAGCTTTTCTCCCTGCCAATATGAAAGATGCAGAAAAGAATGCTGCTATGAGACAACTTACAGCAGCCCTTTTTCCTGCAATCATGTAATTTAGCAGCAATCATGTAATTTAGTATTACACAGCTCTAATTCACTTCGATAAGAAGATGAAGCCATTTCACAGTTGCAGCACAGATGCAGCTAGGAATATTCTACTTCATGCTGAAATGAATTAACCCCTCAAAATCTTGATTTGAATAACCAGTTGTCCCTATTCTAGTAGGTGAGACATGGGTTGCTGTAAGTTTTTCGGGCTGTATGGCCATGATCCAGAGGCTTTCCCTCCTGATGTTCTGCCTTCATCTATGGCAGGCATCCTCAGAGGTTGTGACCTCACATCCTCTCAGGATGCCTGCCATAGATGCAGGTGAAACGTCAGGAGAGAATGCCTCTGGAACATGGCCATACAGTCCGAAAAACTTACAGCAACCCAGTGATTCCAGCAATGAAAGCCTTCAATAACACAGTTGAGACATGGCTTCCAATTGGTAGGTGCAGGAGGTATTTTCAAAAATGAACCCAAATCAAAGGCATCAAAAGCATTGCCTCACCTTCATTCTCTCCACATTTCGAGCATTGTTACTTTTGGAGTTGAAGTACTGTGTGATGAGTGATTTCTGTTTCTTCACCCTCTCTTTCTGAGCTACCAGGGCTGACTCCAGCTCCACCACTTTGGCCCGTAGTTCCCTGTTACAGCGCGACAAATCCCCAGATTTAGAGCAGGCCTCTTCCAGGGCTTTCTTCAGCTAAAGGGTACCAAGAAATAATCAGTCTCATTTCAAACAACAGAGCGATTGATGGCCATCCAATGGATTATTGTGCTCTCATCACTGCACTCCGAACGTATCTCCCCCTATGAACCATCTAAGACAGGGGTCCTCAAACTAAGGGCCAGAAGCCGGATATGGCCCTCCAAGGTGATTTACCCGGCCCTTACTCAGGGTCAACCTAAGTCTGAAACGACTTGAAAACAAACAACAACAACAATTCTATCTCATCAGCCAAAAGCAGGGCCACACTTCCCATTGAAATACTAATACATTTATATTTGTTAAAATTGTTCTTCATTTTAATTATTGTATTTTATGTGTTTTTGCACTAGAAATAAGATATGTGCAGTGTGCATAGGAATTCGTTCCTTTTTTTTCAAATTATAATCTGGCCCTCCAACCGTTTCAGGGACTGTGATCTGGCCCTCTGTTGCCTATTCGGTGGTGGCTATGGAACTTTCTCCCCGGATAAATTAGATCAGCTCCCTCCCTCCTGACCTTCAGGAAGAAAGTGAAGACATGGTTGTGGGACCAAGCAGTTGCACAATGATTCCCAGTGCAACAATAACCTCTCAGTGCAATAATGAACAATGCAAATGACAATTGGAATGGCTCCAGGAATATGTTTTTGGACTTTGTGATTTTAAGTAATATGTTTTAATTATGTGATTCTAAAGTATATGTTGTGTTATTTATATATGTATTCAGGGCATCAAATCATGCCTTTGTTATGAGCCACCATAATGTCTTTAATATTTGTTGAATTACTCAGGATTTATATGTGTAACACTTGGAATTTGGCTTGTTGATTTTTGTTTATAGCATAATAAAAAAAACTTTAAAAAAAACCTTTTTAAAAAAGGATATAAATGTGGCAAATAAATAAATAAGGGCCTACCAGGTCTTGGTACCCTATATAGTACAAAAAAATCCCTGGTTCATACCCAGACTTCTACTCATAAGAGATGGAGGTCACAGCCCAGTGGTTGCAAATATTGCCTGCATTCAGAGTCTCAATTTCTATCATTTCCCATTACGTGAAAAAGGAACAGTCTTCATCTTATTGCTGTTACTTATGCCAATGAGCAATTTAACCTTTTATTCCAGATCAGAGGGGTCGAGAAGCACCCATTTAATTTTAAATGCTCTCCTATCCCTCTTTCCTCACCTCTGTTGATTCCTTTTGGGCTGCCTTCTTTGTAACTTCCCGCTCAGTCTGAAACTGTTTCTTCAGCGTCTCAAGGCGATCTGTGTACAGCTTTGCCTCCATCTTAGTTTCTTCAATTAACTGGTCCCTTTCAGGAAGGCAGAGAGGAGGGAAAAGACATTACAAGAAGAAACTCCTTGTTTATTAATTTTGGGTAGGCCCAAAATTGGCAGAGAGGGTGCTTCCAACATTGATGTGGCATTTCATTTCCTTTGTGTTGCATTTTGCTGCTGGCAGCTAGAGTTCAGCAGCCAGAAATTTGAACTCCAGATCCACTTTGCTCTTTTTGGCCCTGCCTTGCAAAGACAAGGCTGGAGACACATAAATAAATTGGCCACCCACACCAGAAAACTTCAGATTAATAACCCATTTTTTTTACCTGCACTCCAGGAGCTGCTGGTACTCTGTTTCTTTCCTTTCCAACTCATCCTGAACAAGCAAAAGTTTGCTTTGCAAGATGCTATTAGCCTGCAGCGCCTGTTCCAAATTTTGTGCAAGTTTCTTCTTCTCGGCTTTGGAGACTTCCAGTGCTTTACGAAGTGGGCCCGTCTTTTATGGGGAGTGGGGGAGGAAGCAAGCAGATGGAAGCAGTATTGTTATGAGGCGTAACTGTCACATTTAGATTGCTGGACATATCATTCACATGAGCAAACATATCCAGCTGTTGCTGTGAACCTCACCTTGGAAATGGCAACATACATGAAAAACTAGTACCCACAATAATCAAGTAGTAATTCGGCCACAAACAAATTACAATGGCCTACTAGAGGACGCTTCCCACTTGCATAACAAAACATTCTTTCCCTCCCATCGTCCCTGTTGCTCTCCCTTCAACTGGAGACTTCTTCTGAAAGGTTTCCTGCCACACAGAGTTGGTATGGAGGTACACAGAATATGGAAAGTCCCTTGATGGAAGTGGTTCTTTAAGTGAATCCTGACAGATCTATTTCTTTGAAACAGAGCGCTTATCAAGGATGCTAAATTCCCAGAGCAGCCACCTACACTGGATGTACTGACATGGTATGATTTTTCCACAAGGCGTTTGACTTTACCTTTACAGTGAGCTGCGATTCGAAGACAAGTTGGTTATGGCACTGTTCCAACTCTGCTTCTAACTTCTGTATTCTTTGCTGGCTCTGAGTCCTGCATTCAGAAACAGAAGGCGAACAGAAACAAATAGTGTTGGGAGGATTCCCCATCAAATTGAGCCCAGCTGTGTTATGACTGACATTTCTAGACTTAAATATGAGTATGTATGGATTTTGAACATATAGAATTAACAGCACACTTTTAATATTTTAATTAAAATACATGAAACTATGTAAGTATGCCCTCTCAAAGGAGATCAGGTTAACCCCCTCTCTTCAAGCTTTCCGGACACAAGGAAAAACATGTTTTTTTGAGCAAGCCTTAGGACCATGTATTGTCGGAGGCTTCCATAGCCGGAATCACTGGGTTGTTGTAAGTTTTTCGGGCTGTATGGCCATGTTCCAGAAGCATTCTCTCCTGATGTTTCACCTGCATCTATAACAGGCATCCTCAGAGACCTCGCAATCTCTGTGGATGCCTGCCATAGATGCAGATGAAACATCAGGAGAGAATGCTTCTGGAACATGGTCATACAACCTGAAAATCTTACAACAACCCTTTAGACCAGGGGTCCTCAAACTAAGGCCCGAGGGCCAGATGTGGCCCTCCAAGGTCATTTACCTGGCCATTGCTCAAGGTCAGCCTAAATCTGAAACAACTTGAAAGCACACAGCAACAACAACAATCCTATCTCCTCAGCCAAAAGCAGGCCCACACTTTTCATTGAAATACTAATAAGTTTATATTTGTTAAAATGGTTCATTTTAATTATTGTATTGTTTTAAAGTATCTTTTGCACTACAAATAAGATTTGTGCAGTGTGCATAGGAATTCATTTATGCTTTTTTCAAATTATAATCCGGCCCTCCAACAGTTTGAGGGACTGTGACCTGGCCCTTTGTTTAAAAGGTTTGAGGACCCCTGCTTTATACCATGATTAGCACCTTACTCACAAAATCTGAGGCCTTAGTGATTCATTCTGTTAGTACTTTATGGACTAAAATAGTTCACAGCCTGTTATACCTGCAGCTTTGCTACATTGTTGGATTTTAATTGGTAGGATTGGAGTCCCTTCGGGGAGATGGTGGCCAGTATAAGTAAAGTTTATATAAGTATTCACATGTGGTCTTAATTGAAGTAGTGATTCTTTGACTTAAGATRTTTAATTTGTTCTTTGACTGAGCTCTTAACTCAAAGCAAATTTACCACTGAAATGCTGTTAATTCACTCTGGCCCCCCAAACACCCCCCCCCCCCACACACACCATTTTTATGTTTTGTTTTTAAATAAGAATATGTACTTTATAAATACCAAATAATKGATGCACGCATATTCACATGGAACAATAATAAAGAAAGATCAATTTTAAAATGATAGAAACACAAAGTTATGGCAAGGAGGCACAAACTGAAGAGGCAAAATCATCGTTTTCTTCCTACTGTACTCATTCCAGCTTCCCTCCCTCTCTTCTTTCTTTCCCTCTCCCTCTCCATGAAGCCAAACATACCAGGAATAAAACCCACACAAAATAAACTAACCCAAAATTCCTTAAAATGCAAAATGGGCAGCAATCTCCCAAAGATAACGAGAGCATGAGGCATGGAGGCTGCTTCCTTGAACTCACACACTAGTGCTCCCTCTGATGCTAGTTCTTAACTCAAAATGCTGGTCTTACGTCAAAGCAAAACCCAGGCTGAGTGACAGCTCTTAGCTTAAAATACTCTTAAGTTGAGATGCTTTTAAGGAGAGGTTCCTCTATACTTCTGTTGTTTTTTAAAAATTAAAATTAATTATTCCTTAATACAGAAAATATAAAAAGATATGGCTTTTAGGTTTTAAAATTAGATGACAATATTATTTCTCTTTTTTTATAGAGGATATATGGAATTCATAACATTTTTGTACCTTAAGTAATGTGTGTTAAGGGTAACAGAAGTGAAGAATTAGATGTAACAACTATAATTTTTACAATGTCTTTCCCTCTGTCCACTTAAACTCTTTCCCTCTTCCCCAGTTACAGTCTTATGCATGGGAGTTGTCTTAACTCTATATTTTAACTGGAAAAGTTGGGGGTCGTCTTATACGCCCAGTAGTTTTATATACGGTAAATACATGATATTTGTAAAGAATTAACTTACTAACAATAACTCCACTGCCCCTACCCTCCCTTTTTTCCTTTTTTACCCAACTGTTCAATTTTTAACTCTTGTATGAAAAAATCTGGAAATATTCTATAAAAATACAATAAACAAAAAAAAAATAGTTATTCTGGTTTTTTTTCCAGTGGCATCAGTATCACCTGTGTTTGAGTCACTTGGCCCATTTACTTTTATAAAAGTTATTTGGAAATCATTTTTAGGTCACATGTTCCTTCTCTGGTCAGTCTTCAAAAATGGCAAATTATCGTAACCCTATTATCTGGGTAAAATCTAGATAAAGCTGAATACTAGAAAACCTTACAGATTTCAACACAGAATTCCAAGCATGAGTTTACACGTCTCTTGTTGAAATCAAATGTTTCCCGTAGTCTAGAGTAGACGGTGTTCAAGTAATATAGATATGTAGTTTTCAAATTCTTTCCCTACACAAAACTGGTAATTCTCACAGTACAGGGCTCTAGATATAGGGCCTGGGTTCAGTAGACAAAATGGCGGATATGGGGGGGTGGGGGGAACCCAAGCCTACCTAATTCACTGATAAATATGCTAAATATATTCTGCTTCAAGAGAAACTATGTGCCAATCAAATCTTCCCTCTTTGTTTCCACTGAGTACTTGAGACTACCACAGAAAGCAGACAGGTGTAAATTCATTTACCGATCCTTCTTCAGGCCTGCAATCTCTGCATCCTTGCGCCCCAGTTCAGTTTGCACCTTTTCCAAAGCCATCTGCATTTTGCTGTGAGAAGCCAACACATTCTCTAGCATATTTGTCATCTTGGCATTATCTTCTTTTGATTCTTCCAGTTTGCGTCGCAGGTTCCCCAACTAAAGATCAAGGAACAAGGAGAAGATCAAATAATAATTTTTTAAAAACTCATGTGGATTTTGGAATTTACCTGTCATAAACCAAAGCTCAGTGACAGTCTGTAGATTTTGCCGGCAAAAGGTCTTAGTTCTAGGTCCCAGCACCTCTACATGAAGGCCCTTCAAAAGCAGGCCTAGCAAAGATTTTGGATTGCAGTTGCTGCTGCCACCGGATAGAACAGACTGACTGGGTTTATATTTATTTTATTGATTTTGTATCAAAATTATTGCATATATTTGTATAAAACTGATAAAAATAGGAGTACAAGTGGCTAAATATTTTTTTGACCAAAAAAGGGCAACAGCGACCACATTGTCTATAGCTTTAAACAATTCTTCCTCTGTACATGAGGCAGGACATTGAGGACAAGCATACAGATGCAGAGTTGTCTGTTCTGTTCCACAGTTGCACAAGGTGGAGGATTCTTCTAGGTAGTGCCATTTTGCCAGGTTGTCTTTTGATCTGCCCACTCCACTTCTGAGTCTGTTCAGGGACTTCCAAGTTGCCCATTCTTGGTTTGTGCCTGGAGGAAGACCCTCGTGGAGGGCCATCCATTTGGGACTTCCTGGTTTAGCTGCCAAGAGGGATACTCTTGCTGTTGCTGGGGGAACATTAAGAGGAGTGGTGGTTCTCATGAAGCTTTTAATTGATTTGTGTCTACTGGGAGGAAGCTGGTAGCCATGCAGTGGATGGCTTCCACAGTGTTCAACCTTATTTCTCTCACAGTTATCAGCAACATTTCATCGCACATCCGGGAGGCCAGTGCCAGCTATGACTGGGTGAAATGGATCAATGACATCTTCCTCTTTACACTAGGCTCTGTGAAACATATCTTGGTCTCCTTCCCCTGCTTTCACCCCACCCCCCAAACGGGATGATGTCCATAGTAATCTTGGCTCTAGATAGTAAAGTTTTTCCTGAGGAGTCTCTGTGTGATGGTTCAAAATGGGGAAAGCTGGGAGAAAACTGAAAAGGGAAACATAGAGTCATAAAATCATTGAGTTTGGAGAGACCACATGGGCCATTTAGTCCAACCCCGTCATGCAGGAAAAGCACAACAAAGTATCCCTGACAGATAGCCATCCAGTCTCTGTTTAAAAGTTTCCAAGGAAGGAGCAATCACCACACTCTGAGGCAGAGAGTTCCACTGTTGAACAGCTCGTATGGTCAGGAAGTTCTTCCAAATGTTCAGGAGGAAGAACTCTCCTTTCCTGTCATTTGAATCCATGTAGTTGCTGTTGCCCATTTTTGGTCAAAATATATTTAGCCACTTGTACTCCTTCTATTTTTATCAGTTTTATACAAATTTATGCAATGCTTTTGATAAGAAATAAATAAATTTGAGCCCATTGTTCCTAGTCCTAGTTTTAGGGCTAGCAGAAAGCAAGTCTGTTTCCTCTTCTTTATGACACCCTTTCACATATTTATACATAGCTATCATGTTTCCTCTCAATGTGTGATGGGAAGACAGAACTTAAAATAGAACCATTGGGGATTGAAAGGTACAAATCCCTTCTGTTAGATGGTTTGCCACGCTTCTCATGGTCCATGTGGTGAGTTGGCATGTCAGTTGTTAAATATAATGTTCTTAATTTTTACTGAGCAAAATATTAAAGTGGGATGGAGACACTATTCTTTTGAGGCTCATATAGTCCAGAAGAAACCTGGCTCATAGATCAAGGTTTCTTACAACAGGTGTGCCATATAATAGGAGCGGCATCCTGTTATAAGTCAAAATTAAGAATTGTGATATAACCCGTGGATAAGTCGAGTGCCATTCCACAGAGAGAAGCACTAATCCCATGTGTAATTTTATTTATTTCACTGAATAAAAATAGTTCTATACCAAACTGGAGCCCCACCCCAAAAAAGAAATGGGGCTTTGTTTTATCCATTGTAACTGGACTGCATGCATTCAATTCATGTTTTGTCTTCCACTATGACAAAACAAATACTTGCTTACCACCATAAGATAGAAACTCATGTTACCTTGTGCTTTTCTCTTCCTTCAGTGGCACTTATTTGCCCTTTCAGTTTCTGGTTCTCTCTTAGCACCTCATCACAGGTTTTGACTGTATCAGAATAATCTTGCTCTCTGCAGACAAGGGCCGATTGTGACTTTTAGGAAACACAAAGAAGAGAACATTGTTCTTTCAAATGCTGGGAGCTGAGTTCAAGAGCAGAAGGAATAGATTTCACCATACAGATCATCCCAGATAGATACAAACATTAATCCATTAAACTAGGGAATCTTTCATATCTAGGCATGTGTCCAAGAGTATACAAAGTGGTGTGTTTGGCAATCTTCTTTGTCCAAACAAATTGTTCATGGTTAAAAATTTGGCAGAGATAAAAAAAATTCTTGTTGTCTTAAATTTAGGAATAAGCAGTAGAAACTGAATAACTCCTGTTTGATGTCAACAAATAAAATATCAATCTATTAATGAATCATGTTATTCATGTCCCACTTTTTTCGAGGAGTGAAAATAAAACAATTGTGGATATACTGCCACATTAAAACGCAAATAAAATGAAATAAGTTTTTCTTCACATGAAGTTCAGGCCGCATCACTTCCTGAACTGTTATCAAGACAGATCATTAGCAGCAGCAGCAGCACCGATACATAGCTCACATACTTCCACCCATCAAAACACATACAACTTGATAGATGTATTCTAAGACAGCTTTGGAAACACAACATGCATTTGGAAGAGGAAGAAACCTAATTCTGAGATCAAGATGGAAAGAGAAGGATGCTAGACCTACTTTTGCCCCAATATGTTACTGACCTGCCTGGCCTGGGTGGCAATGGGAATTGGAATGGGAAAATTATACTTCCTGCAGCATGAGAAAAGCTTGCAAGTCTCTACCTTTAATACGAGGCATGATAGTTCAGACTTGTTCGACAGCCAGCAATATGTAGTGGTTCAAATGCTGGAACAGACTGCAGAGATCAAGTCTGGATTCCCGTTTGTCCATGGAAACCAACTGAATGATTTTGAGCAAAACATATGCTCTCAGCCTCAAGAGAAAGGAACAGACAAACCATGCCAAGAAAACTCTGTAACGGGTTTGCCTTGGGATCATCATAAGTTGGAAAAAAGACCTGCAGGCAAACACCAGCGCATTCAAAGCTTGAAAAGCATCCTGGCCTTCACAATGAGAGGTAACTGGGCTGATAACACTGTGTAACATCTGAAAACATTTCTATTCTGGTTTGAAGGTGTTATACCTGTTTAACTGTGCAGTACTTATTTTGAAAATAGTTGTTCTATTTCAGAAATTTCATTTTTGCGTCTGCCACAAACTATATTGAATTGGTTGAGACTCAATGACATATTCATTGAAAAGCTAGAGCAAAATGTGCTGCAGGATGTCCCGCAAAAACAAAGTTTTTGTAGTATGACAAATCTTTTCCATGTTTTATGATAGAACCAATTAGGAAATGACATTGATAACCCAGGAACAAAGATCATGTTACACAGTGTAGTGATCAAAATCCTGCATCAGGAGACATAAAATCACATCTCTGTAGCTATATCTCCTCCACCTTGTAAATAGGAATACTCTTCTTGCCAACATGGTGATATCCATATTGTCAGGGAGCAAAGGGATTGGTAGGCATGAGTCCAGCTGTTTTTCGGTACATTCATGTGCTGCAACACCTTTCTATGCATGGTATGCAGCAGCAAGAAAATGGCTTGACATATCCCTGTTAATCTCCTGTTCTCCAACCAAAATGGAAATGGTCACGGAGAGGGTGGACAGCTTACCAAATGGGCTTGCAGTGAGGACACATTGTCACTGCATAATCAGGACAGAATGCTGACTTCTGCAATGACTTAACAAGGGAGCTGTGGCAGCCTTAGTCTGACTTAACATTGTCGTAAGAGATACTAATATATTTAGATTTAATAAGTTTTTATAATTTAAAAAAACAAATATTCTCAAAATTGAACTCATTCCAAATTTAATACATTAAACCCAGTTTTGAAGGTCTTTCTTTACTGTATACAATATTTTTTTCCGTGTCAGGAGCGACTTGAGAATCTGCAAGTCACTTCTGGTGTGAGAGAATTGGCTTTCTGCAAGGATGTTGCCCAGGGGGTGCCCAGATGTTTTGATGTTTTTACCATCCATACCACATGGGGAGCCAGAGCTGACAGAGGGAGCTCATCCTCGCTCTCTCCGGATTCGAACCTGCAACTGATCGGTCTTCAGTCCTGCCAGAACAAGGGTTTAACCCATTGTGCCACCAGAGGCTGGGTATACAAGATGAGGGTGTTTGACTTTGAGGAGAGAACAGAGAGACAGCAACATGTATGATAGCAATTAGGGCTGGATCTATACTGTCCTATAACCCAGGACCTGAACCCAGAATATCTGCTTATCCCAGGTTATGCGGCAGTGTAAACTGATATAATCCAGGTCAAAGCAGATAATCTGTGATCAGATCCTGGGATATAAATGTAGATCCAGTATAAATCTGATTTCAAAAACAAGCACTCGGGAAGTTTTCTGCCATTATTTTTCCCGCATGTTCCCTTTCCACATTCTCATTCCATGATCCAATTCAGCTTCCAGGTTTGCCCCCATTTCATGTACTTCTAGGGCTTTACACTCACCCTCTGGAGCTCGCTTCCCTCACTAGCCACGTCCCATGCAGTTTGTAACTGTCTGGAGCCAGCTATATCCATTTCGCTCTCGGGTGTTTCCTCTGTGGTCTTAAAAGCCTCAAAGCAAGTCCTCTGAAAGGCTTTGCAGCTATCCCCACAATCAGAGGCAGACTCCCTTGCAGGCAGGTCTATCATGAAGCGAACTCTGCGTTTTGGAGAATACAGAACGCAACCCTGTTCATCGAGTCCCAAATTTCTGTATTTATCACAGGCCAGGGACAATTGGAAACCATCACTGGAATTCTGTTGCCAGAAACTTTCAGAAGATTTCCTTTTTTTAAGAGACATTTTTGCTACAGAGCTTGCTTTATATGAGGGAAAAATGAAAGATCAAGAAAAGGCTCAGAGGACAAGATAAAAAATATCAACCCAGTGCTCATAGTTGTATTAACTTAAGGATCAGCAAGGGCTCCGTTTCCACATACTGACTCTTAACCTCTCCATATCTGTCATTTTAGAAAGTTGACATAAGTCAGTGAGGGAGACCAGAGGAAGCCATTTTAGAAGATTTTGCCTGTCCTCCTTCAAGATGACTGTTGAAAAGTTAAAGGTTCAAAAGCCCCTTTTATAACAGAGGAATCAACATGGGTTCTCTCTGAGGTCACAGAAACAAAGCATCATTACTGCGCTCCATTTGTGATGTCACAAGGTCCTCTCTTATGGTGTTTAAGAAGGCAGTTGCCCTCCAACTCCAGGCAGTCTTGGATGACGCATATTTCCTTGAACCATTTCAAATATGCTTCACAAGATATGGAGTTGAGACTACTATGGTCACCTCACTGGATGATCTCCATCTCAATACTGACAAGGGGTTTGTGTCTCTGTTAGTGCTTCTAGATCTCTCAGCAGCTTTTGATACCATTGACCATGGTATCCTTCTGGAATGCCTAAAGGGACTATTGGAGGCACTGTGCTGCAATTGTTCCGGTTGTACCTCTCAGGCAGGTTGCAGGCACTTGGGGATAGTTGCTCCTCCAAAAAGGAGATGTTATGTGGTGTCCTACAAGGTCCCATTCTATACCCAATGCTCTTTAATGTTTACATGAAGCCACTAGGAGAGATCATCTGTAGGCATAGGTTGGGTTGTTATCAGTATGCTGATGACACCTACATAGATTTCTCCATGCCTTCAAAAACAGTTTGACAAGGTAATGGGCGGGGCTTGGGGGGCTTCAGTCCCCCCCCCCCGAAATTCTCATGGTGGTCCGCGAAAAGGCCTTACTGGTACATTATTTAAACTGTTATGTTTATTCATATCATGATCTGATCACCATGCTCAATATATCCCATATGCATGGGGGTATTGGGGTAACGATACAAAAGGTTTGCTAGGGTAGACCCTCTTTCACAGACTCCAGCCCCCCCCCCCCCCCCGAAACAAAATCCCGGCTACGGGCCTGGACAACATGTCTTCTCTGAATGAATGCCTGAAAGAGGTAGTGGGCTGGATGATGAAGACCAAATTGAAACTGACAAAACAGAGGTGCTTGCCATCAAGGGTCCTAATCTGGGCGTGGAGGTTACATCTGTGTCAACCAGTCCTGGATGGTATTACACTCCCCCTGTAAGGCTGTGTCCACAGCTTGGGAGCGCTCCTGGATCCGTCTCTCCAAATGTCAGCCCAGATAGATGCAATAATCAGGAGTGCTTACTATCAGCTTTGGCTAATCCGGCACCTGCATCCCTTCCTAGATTTGGAGGATCTAAAGATGGCACTGCATGTGCTAGTAACCTCAAGGTTGGACTTCTGCAATGTGCTTTACATTGGGCTACCTTTGTACCAAGTTCAGAAACTCCAGTTGGTTCAAAATACACCAACCAAACTGGTTACAGGAGCATATTGCACCTTTCCTAAAGTCACTCCACTGGCCTCAAATTATTTCTAGGCAAAGTATGAAGTGTTGGTATTGACCTTTAAAGATCTACATGGTTTGGGTCCAGGTTACCTACAATCTGCCCAAACAATTTCCCAAACAATCTGCCCTAAACACTAAGGTCCTCTTGTGTGTTGGAATTTAACACACAAGTGAAGGCCTATCTCTTCTCGCAGTCCTACCCAGATTGTTTTAACTAACTTTTGTTTTGTATATTTTAATATGTATTTTATGGAAATATGTTTTAATATGTATATTCTACAGAGTGTTTTTAAATGATTATGTGTTTTGATTATGTGTTTTAGCAATGTTGTAACCTGTCTCAAGCCATGAGGAGAGGCAGGTAAGAAATAACATTATTATTATCATTATAGCCTGACATGAAGTGGAATACTTTACTAGTCCAGTTGTCAGAATTCAAACTAGATCGGAGAAGTATATAAATTGGTGGGTAACCTACAGCTATTCTTTTGTTTTATGAGGGAGAAGAAGGGAAGGAAGGACAGTGGCAGCAGTAGTAAGAGGGAGCCTTTAGCTTTAAACTGAAAGTAGGGAGAGAGCAAGTGAGGCTACTGGTTATGGCTGCCACAGGAAAGGGGAGGCAAACCATGGCAGTAAATTTGAGTGGTGAAAAGAGATATCTAAACTGGGGGAAGGACTGGAATGACAAAATGGGGCTAGGAGGCTTCAAATATCCCTTAGGCTATGTCACTGTCACCACTCTTCTATACATAAAGAGTTAATATTTAGAGTACTTTTCCTTAAATTTACTCAATGTAGACATGTGAGCACAAGTATCCCTACAAAGATAGAGAAGCCTCAGTGGCTGTTTTCAGTTACTGAGGGCCTCATCACACTAGAGAAAAAATCCACTTAAAATCCTGTTTCTGCCTCCTGCAGAATTCTGGGGTTTGTAGTTTAGGGAGGAGCCTTTAACAGTCTCACTAAACTACAAACCCTAGAATTCTGCAGGAGGCAGAAACAGGATTGTAAGTGGACTTTTTTCTCTAGTGTGATGAAGAAGTGAGAGTTACAAATGATGTGGAGGGAGAAAGAGGAGATGGGGTCCACATTACCAGTCTTTCCTATTATTATTATTATTATTAGTAGTAGTAGTAGTATTAGTAGTAGTAATAGTAGTAGTAGTAGTAACAGCAGCAATAAACTTTATTTGTACGCTGCTCCATCTCCCCAAGGGACTCAGGGCGGCTCACAACACGAAGTAGTAGTAATAGTACTAGCAGTGGTATTTATATTCCAGTTCTTCTCTCCCAAAAGAGACTCAAAGAAGTTAACACTAAAAATCATACAATATGTAAATCAAAACACAAGCACTTTAAAATAAACACAGGGCTTATTAAAATGCATAGTTAAAATCAAAAGTAACAACTCAAACTCCCCAAAATGACAGTGGCTGGAGGTTGTGTATATTGTCTCCAACACGCACACTACCTACACCCTAAATAGCACCAAGAGGTGCTATCAAAGAATCACTGTTAATTTCATGGCACTTTGAATATTACATTATATTCTTATGCGGGGACATAAGAGAAGCCGTTCACAGGATAGTAAAAACATCCGGGCGTCCCCTGGCCAACATCCTTGCAGACAGCCAATTCTCCCACACCAGATGCGACTTGCAGTTTCTCAAGTCGCTCCTGACACGAAAAAAAATCTTAATCGGCAAATAAGTGTTATTTACTTCCCTTCCCTCTAGTGTGATTCCCCTGAACTGGTTTCAAAGCAGGTGTGAAGACCTGATGTGCTGGAGTGGAGAGGCTTAATTCCTCTGCCTCCCTGAGCTCAGAATCAACTATGTAAGTTAGAAGTAGAATGACAGTATTATGGTGAAGATGGGCAAAAGGAAGGAAATTAATCTCTTTCTAGTCCCCCCCCCCCCCATTGATTTCTTGAGTGGTCTTTACAGTTATTAACACATAGAAAGTATAATTTACTATTATTTCTCTGAGGTTCAAATGAAAAACACTGTAAGGATTGCAAAAAAGAGTAGTTTATAAATCAGTAAGCGTAAAAACCCTGATAAGACACTGAAATTCCACAACGGTGTCAGATTGGCTTCAGGGCATCAGGAATATCACTCGATATTTTTCACTCTGATAGGTATACAAAATGAAAATAAATGCAAACCCATTCCCAAGACTTATTCCACCCGAAGTGTATAGAAAGTCTCTCATTATTTAAATACCTGCTTTAGTTGCACTTCCAACCTCTGTGTGTTAATCCTGACGGAATCAAGTTCTGCATTTATCTGAAACATGTAAGAAGAAAGGGCTGAAAGTAACTGTTATTTGTAATTCACGAGTCAAGATTCCATGTTTTACCTCTTTCCAGAGAGCTTTACATTCCACGCATCAGTTGATGTATGGGATCGGCATGTGTTTTTTAGTTTGAATATGTTTCTATGGATTTTAACTGGGTTTTTAAAAAACTACCTATGATATTTAATTTTGTTTTAATATTTGTATATTTGTAGACTTGTATTGAAATGATTTTAACGTAAGTTGCTTTGAATATCCTTGTGGAGAAAAAAAGTGGGGTATAAATAAATAGAAGGAGGAGGAGGAGGAGGAGGATTTAAAGATCAAACTGCAAAGACTCTGGCACAAGCCAGTAAAGGTGGTCCCAGTGGTGATCGGCACACTGGATGCAGTGCCTAAAGATCTTGGCCTGCACTTAAAAAAATCGGCACTGACAAAATTACTATCTGCCAGCTGCAAAAGGCCACCTTACTGGGATCTGCACGCATTATTTGCCGATACATCACATAGTCCTAGACACTTGGGAAGTGTCTGATGTGTGATCCAATACAACAGCCAGCAGAGTGATCTTGTCTGCTGTGGACTCATCTTGTTGTGTTTCAAATAATAATAATAATAATATTGACATGACTTCCCACAACTGTTGAAAGGCCATGGAGACTAAAGCATGCAATGCATGTTAACTTCATGGAAATGTGTGTCATGTATCCAAGTGCAAAAGCATTAATAAGAATTATCCAATAGGCTGGTAAAGGTTGAACAGTCCTTGTCTGAAATGCTTGAGGCTGGAAGAGTTCTGTATTTCAGATTCTGGAATACGTGCATATACATTAGGAGACATTTTGGAGATGGGACTCATGTCTAAATGTGATATTCATGTATGTTTCATATACACCTTATACACATCGCCAAAATATATTTAATAATTTTGTGTGTGAAACATGTTTGTGTATATTTCACTTTCAGAAATCAAAGGTGTCATTATCTCAGCCACTGACATGGGCACTTTTTTGAGTATTTCAGAATTCTGGATAAGGACTGTACAACCTGTACCAAAGCAAAGATGACCTGTGTCTAATCTTGATTTGCTAAGCTAAAGCAAAAGTACCTGACAAAGCAACAAATTATTTCTATGTCACTGGACAGCAATGACAATTTGACCAAGATGCTGTTAAAGGCTTCAATATCTATCTGTCTAGTGGAAGGGGCCATAGTCAGTCACTACAAAACTCTGATCATCCTCTATATTTGGATACCTGATTATATTTCATCTCCAAAGCAGCATTCTGCTTACGCAGCTGATTATTTTCTGAAAGTACATCCGCAAGGGAATGCACTTCTTCTTCCAGCTGCTGTACTCTTGTCTGTGGAAAGCAAAATTAATGTGTCTCATCAATGTCTGAAGTGTGTGACTGTGATAGCAAAAAACAGTATCGGAGAAAATTACCAAAAGGAGAAAATTATGAATGCTCAGCTATAGGAAAATAAAGTGCTTATGGCATGAGATTACAACCATCAATTTATTCTAATCTCAAGTCTATAGAGCAGGGGTCCTCAAACTTTTTAAACAGAGGGCCAGGTCACAGTCCCTCAAACTGTTCGAGGGCCAGATTATAAGTTGAAAAAAACATGAATGAATTCCTGTACACACTGCACATATCTTATTTGTAGTGCAAAAGAACACTTAAAAAGAATACAATAATTAAAATGAAGAACAATTTAAACAAATATAAACTTATTAGTATTTCAATGGGAAGTATGTGCCCGCTTTTGGCTGATGACCTAAATTGTTGTTGTTGTGTGCTTTCAAGTCGTTTCAGACTTAGGTTGACCCTGAGCGAGGGCTGGGTAAAGGACCTTGGAGGGCCGTATCTGGCCCCCGGGCCTTAGTTTGAGGACCCCTGCTATAGAGCATGACCACATGTGAAACATAGCACCAGTTGCTGTGCTGTTTAAAATGCTACTCATCTTCCAAACACACTTCCAAATACCCATGACTGTGGACCGACCTGCCGGAAGAACTCCGACAGCTAAATGAGCAGTCAGGATTTAAAAACAATGTAAAGACTTTTTCCTTTTGGCAGGCCTACCCAGACAGTCTTTAAACATGCATTTTAAATGTCCTTTGTTTGATCTCTGTTTTGTGTATTTTAGTATGTATTTTGTAGAGATATGTTTTGGTGTGTTAACTTTTATGGAAGTATGTTTTTAGTGTGCGTGTTTGTAGTGTTTTTTCTGTGCTGATGTGTTTTAATTGTTTTATAACCCATGAGGAGATGTGGGTAAGAAATATCATCATCATCATCATCATCATCATCATCATCATCATCACCATCGTTACTCCACAACTGCAGCATTACACTTACTTTCACATAAGTAAGTAAGGTTGAATTGCTTCCAAGGACTTAAGAGAACTCAACTGCGACTTGCAGAAAGGTGCCTTAAATCCAGTGCTGAGTTTGGATTGAATTAAGGTAAAACTCAGGTTCCCTTCAAAAGCTACTGCAGTGCCACTTAAGACATTTTTTCTTCATTTCTCTAATTTGTTAAGATCAGCAACCACATTTGGGGAAGAGACGGGATCTTATAGGTTGTTGCCATTGAGTGATCATTTGTCTCTAAACTAAGAGAACATTTTTTTCAGACTCAGTCCTTAATTCTCCGAAAATCCACAAGCTGCAGTTCTTTGAGAATTACAATAGTACTATACTGTATAGAAATACAGGTTGAGTATTTTTTATCTTTATCCCTTGGATTTTGGAATACATGTATTGCTCAGACAGGAGATAACCAGGTATGTTTTTCATCAAAAATACATAATGAGATACCTTGGCAATAGGACCCAAATCTAAATAGGAAATTCAATTATATTTCATATACATCTTATATACACAGCCTGAAGATAATTTTACACACAACATTTTTAACAACTGGGGGCATGAAATGAAGTTTATGTACATTGAAACATCAAAAAGCAAAGGTGCCACTATCTCAGCCACCCAAGTGGACATTTCTGGATTCTGGGAGAATTTGGATTTTGGAATTCCAGATAAAGGAATGCTCAACCTGTACCATGACTGATGAACTCACAGGGAAAGGAAGTTATAAAGAATACTCCTGGCAGTTTGTTTGCTTTCAAAATATCAAGCTCAAAATGCACTGAACATTATGAAGCAATCTTTATTTTTCCACGGAACCTTTAAAAAAAAAAAAGCTTACAGAAACACTAAGATACAGCAGAGGGACAATCTTCCTTTACCTCTACAGACTTTATTTATGCATATGCATTTATGAATCATCCCTCTACAAAATGGGATTCAAAGGCAAATCAAACTAAGACACAAGACCCCAAAAGAACAAAAATTGTGCAGTGAAATGGCCCTCGGCAATAAAAGGAAGCAGAGCCTCAGAAGTCTGTCCTCCCACCTCCTGCCTTCGTAGTCATCAGTCAGCTATTTGTCAAGACAGTGCACAGGTTACATCTCAAACATCAAAAGATGGTGTCCATGGTGTCTTGATTTATACCAGTCGAGCTTTCTCTCTTAACCAATTCTACGCCAAGAGAACTAAGGCCCCTTCTACACTGCCATATAAAATCCAGATTATCTGCTTTCTACTGGATTATAGGCAGTCTGGATTCATATAATCCAGTTCAAAGCAAATAATGTTGATTATATGCTTTGGCAGTGTAGAAGTGGTCTAAGACTAGAAATGGGAAGGCCTGGGGAAAAAAACCAGAAAAATTGGGGGATTTTTTTTTCATTTTTTTATCTCCAAATTTGTCTGGTTCTCCACCCAAAATTTTCTTTCCCCCTACCAGGCCCTCCCTTCTCTTTTCAGTCCAAAAAATTGGTTGGAAACAAATGAAGTGGGGAGAAAATATCACCGAGGAGGGGGGTAAAGAAGAGTTTATGTTTCCCAAAGTTTAGATACCTGAAGTTTCCCTTTGTCATATGCTAGCTTGTTTTTGTTGTTGGCCAGCCCTTCTAGGACCTGCTTTACTTGTTGCTGGGTATGCTGGGGGGAAACAAAAGCAGAAATAAGAACATCTCTCAATCTCACATCCATACTCAACATCCCCACCCCCAAAAAGCATTATTAACTTTCTTCCCACTCTGGTCTAATACATTCCTCTTTTTATTTTTTAAGATCATCATCTACATATGTATCAGAAATCTTAATCAGCTGTATTAATAGCCAAAATGATGAATCATTATGTTGTATATACTTAAGTATAAGCCAAGTTTATCAGCCCTTTTTTTAGGTTGAAAAAGCCCCCCTTGGCTTATACTCGAGTCAAGGTTGTTTATTATTTTATTCTGTTAATATTACTATTTGTATTACATTTATTATTTTACTCAGTTTATTCTTATCGTTATTATTACATTTACATTATTTTACTCTATTATTATTATTACATTTATTATTTTATTCTATTATTATTACATTTAATATTTTACTCTATTATTATTGAAAGGATATGTAAGCACATTTACACTGAAGGTTAGAATAATGGTTTAAGCAGAGTTGGACAATCTTATCTTAAATTACAGTTCTTGTAAATATTAAAAAAAACATTTAACCTACTGATGCTTCAATTAATGTTATTTTATTGATATCTATTTTTATGTTGAAATTTACCAGTAGCTGCTGCATTTCCCACCCTTGGCTTATACTCGAGTCAATACATTTTTCTAGTTTTTGTGGTAAAATTAGGTGCCTTGGCTTATATTTGGGTCGGCTTATACTCGAGTATATGTGGTACTTCTGGCATTAAGCAACACAACCAATAATGAAGGGTAAGACAAATTATGATTTGCTGCTGTCAAGATTAAAAATGTCTGTTTAGATACAAGACCCAAACTACCTGATCTTTGTATAGCAGGACAGTCAAACATATAGACTGGAGAACAAATTGCTTGTAAAGAACATGCCCAGGTATGGCTTTTCACCAAGAACATTATTTCCACTTGAATGTAATACCAGCCCATGTTTCCTACCACTGTTAAAGTATACAGTATTCTTAATGCACATATTGTCATTTGCACTCCTGATTTCTGACATATAGGAGAAGAATATGAGGCCATGGCATAGTAAAAGCAGCTGCTCCTTTGAAAAAGTCAGACCCTTTTACTAAGGAAAGAGGCTAAAAGTAATTGTGTGGGTTTCACACAAACATCAAACATATATGAACTTGACAGGGAAAGGTGCAAAATGTCAGATTTTCACTGGAATTGACCCTTCTAATGATGACAAATGAAAGAAGTCTGCTAGAATATCTTTAACAAAATATATATTAAAGATTGTTTTCCTAAAGAAACTACAAAATGCTTAAATTCTGATATATTGTTGAACATGATCCATCCACTAACGCACTACTTCAAGGAAAAAGGAGGGAGAGAGCTTTACGGTTAATGCGTTGCCAAAGAGTTACGTACTTGTTGGTACTGCAAAACAGCGTCATGTTCCATTAATTTCTTGTTTTCTTCTTCTAATGCCTCCACTCTCTTTTTCAGAGGCCCAATTTCCAACTTTTATTTCAAAAAGAAAGAAATACAATCTCACTTATACAACAAATGAATAATTCACAGATCATCTCTTGGATGAAAGCTTTGTAGACCTTCAATCAATTGCAGAGGCAACTAGAAAACTGGTACCACAAAGCATTCAGTAACAGTTCAAATTATTGCATACTTGTGGTCACTGTGCACTTACATGAAATATGTTTTATTTTAAAATATGTTTGGATAATATGATTAATTTTACTTACATTACAATATGTAACAAAATTTGTGAATTTTTCTGTTCCTTGTTTGAAAGTGTTATTTCATGTCTAATTGTGTGGTGCTTACTTTGAAAGTAGTTATTTTATTTATTTATTTATTTATTTCATATATTTATATCCCGCCCTTCTCCCCACAAGGGGGACTCAGCACGGCCTCACATGAGCATCAGAGGATGCTAACAGCATAAATACCGTAAAAATTACAATTCACAAAAAAATCATTTTAAAACATTGTACAACATCATCAGTAAAATGTAACAATAAATTAATAGATTAACGTGCCAGTAAAACCAAGCCGAGCAGGGAGATTTCATGTCGCAAAATCCAAATTTCTTTTTCCTATTGCCGCTGGCCTCTAATCGAACGCCTGGCCCCAGAGTCAGGTCTTCAGTTGTCTTCTAAAGGACAGAAACTTCATTTTGTGGCTGCCACAAACTATGTTGAATTGGTTGGGACTCTATGAGATATTCATTGAAAAACTATAGTAACATGTGCTGCAGGAAGTCGCGCAAAAACAAAGGTTTTGCATTTTAATACACTTTTGCCATATATTTTATGGAAGAACCAATTAGGAAATGATATTTATAATCCAGGAACAAAAATCGTGTTGTATAGTATTATTCATTCACAAACATATTTCGCTCCTGCCTAGAGTCAATGGCAGGGTATTGTCTCCTCCTAAGGAACATTTTCCAAAGTTGGAACAAAGAGAATGAAAAAAATTCAGCATTTGGAATGAAAAGTGAGTAGAAAGCACTGCCCTCCCTGCAAATTCACAAAAAACCTGTAGCTCCTGAATTATCTTGCTGGATATCTACTGGATGTCCTCAAACAATAGTTTGTGACCACGGTCACAGAAGAACCCAGGCAGTATGAATTAGGTTGTAGTGTACAAGACAGGCAGATGATGTCCTCAACCAAGTCCTATTAAGGCTTCTTGGGTTTATCTCAACCTTCTCTGGAATTTACAAACCTACACACAACTCCAGAAGCAGTACATTGGGTTTTAAGTCCTTGTCCCTTCACTGTGACCCAATTAGTCACAAAGGCATTGGTAATTCTCAACGGCACCTAAAACAACCTTGTCAGCACTTTTATGGAGAACATCATACCTTGCTTTCCTCTACTTCTGTTTCCAGTCTTTTGTTGTCTTGCTTCATTTGATGTAATGTTTTCTGCATCTGTCAGTAGGAATTAAAAATAATTTATCCTCCATATCACTAAGGGAGGGTTGAAGCTGTTCTACATTGTTTTGTAAAAGGTATGAGAACATATCAGAGCAATGGCTTCACTTTTCATTTCTTTTATGTTTATCCCCTTTGTCCCAATGCTGTCTTTCATATGTATTTCATATGCAACTGTATTTCCTTCTTTGCAGGACTGTGGGAAACACAGTTTCTTACATAAAAATTGAGGCTTGGTGCCCCCAAACTCTTAGTATCTCTATTCCAATCAGACAGTATAGGTTTTGTTTTTTGTTTTTGTCGTGTCAGGAGCAAATGCTCCTGTTGTGAGAGAATTGGCCGTCTGCAAGGACGTTGCCCAGGGGACGCCTGGATAATTTTTGATGTTTTATCATCCTTGTGGGAGGCTTCTCTCATGTCCCCGCATGAGGAGCTGGAGCTAATAGAGGGAGCTCATCCTCCTCTCCCCGGATTCGAACCTGCGACCTGTCGGTCTTCAGTCCTGCCGGCACAGTGCTTTAACCCACTGCGCCACCGGGGGCTCCCGACACTATAAGTGAGGAGATTACATTAACAGGTTTATTTTACAGAGCAAAGCCATTGGGTGACCGAAAGAAATCTGCCACATGGCTGAGATGTGTAGTTTGGTTTTATAGTCAGGACTTTATGAGCATGCGCAGAGTTCAGTCCTTTGTTTTCTCTTATCAACAGCTTGTGCCTGCTTCCATTCGTTTTCAGTAGCTTGCATTCCCCTCCTCTCCTCCCCTTCCTGCTGAGCTCCCAGTTTTCTCTTCAAGGCCCTATCTTTCTTTCTTTGGGTCATAAAGCCTTCCTCTTTCATATCCCTCAGTCCATTACCTATCATCTATGGCTCTTGTCCTGCTTTGTTTTGACTAGCAAAGAGTTTCACTTTTCTTTTTCAGGTCCTCCATCCAATCCCTCCTTCCTAGAATCATAGAATCATAGAGTTGGAAGAGACCTCATGGGCCATCCAGTCCAACCCCCCTGCCAAGAAGCAGGAATATTGCATTCAAAGCACCCCTGACAGATGGCCATCCAGCCCTCCTATCTCAATCTTTCCTTTTTAACTTTCTCAAAACTTCATTCTTATACAATTCACACTTATAAAATCTCTTCAATATATATTTCATATGCAGCTTTATTTCCTTTCTTGCAAGACTGTGAGCTCTCTTACACACTCATAAGCAGATACACAGTTTCTTACATAACACATCCCTGATTTGGGGAAATTCAAAATTTTATTGCTAGACAATCATTTTGATGTGAAAGTATGCCAAAAACAAACAAACCAATCCAAAGACAGAGGAAATGAAATATCACTCAAATTGTTCCAAATAAGATGTTAGTCCAATATAGATGCCTAATATAGAGATGATTAGCTCAATATTTATCAATATAGTTGATGTTGGATTGATATATTTGAACTTTGGTCAAAAGTAAATGTGAGAGGATATATTAATGAGTAAGAAAAGGAAACAATGAAAATTAAACTTAAGTTGCTGTGAGTTTTCCAGGATGTGTGGCTATGTTTCAGAAGCACTCTCTCCTGATGTTTCGCCCACATCTATGGCAGGCATCCGCAGAGGTTGTGAGGTCTGTTGAAAAACAGGCAAGTGAGGTTTATATATCTGTGGAATTTCCAGGGTGGGAGAAAGAACGCTTGTCTGTTGGAGGCAAGTGTGAATGTTACAATTGGTCACCTTGATTAGCACTGAATGGCCTTGCAGATTCAAAACCTGGCTGCTTCCTGCATGACATGATCCTTTGTTCAAAGTTGTTAACTGGCCCTGATTATTTCATATCAAGAATTCCCTTGTGTTTTTTTTAGTATTATTCTTTATTTATTGTCCTGATTTTACAATTTTTAAAATGCTGGTAGCCAGATTTTGTTCATTTTTATGGTTTTCTCCTTTGTGTTGAAATTGTCCACATGCTTGTGGATTTCCATTCCCTGTGTAGTCTGATGGTGGTTGTTAGAGTGGTGCAGCATTTCTGTGTTCTCAAATAATATTCTGTGCCTCAAGCAGACAAGAGTTCTTTCTCCCATCCTGGACATTCCACAGATATATAAACCCCACTTGCCTAGTTTCCAACAGACCTCACAGGCTCTGAGGATGCCTGCCATAGATGTGGGCAAAACATCAGAAGAGAATGCTTCTGGAACATGGCCATACAGCCTGGAAAACTCGCAGCAACCCAGTGATTCTGGCCATGAAATCCTTCAACAACACATTAGACATAAGAACTGTAATTTTGATTATCTACATACATCCGCACTTTTAAGAAATTAACACTGAAGTCATTATCTTATTTGTAGTCCCTATGTCATGAACTGCTGATCCCTAGGGTGAAACCTACTCACAGCCAGAACTTGAAATAAATTCCTTTATTTCCAGATCAATATAGATTCAAGGGAAAGTTACTTCTGAGCATTTGGTGCAAAAAGCATGACTATATCCCCAAGCAACATCCCCTCTCCATCTCAACCCAGCCCCCTTTGTTTATGTTCCCAAGTGACTAAGTTCCCAGCTTTAGTTGTCCACTTAACAACTATCTGCATAACGAATGTTATGGCTTCCTCTCCTTTCTCAGCCTTGATGATGTCAGATGGCTGCGCCAGATGACATGCAGTCCTCAGAAGGCACGGAGACCCTGGTGGCGCAATGGGTTGGTCAGTGGGACAGCTGGTCAGTGGGACAGCTGACTAATTTGAATCCAGGGAGAGTGGGTGGAGCTCCCTCTGTCAGCTCCAGCTTCCCATGTGGGGACATGAGAGAAGCCTCCTACAAGGATGGTAAAACATCAAAACATCTGGGCGTCCCCTAGGCAACATCCTTGCAGATGGCCAATTCTCTCACACCAGAAGTGACTTGCAGTTCCTCAAGTTGCTCCTGACAGGAAAAAAAATCCTGTAAAGTCTCAGAGAGAACCATGACACCTTACTCGAGCAGATCGATCAAATCAACACTTACAGAAATCCACCAGTTCAATGGATACGCTTTAACTGGGACAGAATTGAAGCCCAAATCTATTATGTTTGACTGTAGTTCAACTGAGCATGTTCAATTTCTATGTACTGTTTGTAGAGACAGACTGAAAATGGAAAATGATCGACTGTACCTCTTTCTCTTGGGTCTCTTTATCCTTCAGTAGAGTCTCTTTCTCCTGTAGAGTGGCCTCCAGTTCACTTTGTAACTTGGCAACTACAGACTCCAGCAACCTTATTTGGGCGATCTCCTCAACTTTGGAGGTTTTCTGCTTGCAATCAGCATGCTCAGAACGCAAAGCTTCACTGTACAGAAAACACAAATGCATTGCTCTTTTATTATCTACTAGCTGTCCCCTGCCACGCATTGCTGTGGCCCAGTCTGTATAGATGTGTTTTGTGTGTGTTTATATGCATATATGTGTGTGTATTTGTGGATAAATGTATATATGTGTGTTTGTGTATATATGTGGTTTTGCACATGCGTTGTAATGTATTTTTTTTTGTCTTTTTAAGTTTCTGCTGTATTTTTTCAGTCTTTTTATGAGTGATGGTCATTCGTTGGTCTGATACGTGTATTGTGTCCAAATTTGGTGTCAATTCATCCAGTGGTTTTGAATTATGCTAATCCCACAAAAGAACATTACATTTTTATTTATAACTAGCTGTCCCCTGCCACGCGTTGCTGTGACCTACTCTGATGGTCATGGGGGTTCTGTGTGGGAGGTTTGGCCCAATTCTATCGTTGGTGGGGTTCAGAATGCTCTGTGATTGTAGGTGAACTATAAATCCCAGCAACTACAACTCCCAAATGTCAAGATTCTATTTTGCCCAAACTCCACCAGTGTTCACATTTGGGCATATTGAGTATTCGTGTAGAGTTTGGTCCAGATCCATCATTGTTTGAGTCCACAGTGCTCTCTGGATGTAGGTGAACTACAACTCCAAAACCAAAGGACACTGCCCACCAAACCCTTCCAGTATTTTCATGGTCATGGGAGAACTGTGTGCCAAGTTTGATTCAATTCCATCGTTGGTGGGGTTCAGAATGCTCTTTGATTGTAGGTGAACTATAAATCCCAGCAACTACAACTCCCAAATGACAAAATCAAGTTTTTGAGTGAAGGACATACATTGGGTTGTTAGGTGTCTTGTGTCCAAATTTGGTGTCAATTCGTCCAGTGGTTTTTGAGTTCTGTTAATCCCACAAACAAACTTTATATTTTTATTTATATAGATTACAATCTCCAGAACAGCGGGTGGCCTATTATGCTGAACAGTACATATCTACGTACTATTGCATAAAGCACCCTGTCTTTAAAAAGACTCATCTACAGCTTCTTATTAGCTAAAATAATCAAGCCAAGAGGAAGCAAGAGAGAAAAGGAAGCCATGTCACATTTAAGAACAAACAGCACAAGCATTAACTTTTTTTTCCCTCTCACATTTCTTTCTGGAGCTGAGCTTTCTCATTCTGCACCGTCCTCAGCTCTTCAATAATGCTGGCTCGAGCAGTATCCAAAATGAGGTCTTGTTCTTTCAGTTTCTGATCAATTTTCTCCTGTTCTAACTAAAAGTGAAAGGAAAATGTATAGTTCTATGAATTACCATAAAATATCATTATTTCTTGCCAAACACAAAAGGTTTCTGGTAGCTAACATTTAGGGCCTGAGGACTGTGAAGGGTGGTATACAAACAAAGCAAATAAATAAATAAATAAGGTATGTACAGTCATCTGCACAAAGTTTAATGAGTTTTGACATATTTATTTTTCAATATGGAAGAGAAAATTTCAAGAGGGTATTGCGATATGGAAATCTCAAAATAAATCAAACTGAAATAAGTTTGGGGGAAGAGTCTTTTAAGGATGCATCTACACTGTGGAAATAATGCAGTTTGACATCACTCCAACCACTATGGCTCAATGCTATGAAATCATGGGATTGGTCATTTGTGGAGTACCAGCACTCTTTGACAAAGAAAGTTAAAGAACTTGTAACACTACAAGTCCTGTGATTTCATAGTATTGAACCACAGAAGTTACAGTGGCATCAAAGTACATTAATTCTATAGTGTAGAATAGAGGTACCCTAAATAGATCAGAAATTGATGATTTAGTGTTCTTATCTTATCCTTACTGGCCTTTAGTGATAAATCATACTATAAGGGCACTAAGCCTTCTAGGATTAAATCCCTGTGGCACAGAAGGTGTTTCAGGTCATGTTATGTTTCTAAGATCTACAGAGATACTCGCAGGAATGCCTCAGAAAGCAAGAGTCCAAAAGCGGCAGGCTAAAACCTGGAACCTCAATCAGTGGCTGATACCGAATGAGAGACTAACCCCTGGGCACACAAAAGACTGGGTGAGCTGGAAGGCGCTGAACAAGATGCAGAGCCAACCTTAAGAAATGGGGCCACAAAGTGGAGTCCATGACATGCAAGTATGGAGAAGAGCAAACCACAGACCACCTATTACAATGCAGGCTGAGCCCCGGCACATGCACAATGGAGGACCTTCTTATAGCAACATCAGAGGCACTCCAAGTGGTCAAAGGACATTTAGTATAATGTCAAGTTTTTAAAACTTTGTGTTTTTAAATATGAGTACATTACAACTGTATTCTTGTTTTGCTTCTGATACGATAAACAAACAAACAAATATCTCAACAGATTTAAGATTCTCAGGGAACAAACTAGGAGCAACCATCTAGATTATGAGCAGTAGATTCTTCCATTTTGAGCACATGGAACAGAACAGCTTTACAGAATATTGATAACCATAGAAATGCATAACACGTGTTCACGCCTTCTACTATATGAAGTTAATTATTTATGTGAGGAACAGCTTACATAAATATACAGGAAAATGAAAATCATACCTTAAGAGTTGCCTGATGCTTTGTGATCAGTTGAGCATTCTCCATGGTAACAGTTCGAAGGGTACTGCTCAATTCTGTACATTGTTGGGTCAACTGCTCATTAAGCATCTAATAAGGAAAAGAAAAAGCCTTTCCACAACGGTAGTAGTTTCAAGTTTCATAGAAGACTTTATCCTCTCCCAATCTGCATGTCAAGTCCCAATATGTGACACTTTCCTCTCCTAAAAATTGAAGTGTTTGCTTTGCTATTTGAGATTCTGGGCATTTGGCAATTAGCTAGAAACATATCCCACTTTTAATTCCATCGGCATGCTGCCTAACTTACTGTATTTGTATTCAACTGCTGCTATGGTACAAGTTAAAAAACAACAATGACAGACATTTTTATGTATTTTAATCGTTCTCTTGGGGTTTATGTCTTAACTATTAATCATGTTATTAGTATGTTTATTTGATTACTCGCATTTTGTTTTTCATTTTGATGTTAATTTCTCTTTTGTTATAAGTTTACGGTTATTATTTTGAATTATTTTGCATTATTTTGAGGCGTTTGTTTTCGCTTATGGGCACTGAATGTTTGCCTTTTTTGTATGATAAACTTTTTATTCTGATGACAACTGCAATCGTGTTTGTGCAGACTCAGAAGCTAGAAAAAAACCCACCAAAAATGGAATAATAGATAGCAAAGTAGCTGAAATATCAGAAACTGACATTTTAACTAGATATCTACAGACAAAGAACCTTTAATAGTCAAGAAAAATTGAGGACCCTTTGAAAAGTTCCTGGAAGAAGAGAAAATCCCAACATGGGAATTTCATGTTTAGAATGTTTGTATCATATACAATGAACTAGATAATATGTATACAATTTTTTATGTATATGGAGGAAGGATATGTAAAGACTTGACAATATCTTTCAATTTGGAAAAAAAAGATTTTAAAAATATGTCTATTTGGAGACCTGAGCCAGCTTCGTATTAATCACACAATAAATAACAACAAAAAATGACAACAACAATAATAAGTGATAATAATAATATTATGTGATTGATGTGAACTTGGTTCGGGCTTTTAAATGGGCATAATGATAATAATGTTAATATTAATAGTAATAATTGTTATTATTATTGTTATTATTATAAAAGCAAATAAGTATATTCTCTGGTGAGTTATAAAGGTTGAAGCAGATATCCACCAGCATGAAAACTAACATTTTGAACATGCATATCTTTTACTCTCAAATTGGTAATTGTCTTTCTTTTTCCAAGATAGACTTTGCCCGTCTTAAATGGAAATTATGTAGGGACTCTAACCCAGATCCATAACAGCATAACCGTGCCTTGGGTTTTGCAATATAATTACCTCCTCTGTTTTCAATAATTGTAATGCTCGACACAGTTAATACCTTTCTTATGTGGGTAGTGAAGACAATATATAGTCTGCCAGGATTTCAGTGGGTTTTATTTGTCTGTTAATTGTGCTATCTTTTATTTGTTTCTACGGTCTCATTCTTCTGTCTTGTACTCTGTGTTATTGTTACAAACCACCTTGAGGGCACTTATGTAGGAGGCGCTCAAAGGCAATATGTAAATGTCTTCATAAATACTTTAAAAAAAAGATTGGGACCTGTACATCATTTTTTCACATTAATGATATGGGTATTTATCAAATGTGGGATTCATAAATTAACAGAGTGTTGCTTAAAGTTGAAGTGGTATTACATTATCATTTAATGGGAATAGGCCAATAAGGCAGAACCGTAATCAGAGTGGGAGGTTTTTTCATTCTTCTCTCTGTGTGTCTCCTTCTGTCCTTTAAAAAGAAATAGTCACTTCGTTGTAGTTCAATTGTAGTGGGCAACATGCAATTGTGTAGTTTTAGTAGTTGGATACATTGAAAAATCTTGTTTATGTGTTTTATTTTTTTTTAAATACCAAATCATTGTTAAGTAATTTAGCCTTTCTGTTCCATGTAGTTTTGTACATGCAAACAATCATTTCAATTACTTGCACTTTTTCTGCTACCTCCCGCAAACTGGTTATTTCTGCTTGTAGCTGCGCATTCTCTTCAAGGGCTTTGCTCAAAGACATTTGGGTAATCTAGAAGAAAAGAAATTCTCACTGCTAAAAATGCTATTTTAAAAGCATTTTAAAACACAGAAATCATTTCACACTATCAAACCAAGATAGTTTTCTGTCTCGTGTTTTGTGTATTGGAGAAGCTCAGATAAAGCTAGTAGAGCTCTTGAATGATTAGCCAAAAGGCTTCCTAACTTCCACAAAATATAGAACTGAACAGAATCAAACATTTTGAAAAACATACGGAAAATAACAAGCCCAATTCTTGAATTCTCTTTTATACTTACTTTCCCTTCTTCATTGAACTTGGAAATGGTAGCCTCTTGGGATTCTAGAACAGATGGCAATTAAAATGGTTGTAAAATTTTGTAGTCATTTAATTAAAACTTTAACTAATTATGCATTTGGTCAGCCATCTGTACCCAATCAGATCGAAAATCAGATCCCAAAATCACGAACCCCATAGTCCACAGCCCCATTAAGATGAATTACAGAGACTACATGGAGTTTTATATTCCCAGTTTTATATTTATTGTCATTAAACCCCAATGGAACGCTGCACAGAGACGGTACAAACCTCAGGGAGTGGCAACACAAACTGCTCACTGACATAGCAAAATATCCTCATGAGAGGTATAGATGCCGTAACAGCATATTTACAGGCATGGGAAAAGCAAACATGTTTGCTGTTTTTTGACATATATGGTCAGAAAGAAATTAAAATCATGGTTTTGGGACCAGGCCTTTGGACAGTAGATGTTTGTAGAGTTTAAAGGACATGGACTAGAATGACAATACGACTGGCGAGACTGTTTTTATTATTTATTGTTTTAATGATTGCTTATGTACTGTTGAATTATGATTTATGTTTCATTGTGGTTTTATTATTGTGGTTGTTATGGATTGGCATCGCGGCAGTGTCCAATGTATGGCATTGATGTTTTGTCAGTTATTTGTAAACCGCTTTGAGTCCCCCTAAGGGTAAGAAAAGCGGTATAGAAATACTGTAAATAAATAAATAAATAAATAAATATATCTATATCTATGGCAAGCTATGGCCAGTAGATGCAGTTTCAAGAAGCAGCACCGCTTTCCTATTACACTGTATCCAGTTTGAATGTAAACCTATTCTGGGCATTTACATTTCTGTGCCTGTCTGTCTCTTAATTGCTTGTACCTTTATGCTGATTTTATTTTTATTTTTTTTAGTTAACAATACCCCAGGAAGACATATGGAACATACAATGGGCTTAAGCAAATGCTCCCGTTCTAGATTCCCTCCACTAAGCAAGGTGTTAAGACTAGGATTCAGAATGAAGAAAACTTACCGCTTTGGAATTCTGCACCCAAAAGCCCTTGGCCATAGACCAAGATGGCTGGCAAAATTCTGGAAATCCTCATTAAAAAGGACTTATTCAAAAAGTTCAACTACAAATTCAACCCCATGTGGGGCAGGACTCCTGCTGGCACATCATGGCTATTTCAACCTTTTTTTCCTCAAGCAGTGGTAAAAAAAGGCAGGCAAAAACCTGACAACTTGAAGCACTCGATTTCTTTACGACATTACATCCTTCACGGCTAATGCATCACAACCTTTTTTCTCCTCTTCTCATGACTGCCTATGGAAGTGTAATGTTCCAACAGGACTCTCTTCACAGATTCTAAGACTGTCTGGCTGATCAACAGTTTATGATTATGATTTTTTTTTGCCTTTACATTGACATTTTTAAATATAGGTATACATACACGTAAGAACAGCCATGCTGGAGCAGGCCACAGACGTCTCTAGTCCAGCATTCAGCCTAGCAACCAATCAACAGCTCTGTGAAGCCCACCGGCAGGATATGAGTAAAGTGGCCAAAGACTAGTGCCTCCAAGAAGGAATAATGAATCTTAGAGGCTTCTCACTCATCTCACTTACATTTTAGAGGATGCCCTTCATCACAGCAACCCGAGGCAGCAAATTGACTCCTTTTTCCAATATTTCCAATTATCAACATAAAATCCTTAGCAGTCAGCTGCATGACTACTTGCAATTTGTTTTGTATCGTCTCTAAAAAATACTGCCGGTGACAATTCAATCATTTGAGACATTTATCCCCTTATTATTTCAATCACTTCACTCTAATGCTAACTCTGTCTGTTTGTTTACGGCTATCGGTCATCCTCTGTTTAGCCATAACGGCTGATAACACCTATTTTTACACTTCATTGGACAAAGAGCACTCGGACAGAACACGCTTGACCTTAAAAATGAACCTGCTTCATAGTCCAAGTCCAATTCAAAACCAGCCAGTTATAGCCATTCTTTCCAATTGTGGTCCACATGCCTGTTCTTCAAAGATGTCCAACCAATCAATTCATTCTTTAAAGTCTGTGTCATTTGGGCATGTTAATCATTTGATTGTCAATGAGACAAACAGGGAACTGTTGTTAGAAAACTTCAATTGGCAATGGTGTCACCACACAAAACTATTTGAAAGGGATAAAGAATAGTATGGCTTTGAATTTAATAAAAGTAAAGGTTTCCTCTGACATTAAGTCTAGTCGTGTCCGACACTGGGGGTGCTCATCTCCATTCTAAGCCGAAGAGCTGGCATTGTCCGTAGATGCCTCCAAGGTCATGTGGCTGGCATGACTGTATGGAGCGCCGTTAACTTCCTGCACAAGCGGTACCTATTGATCTCACATTTGCATGTTTTCGAACTGATAGGTTGGTAGAAGCTCGGGCTAACAGTGGGAGCTCACCCTGCTCCTCGGATTGGAACCAACAATCTTTCAGTCAGCAAATTCAGCTCAGTGGTTTAACCTGCTGTGCCACCAAGATTTGAATTTAGTAGAGGCTATAAATTATTGTTCAAAAAAGAGAAGAACAGGTGAAAGGTTACACCAAGGCTTCACAAACTAAGGCCCATAGGCCAGATGTAGCCCTCTAAGATCATTTATCTGACCCCGGCCTTAAACTTTAGGCTTAGGTTTGCCATAAGAACTTGAAGGCACACAACAACAATCCTAATTGACTTGACTTTCTCATCAGCCAAAGGCAGGCCCACACTTCCCACTGAAATACTAGTAAGTTTATATTAGTTAAAATTGTGCTTCATTTTAAATACTGGATTGTTCTTTCATGTCCAACTACATTAGCCGCCCTCTAACAGTCTGAGGGACCATGAACTGGCCTTCTTCTTAAAAAGTTTGAGGACCCCTGGATTACATGATAAACTTTAGCTACGATATGGATATGGGACAATGGAAGAAGGTTAATGATCACACTAAAAACTTCCAAGAAAATGTTATAAGATGATATTTTGCTGGTATCACATACCAGAAAAACTGGCAAAAATGAACAAGGGTGAAAAATAATTGTAGGAAATATGAAAAGCAAGAAGGATCTTACTACCATATATGTTGGTCAAATAAAAAAGCAATAAATAAAATTGGAAACCAATTCAGAAAAATATAAAGATAAAAATGACCTTTAAGAATTGCTACTATTAGAAATAGATATATAGGCTGGAATATAGATATATATTATAGATATATATCTATATATATCTATATATAGATATAGATGTATATATAGATATAGATATATAGGCGGAATCACTGGGTTGCTTTGAGTTTTCCAGGCTGTATGGCCATGTTCCAGAAGTGTTCTTTCCTGATGTTTCACCCACATCTATGGCAGGCATCCTTAGAGGTGAGGTCTGTTGGAAACTAGGCAAGTGGGCTTTATATACATGTGCAATGTTCAGGGTTGGAGAAAGGACTCTTGTCTGCCTGAGGCAAGTGTGAATGTTGTAATTGGTCATCTTGATTAGCACTGATTTATTTATTTATTTATTTATTTATTTACTTTGCTTATATACCGCTGTTCTCAGCCCGGGGACTGAGAATGGCCTTGCAGCTTCAAAGCCTGGCTGCTTCTGCCTGGGGGAGGATGCCTGCCACAGATGTGGGCAAAATGTCAGGAAAGAATGCTTCTGGAACATGGCCATCCAGCCAAGAAAGCTCACAGCAACCCATAATTCAATATATGTTAACAATGGCCAGATTTGCTTATGGCTAAAGATGGAAGTGTAAAGAAATACCTTCAACTGAAGACTGTGTATATATATGGAAATTGTTTGAGTTAGTGGAGATGGATAAATTGATTGCTAATGAAGTTTTTTTTTAAAAAAAATTGGGAGCCTCTCCGACAATTTAATATGAAGAGAGATCAGGAGATATTTACAGTCCTGGAGAAACAATTGTGTGTGTATGTGCACACTCATGCACACCCAAAAAGCATTGAAGCAAATTGTGGATTAGGAGACAAAGAGGACAAATCCAATAATCAGTAGATACTAATGAAGGAAAAGTTGGAAATCCAAATTGAAGTGTTATACGTGTCATGTCAGTGTAATTATATGTTAAATGTTATGTCGTATTAGGTGTAGTGCATTTCGGTGTTTTATATGTACACATAGCATGTTTTTTTCCTAGAAATTAGAGAATTAATAAAATATGGGGATTTGTCAATTGCCTAAGGATTAATATTATATTAATATATAATATTAATATATATATGTATATATATATGTATAACATTAATATTATATTAATTATATATATATATAATATTAATATAATTAATATATATATATATATATATATAATATTAATATAATTGTCTAAGGATTAATATAATATGGGGATTTGCCAATTGTCTAAGTGTGTGTGTGTATATATATATCTCAAAACAAGAATGAAATTTTAAAAAGGGACGACTGGCTTCCAGAAATGACCCATCACTGATGGAATGTCGTATTTGGAACTTCAATGACATGAGGTGCAATGGATTTCAGTGATGTCATTAAGGACAGAGCAACCAAGTCACAACCAAGTGTATTGGATACAGCAATAAGACTACCTTAATACACTCACAATATCTAAAAAATAACAAATACCTAGATTGCTTTTAAGCAGCATACACTGCTGCTCCAGCTGGATTTTCCTCTCTTCTTCTTTCTGCAGCCTTTCTCCAGACATCTGAATATCCTGACGTAAAGTGTTACAGTCCTGCTGCAAAGTATGAACCTGTAACAGGATCCAAAAATGAAGTCTGTTGAACCATGCATTCATTTAACTACCCAAGGTCATTCTTTGTTGAAGGACAAAAAAAAAACCTGCAACTGTAAAAAGTGCAACTGTAAAACTATGTTTCTAATCTTAATTTACATGGCTCTTCTTGTCATTGAAATCCAGGGAAGGAACACTACATGCTTAGATATGGAATTTTCCCCAAAGCAAGAGGGAAATCTGTATATAGTACTAGACAAAACATTCTAAATTCGTGTCGAGTTTTGCACATGAGAGTTTAAACAATTACAGTAGTACCAATGGATCCATACGTTGAATGAGTAACTACTGGTTTTAAGAACAATCATACAAAATACAAGTGTACCCTTTTCATAACTTTCATACTGTATCGTTTGGACAATAAAAAAGGAAGGACTGGATCATGCTGGGATTTCACAAACCTGCTTCCGTTCTTTTTCCACCATCATTTCCAAATCATTCATCTGATAAAGCAGGACAGCGTGAGATTCTTGCAAAGACTCCCGCTGGCTAGACTCCTTAGCTAGTTGCTCTGTTAGCTGCGAGTGGTAAAATAAGAGTGTTTTTAGACTCAAATAAGGGCCATCAAGTTTTGACTATAAACTTGACCTCTCCCCATCATTCTCTCTACACAGCTATATGTCAGATGAAAATAATATGTGTATTACCGGGCATAAGCTCTTTAATAGATTTAGTACCAGAAACAGCATATAAAGAATTAAGATAAGTTCTTACACTATAAAGAAGAAGAGCATCTCAACATGTTTCACAGAATATGTGAAGTGAGGCAACCATGTAAAAATGTATCCAGGAATGATTTTTTCCCCCTTACTAATGACCACTTTTCCTATGATGTCCATTTCTGTGGCCAGATCTATTGTATATACTCGAGTATTAACCAAGTTTTTCAGCCCTTTCTTAGACTGAAAAAGACCACCTCGGCTTATATTCAAGTCAAGATTATTTTTAAATTATTATTATTATTATTATTATTATTATTATTATTATTACATTTATTATTTTACTCTATTTGTTATTATTGCATTTATTATTTTACTCTATTATTATTACATTTACATTCTTTTACTCGATTATTATTATTTTATTATATTTTCTATTACTATAACATTTATTATTTTACTCATTTATTATTGTTATTATTACATTTATTATTTCACTCTATTATTACTGTTTTATTACCCTTATTATTTTACTCTATTATTACTGTTATTATTACATTTCATTATTTTACTCTATTATTATTTTCATTATATTTATTATTTTACTCTGTTATTATTGAGGATACGTAAGCACATTTACATTGAAGAAGGTTAAAATTATGGTTTAATGAGAGTTGGACAGTCTTATCTTGAATTACAGTTTTCTGCAAATATTCAAAAACATTTAACTTACTGATATCTCAATTAATGTAATTTTATTGATATTTATTTTTATTTTGAAATATACCAGTAGCTGCTGCATTTCCCACCCTTGACTTATACTCGAGTCAATACGTTTTCCCAGATTTTTGTTGTAAAATTAGGTGCCTTGGCTTATATTAGAGTCAGATTATACTTGAGTATAGACAGTTTCCCATTTTTCCCTTCTTTTTAGCATGCTGGATTATTCACACATTCACAGTTAGATATTCTGGAGGCAACTGCTGTTTCCCTTGCCTGCAATAGACAGGCACATGCAGCTCTAGCAGAATCCCATTCTTTCCCAGCCTAAGCTTTATTGCATTGTTTTATATACAATGCTGCAACCCAATACTGAAAGTTTATGTCTTTTCACCATCCTCCCAGTGCTGATGCTGATCAAAAACCTCCAGTTGGACAGGGGACAAGGAGAAAAATCAGAGCTTAAAAAGACTTTGCAGAAAGGAGCAGTGGCTTTGTTAATATAGACATGCCTGTATAAAGACAAGCTGTTCAGCACTGAGGGCAACATAAAAGCCCAAGGTCCACCAAAAATAATCACTGGTTTGCTTTAATTTATATATTAAAGCACAGACAAATATCTGAATATGCGACACACACTTGCAAACTGAAATTGTTTTATCTCAAATATGAGAAAATGGGCTTGAACATGGAAAAACCTAGTGATGGTAATCATACATTCTGAGCTAGCTGAAAAGCTCAGTGTCTTCATTTCTCTCCCTCTCTTCTTTAACAGCTACATTTACCTCTTGCAGTTTGTGGTCCATCTTCTTTTTCGTTGCCCTCAACTCATCTGCAGCAATGGCTACGTCCCTCTGCAAAGTTGGAATAGAAGTGGAGATCAACATTTTGTTGAGCAGATCAGGATTGGGTGGGATAATACAGATCTTGTTCAATCTACCACTCAGTAAAAGCTCTGTTAGGTTTCAAAAAACTACAGCTTTTCTAACAGATGGATTCTCAGCCTCTGCTTAGATACCTCCAGCAAAAGAAATCCTACTCCCACTACCAAATGCTGGGAGCAGATTTCAATATTCCATTTAATTAACCGTAGAAAGAAAAGACAGGGTGTTTTCACAATAAAACCCCAGTTCCATTGAAATCTCACAATCACAATGCTATGGCCCCTTCTACGCTGTCATATCATCCAGATTATCAAAGCAGATAATCCACACTATTTGCTTTTAACTGGATTATATGAGTCTACACTGCCATATAATTCAGTTTAAAGAAGATAATCTGGATTATATGGCAGTATAGAAGGGGCCTAAAAAAGACTACAGGTGTCTACAATGCCCCTTCTCTGGTTTCCTTTGACAAGCAAGCAAATACATTCCTAACCACGCAGGCTTTTAATATGTAAGCATGTTGTTTTTTTAATGTATGTGTGATTTTAAATGTGAGCCTTAATTATGGGCACCTGGTGGTGCAGTGGGTTAAAGCACTGTGCCGGCAGGACTGAAGACCGACAGGTCGCAGGTTCGAATCCAGGGAGAGGCGGATGAGCGCCCTCTATTAGCTCCAGCTCCTCATGCGGGGACATGAGAGAAGCCTCCCACAAGGATGATAAAAAACATCAAAAATCATCCAGGCGTCCCCTGGGCAACATCCTTGCAGACGGCCAATTCTCTCACAACAGGAGCGGTTGCTCCTGACACGACAAAAAAAAAGGGCATTCTACATCAGATAACTTCCACAGGGAAGCTTGTCTGCTTTTCGTTGTTTTAAAATTTATTGCAACTATTTTTAACTGTTTTGGTAAGAGTCCACCCTATGATTCTACATAATATTTTCATTTGGGTTCATTTGGGTTCATTTGGGTTCACTCTGGGAGAAAGGAGGCTTACAAAAGGCAATAAATAACATAACATAACATAACATAAATCAAATTTCCATGTCTTCAGCATGAGCTGAAACATAAGATTTCTAGGCCATTTTACAATAATACAACACCAGTACCTTTGTAGCAGTTGCAATCTCCAGAGCGGACCGCAGCCTTTCCACCCGATCTCTGGCTTTTGATTCCTCTTCCCTGGACTCTTGGAGCTGCTGGCATAACATTCGCCCCTCTTCTTGCAGCACCCTTAGTTCTTCCATGTGCTCCTCCTGGATCATCTTCATGCGCTGTTCTAAATTAGCTGGCAGAGCATATTGGGGAAAACCAAAGCATATTGGTACAGGCACTTTCCTAAATTCTGTAAACTTCTGATCTCTCATTTGAACTAAAATGCAGGGCATTCTTCATTTACATTAGAAATTGTTTAGAGAAGGGTAGGCAGTGTGGTCCTGGAACTTCCTATGGGTCCCAAGGCAGCTCCTGCCCAACCCAGATCACCAAAGATTTGTGATGGATTGCTGTGAGTTTTCCGGGCTGTATGGCCATGTTCCAGAAGCATTCTCTCCTGACATTTCACTCAGATCTATGGCAGGCATCCTCAAAGGTTGTGAGGTTTGTTGGAATCTAGGTAAGTTAGTTTGTATATCTGTGGAATGTCCAGGGTGGGAGAAAGAACTCTTGTCTGATTGAGGCATGCGTGAATGTTGCAATTGGCCACCTTGATTAGCACTGAATGGCCTTGTAGCTTCAAAGCCTGGCTGCAAGGCCATTCAATGCTAATCTAGGTGGCCAGGGAGGAAAAGTTGCCTCCAGACAAAACTGCTTGCAAACCTCTGGTTTGAAATGTGAAATACATTATGCCTTGCTCTTTGACAAATCAAACCCATTGGTCTCCATAACAGATGTGTTTGGACTCACTCACTGGTTAGAGAATAAGTGGGGGGGGGGGGGGGGGGGGGGGGAGTGTCATATTATCGTTAAGAGTGATGGACAGTGGCCCAAACGCTATTGCCAATAACTTTATGCTTTTGCAACCTTTTTCCTTTCATATTAGGCACAGTTGTAGCAAAAGTACCCTTTCCTGGAACAATCAGTCTTATGAACTATTGATTCATAGCTGGTGTGGGCCTTGATTAATACTGGATTAATTCATTTGCTTGGGCCTTGATCTGCTCACTTCGGCTACATTTCCTGGGAACTACACTTAAAGATACTATAATAGAGAGACTACAGAAAGACTTGTGCTGAAGGAATGGAGCAAATAAGCGGGTCTTACAGTTTCCCCTTCCTGCAGTACCTGCATGCTTTGGATTCAGCTCCTTTTCTGTCTGCAGTCGGAACATGTTCAGTTTTAGGGTCTGCACAACGCTCTCAAGCCGGCACATCCGGTTCACTAGAGTCTCACAGGTTCGCCACAAAGTGTCATTGGTTCCACTGAAGACTGTTTGGGCACGGACAGGGCTGATGGACTGATGACCTTCAAGTTTCTCCAAGGGCTTTGAAGGGAAGATTTCCACACTAAAAGAACCAAAGGGGAATAAATGCCCATTTTCAATCTATATGCCTTGATCTTAGGCTTCTGGCACACATTTCTCTCCTATTTTGTCTGAAAGTATGGTAATAGAAGATATAAGAATATCCTTGATCTGAATTTACCTCCTTACAATTCCAATGGGGTAGAACCTGCTTCTCAATCTAAATGGACCCGAGATGCCTGACTTTCTTTTTCTCCAATAGAAATGAACATACCTAATTCATTTTTATAGGAAAATACGCCACACACTCTCCCAGTGAAGGGACCCTTCTTGGGAGAGTGCAAACAAACATACACAATCTGAAACACTGCATCTCATCCAAAAGTAACACTTAAGTGCAGTTTGCTATAGTCAAGCTCCATCCATCATGCTCACAATTAGCAGACTGAAGACTTTTACTTCTGTTTTACTTGTGAGTTGTATTTCAAACTGGATAAACGGAATGCTGGTTATAGTTAATGGAAACAAGCCACAGCCTGTTAAACTAATCGAGGACTCCAGAACTGTGTTTAAGCTGTGTGGAACGAGGCACGAAGAGAGCTTTGTGATTGACAGGTAGGTGATAATGAATTTTGTGTACTTGCATGTATGGTATTTAGCTACCACACCCCTCTCACCCTGAAAATTCTCTAGAGACTGGTAGATGATGATTTGTGACTCTGCACTAGTCTGCAGCTACCACTTTAAGAAGTATAATTTAGTGCAGGAGGGCATTTCCACTCAAAAACAACAAATGTGTACAAAATTTCCAATATTGGTCACTGTATTTGGAGCATTGTTCATAAAGTGGTCCTGTAGAAAGTCAAGTAGCAGACTGGTAGAATCACATTTTCAATCATTTTCAATCATCAGGACATACAACCATACAGATTGTGTCTGAAAATAGCTGTGGTCTCATAACTGTGTCTTTTTCATGCCAGAACATCAATGGGGAAAAGCTGACAGGTGCTGCTTTGTGATTCAAGGCAGCATGAATCTACACCAACCTTCAGAAAATGTCAATTTTTAAAGTAACATGTCTTTTACAAACAGCACTGTTTTTCGGGCATTTTGTCTTTAGCTCTATTCACGATATTTACAAAAAGCCTAATCACTTCAAAATGTTATACTATTTATTCAGAAGATTGGCAAAATTTGCCAGATTAAATTAGAACAGCTATTATTAAATAATAACCCGAATACTGAGAAGAGAGACCAACATAGAAACTTGGAAAGAAGAGAGAATGTAAAGCAATGAAAATACAAGAATTAAGGCTGCAATTCTCTATGCTCATTCCTCATCATAGGTAAAAATAAAGATTTCCCTTTTGACATTAAGTCTAGTGATGTCTGACTCTAGGGGTTGGTGCTCATCTCCATTTCTAAGACGAAGAGCCAGCATTTTCCATAGACACCTCCAAGGCCATGTGGCCAGCATGACTGCATGGAGCACTATTACCTTCCTATTGATGTATTCACATTTGTATGTTTTCAAACTGCTAGGTTGGCAGAAGCTGGGGCTAACCACAGGAGATCACCCTGCTCCTCAGATTCAAACCACCAACCTTTTGGTCAACAAGTTTAGCAGCTCAGCGGTTTAACCTGCTGCGCCACCGGGGGCTCTTGATCATAAGACCCACTAATCACAGTGGAACATACTTTCGAGTGAGCACATATACAAGACTGTGCGTCAAAACATTTATTCTACTGTACCTTTGCCCTTTGACATCCAGGGTCCGTAGATCTTTCAGAAGTTCATTTGTCTGTTCTTCAACAACTCTCATTCTCTGGTTCAGGACCACAAAGGTTTCAGGAGCTGTAGAATTGATACTCACAGGGGAAATGATTGGCCTTGCCATAATCGTCTCAGCATCCAGCAATTAGCTGCAAATAAAATCAATTCACAGGTATGTAGCAATCATAAGAGTCCTTACAACATATTCATAAGCCAATGAAGGGAATACTACAGGTATAAGAACAAGGATGCAATAGTACCGCGGGGAGCAAATAAGGGTACTGCCCACTTCAACTATGTTTCCTTTCAATGCTGACATTTCTAGCTATGCATTCATTTAAAATCTCTGTATAAATATTGTCAATTCTAGCATCTGTAATTCAGAGACACCTGTAGCTCCTATGTGACATGCTCCCAAGCATTTCAGGCCTATTTTAACATACTGAATGCATTAGCAAAAACCATTCAGAATTACACCTCATTCTGGTCCTTTGTTATTTTGTGCCTTCAAGTTGTTTCTGACATATGATGATTGCTTCGGAGGGTTGCTTTTGCTTCCTTTTCAGGATGGGAGAGTGTGATTTGTCTAATAATAATAAAATAATACAAATTTATTTTTAACCCACCTCCTCTGCCCTAAGGGACTCAGGGTGGCCTAAAGTCATTCAGTGCTTTTCCATGGCTGAGCGGGATTTGAAGTCTGGTCTTTAGAGTCCTAGGGCACACATCCGTTGTAAGTTAATGCTGTTTGATACTTTAACTGCCATGGCTCAATGCTATGCACTTATGGGAGTTGTAGGTGGTAACGTACCAGCCTGCTTTGGCAGCGAAAGCTAACGACTCTGTATAAGTACAACTCCTATGATTCCATAGCATTGAGCCAGGGCAGTTAAAAGTGGTGTCGACATGCATTCTGAAGTGTAGATGCACCTTCAACCTAACACTAAAACCACTCCACCATGCAGGCTCTCACGCTCCCCAAAAATAACCAGAACTGATATAGTCAATTTCATATAAAGCATATGCTGCCAATTACTTATCCTTGAAAATGCAAATAGATTACAGAAAAGACAAAGATGGCATAGAGAACCGGTCTGTTGTTGTTTGGTTTGTTGTCCAGGGCTGCATTCAAGAGCAGCTGTTAGAAATGGCACAGATCCATTATGAATCTGCACACAGTATTCCAAATGTTACCTTATAAACACTGGGAGGTGAAAGGTTTGGATGAAAAACAGAATGTAGATCAGTGATATAATGGAGTTATATAAGCATTACATCATGAAAACATGGTAGTGTTCAGAAATTGCCAAAAGATAGCATTGGAAAAGTAACAATGTGTCCCTTATTTCAATCACCAATTATATCTAGTGATGGTGCATTCTTTTTCATTAAAAAAATGTCCAGCTTCAGCTATTATTTATTCATAAGCCAATATGTCAGTGAAATATAATAGAATTAAACTAAAGCAACATTGGATAGAGCCTCTATAAGGAACTTCCGGTAATAAAACTTTTCAAATTTGTTACAAGTGATCCTGCAGATGATGAACTATCAATGCTGAGATCCCAGGACTTCTATAAAATATCACTCACCCAAGATTTGTATTTCGATTTAAATGTTTTAAAATTATACAGTCATCAAAGGCGAGTTTACATTTACTTTCAGTGGATATTCCCCCACCTGGTGACACTAGACATTTTGACAGAAATGACATCAAACCAAAACTGTGGTAGTTTTCAAAGCAAATATGACAACTATAGATGAAAGAGGGCAGTCAAATCATGTTATTGAACCAAGACCAATGCCAAATAGGGTTGATAAATTCTTGGTTGCAAACATGAAAGTAATACTATCCGAGCTGTAAAGGGAAATCTTTAAAAATAAGTCATTTCAGTGCAGCTAATGCAATGAACTGTGCAATGATGGCTCGGATTGATGAAAGGAAATCATGGAAAATTTGGGTTTGGATGTCAGTAAGCAAACTGGACCTTAACATACAAAAACGAGATGTTTAGAGTCAGTGAAGGGGCAGATCAGGGAGCAGCAACTCAGGCCCCGTTCTACGTGGTCATATAAAATCTAGATTATCTGTTTTGACCTGGATTATATGGCAGTATAGATTTATTTAATCCAGCTCAAATCAGATAATGTGGATTCTCAGTTTTTTTAATCTGGATTATATGGCAGTGCACAAGGAGTCTCAGACTTGATCTGCACTGCTGTATAATCCAGTTCTTGATTCCAAATTACCTACTTTGAACTGGATTATATGAGTCTACTACACTGCTATGGAGTCCCCAGTGGCGCAGTGGGTTAAAGCACTGAGCTGCTGAGCTTGCTGATCGAAAGGTCACAGGTTCGAATCCGGGAGTGGCATGAGCTCCTGCTGTTAGCCTGGGAGCGCCAGCTTCTGCCAACTTAGCAGTTTGAAAACATGCTAATGTCAGTAAATCAACAGGTACCACTTTGGTGGAAAGGTAACGGCACAACGACGGCTCTTCAGCTTAGAAATGGAGATGAGCACCAACCCTCTGAGTCAGACACAAATTGACTCAATGTCAGGGGAAAACTTTTACTTTTACCTACACTGGTATATAGAAGCAGTCCTCAAGTTACAAACACGATAGGTTCTGAAGGTTTGTTCTTAAGTTGAATTTGTATGTAAGTCGGAACAGGTACATTTTTAACTGTAACATCAGCCATTTTCATAGCATAGGGAAAGGTGGTGTTTGTTTTTCTGCCTGTGCCCCTGTAAGAAGATTTCACTTCATTTTCTGTCCCTGTGATAGTTAGATTTTGAAAATTTGTCACGGAAACAAGGATTGGTGACAAAGCTCCAGTGGCGACACCTTTTCCCCATGATAACTCTTCTTCATTTTAATTATTGTATTGTTTCAAAGTGTTTTTGGCACTACAAATAAAATATGTGCAGTGTGCATAGGAATTCATTGGTATTTTGTCAAATTATAATCTGGTACTCCAACAGTTTGAGGGACTGTGACCTGGTCCTCTGTTTAAAAAGTTTGAAGATCAACAACGGTTCTGGCCCTGCTTACCTCTCCGAACGCATCTCCACCTATGAACCGACCAGAACATTAAGATCGTCTGGGGAGGCCCTGCTCTCGATCCCGCCTGCGTCACAGGCGCGCTTGGCGGGGACGAGAGACAGGGCCTTCTCAGTGGTGGCCCCTCGGCTATGGAATGCCTTGCCGGCAGACATCAGACAGGCACCTTCGTTGCTGACGTTTCGGAGAATGGTGAAGACCTGGCTTTATGAGCAAGCGTTTGGCTAAGCAGTGCAACCAATCAAGGAAGACGGTAAATGGAACATAGGAACGGCACAAGGACTATGAGAACGGATCTGATTTCAACTGAGGCGTTATGTCTGTTGTTCTGTTGATTTGTCTTGTTCGATTGTTAATTGTTGTGGATCGATGTTGTTGATCCTGTTTGTTGTATTGTTGTTTTAATTGCACTGTAAACCGCATTGAGTCGCCTGTTAAGGGCTGAAAAATGCGGTATAGAAATGAAGCAAATAAATAAATAAATAAATAAGATCCCTGATCTAGATTATCTGCTTTGAATTGGATTATATGGCAGTGTAGACTCACATAATCCAATTCAAAGCAGATAATTGTGGATGGTCTGCTTTGATAATGTGGGTTATATAGCAGTGTAGAAGGGTTATATAGCAGTGTAGAAGGGGCCTGAGTCTTGAGCCAGCTCTTGAGCCTTCTCTGCCAAAGAGTGCTGGTGCCTCACCAAACTACAATTCCCAGGATCCCATAGCATTGAGTCATGGCAGTTAACCTGCACTGCTTCTACTTGTGCGCCCAAACAGGCCCACCCTTTGGCACTGCAGCTCTCCTGCAATGTCTTTCTCACTCTCTCTCAACCAGAAATGGAGGAGAACCATTCTTGCCGCCCTCTCCCAGCAGAACCCGCTCTACCTCCAAAGCAGCCAACCACGAAAAGAAAGACCACTCAACCAGCTCAAGGCTCCACAGCCTTGTTTCCATGGAGCTCTTTCCCAGCTTCAAACCGACCCGCCTCTCAGGGAGGCTCCTCCGGGCGCATGCGCGTGCCTGCGCGCGCCTCCTCCCGCTAAGTCCCGGCCATCAAGGACGACACCACGCATGCGCCGGCGGCGGTGCAGCAAAGCATGCTGGACAGCGTAGTTCTTCGAGCCTGTTGAAGGCTGGGTTTACTGCTGTGACTTCTGGGCCCATGGAATTGCTAGGTTGCCGGATTTTATGTTGTTTTTTTGCTTTCAACTTCTAGGCCCCTTGCACACAGCTGTATAAAACCCACACTGAAGTGGATTATATGGCAGTGTGGACTCAGACAACCCAGGCCCTTCCACACAGCCATATAACCCAGAATATCAAGCTTTGAACTGGGTTATCTGAGTAATTTGAACTAGGTTATTTAAGTCCACACTCAGATAATGTGGGATTTTCTGCCTTGATATTCTGGGATATAGGGCTGTGTGGAAAGGGCCCAAGGAGAGAGCAGATACTGTGGAATGTCTACCTTGATATTCTGGGTTATATGGCTGTGTGGAAGGGCCCATATTTGACCCTGATCCCAACAGCCATACTTACTTACTTACATAGGTGATCCCTCGTTGTCCGAGTAGGATAGTCTTCTAGGATCAGTGTTCTGGTGGGTCCGTAGGTGACTGTGGAGCCCTATTCTTGATCTGCATCTTCTCCCGCAGTGAGGGCATTGGTTTCCAGGTGGAAGGCATCTCGGTCAGGATTGGCTTGACGTGCCTTTCCTCTTGGCACGTTTCTCTCTCTCACCCTCCATTCGTGCCTCTTCAAATTCTGCAGCACTGCTGGTCACAGCTGACCTCCAGCTGGAGTGCTCAAGGGCCAGGGATTCCCAGTTCTCCATGTCTATGCCAGAGATTTTAAGGTTGGCTTTGAGCCCGTCTTTAAATCTCTTTTCCTGTCCTCCAACATTCCATTTTCCGTTCTTGAGTTCGGAGTAAAGCAACTGCTTTGGTAGACAGTGGTCGGGCATCTGGACAACATGGCCGCTCCAGCGGAGTTGATAGTGGAGGACCATCGCTTCAATGCTGGTGGTCTTTGCTTCTTCCAGCACGCTGACGTTTGTCCGCCTGTCTTCCCAAGAGATTTGCAGGATTTTCTGGAGGCAGCGCTGATGGAATCGTTCCAGGAGTTTCATGTGATGTCTGTAGACAGTCTAAGTTTCGCAGGCGTATAGCAGGGTTGGGAGGACAATAGCTTTATAAACAAGCACCTTGGTATCCCTACGAATATCCTGGTCCTCAAACACTCTCTGCTTCATTCGGAAAAATGCTGCACTCGCAGAGCTCAGGCAATGTTGTATTTCGGTGTCGATGTTGACTTTGGTGGAGAGGTGGCTGCCAAGGTAGTGGAAATGGTCAACATTTTCTAATGTTGCACCATTAAGCTGTATTTCTGGCATTGGAGAGGGATCGGCTGGTGACTGCTGGAAGAGCACTTTGGGGAAATAGACCCTGACATTTGGGAGTTGTAGTTACTGGGATTTATAGTTCACCTACAATCAAAGAGCATTTTGAACCCCACCAACGACAGAATTGGGGAAAACTTCCGACACAGAACCCCAATGACCAACAGAAAATACTTAAGGCCATCCAGTCCAACTCCCTTCACCAGGGCAAGAAAACATAAACAAAGCCCTCCTGACAAAGAGCCATCCAGCCATAGATAGAGATAGATCGCTATGATTCATGCACACAGAGATATAGTGTCATAGATTTGAAAGGGACCCCTAAAGAAGAAAAAAATATATTTAGCATGTTCTAGAGTAGGCAAACCAGACAATCTCTACATCAACACTGACAAAGAAACAGCAAGAAGTGCTGTTTACCCACAAGCATAAAGAAATTGCATATATTAGAATCCAACACTTTCTCATTACTTTATTTTCCAGATCAACAGACTGGGCCACAGCAACGTGTGGCAGGGGACTTTCACCATCCTGTTCATAGCATCACACATACAGTACTTTATGTTTCTTGGCTGTTCCCACTGCCACCTTCAGCTTCATCAGTTTGTATCTGTAGAGCATATTGCAGCATGACAGAGGCATCTGTGCCTGTAATAACTAACTGCCTAGCAGGGGGGAAAATCAAATTCAAGAATTTTTGTTTCTCACCACCAAATTGTGATGCTGTGAAAAGCTATAGTGGGTTTTGGGCGGTTATATAACACTTACTTAGCTGTTATACAACATTAGGGCCCCATCTAAATAAATAAATCTACGCTGCCAGATAAAACCCAGATTATCTACTTTGAAGTGGATTACATGGCTGTGTGGACTCATATAATCCAGTTCAAAGAAGATAATGTGGATTATCTGCTTTGATCATCTGGATTATATGGCAGTGTAGATGGGGGTGTAAGTCAACAGGACCAATGAATAAAAGAAAGAAGTTGGCAACCTTGCATGTTTTAAGCCGCATCTACACAGCCATATATTCCAGATGTTCAAATCAGATAATCTACATTATCTGCTTTGAACTGGATTATATGAGTCTACACTACCATATTATCCAGCTCAAAGCAGATAATCTGGATTATATATAGCAGTGTAGAAGGGGCCTATAATAATAATAATAACAATAATAATAATAATAATAATAATAATAATAATATTTATTCCCCGCTTTATCAACCCAAAGGGGACTCAAAGTGGCTTGACATAAAAGCATTAGTATACAATTTAAAATATACAAATATACAAATGTTAAGGGCCCCTTCCATATAACCCAATCACAATCAAAATCCATCAAAAATATATTCAAAGTTAAAAACCATAGCACCCCCTGACTAGATTTTAAACATAAGATATGTTGATCTTATATAAAACAGGTGTTGTGTTATTGGTTATCTACAAAACTGGATTGAGATATTGGATTATTGACCCAAAACAATACCACATATCTCCTGGCTAAGGCAAACTGCACGTAAGGCCAATAAAAATTTGCGGTAGTAAACAACAGGATTTTCTGGTGATCGATTGTAACTTGATAGTTCACTTTAGTTCCTTCGACTATTCTTAATAGCTCCAGCTGCTGGCTTCTCTTCCTGCCTCAACACAACTATAGATAAAGCGCAAACTGCTACTTAAAAGGTATGATGTCTTCCTAGCATCACATAGTGAGGCAGATTACTCTGCAGTTAGAGTAGAGGTATCACTTGGTAAGTTGGAGGCTTGAAGCAGATGTAACATTTATTGCACACTAGCTTGGGTATCTGGTGTTGCCTGGGTCATTTAAAAATGTCAATTTTTAATTGTAAAAGATGCATAAGGTTGTGGGTGAACTACAACTTACATCAATCCTGGTTAACCCCAAGAAACTCCATCAAGACTTAAAGTTTGTTGTGTTGGGCAAGTTTGCTCTAGATCAGGCATGAGCAAACTTCAGCCTTCCAGATGTTTTGGACTTCACCTCCCACTATTCCTGACAGCCGATAGGCTGTTAGGAATTGTGGGAGTTAAAGTCCAAAACACCTGGAGGGCCGAAGTTTGCCCATGCCTGCTCTAGATGCATCATCGGCAGGGTTCAGTGTGCTCTCTGGCTGTAGGGTCATCTATAACTCCCACCATGGCGAGTCAGTCCCCTCAAACCCCTCCACTAGGTTAAGTTAGTCACGGAGGGTTCTGTGTGCCAAGTTTGGTTCAGGTCCATCATTGGTGGAGGTCACAGTTTCTCTGGTTGTGGGTGAACTACAGTTCTCAGAAAGGAGGGTCAATTCACCTCGAACCCCTCCAATAATTAAATTTTGGTATATCAGGTCTGTGTGCCAAGTTTGGTCCAGATCGATTGGTGTTTGGGTTCACAGTGCTCTCTGGATGTAGGTGAACTACAACCCCCCCAAACCAAGGTGAATTTTCTCCAAAGACCTCCAGTACTTTTTGTTAGTCGTGGGGGTTCTGTGGGCCAAGTTTGGTCTAATTCCATCTTTAGTGGAGTTCAGAGTGCTCATTGATTGTAGTGAACTATAAATCCCAATACCTGCAACTCCAAAATGTCCACACCAATTCCCCTCAAAACCCACCAGTATTCAAATTTTGGGTATATCAAGTATGCATGCCAAGTTTGGTTCAGATCCATCATTGTTTGGGTTCATGGTATGCTCTGGATGTAGGTGAACTACAACTCCTATAAATCCCTCCAAAGACCTCCAGTTTGTTTGTTTGTTTGTTTTTTGTTTGTTTGTTTGTTTTGTTGGTCATGGGGCTTGTGTGTGACAACTTAGTTCCAGGTCCACCATAGGTGGAGTTCAGAGTGCTCTTAGATTGTAGGTGAACTATATACCCCAGTATCTACAACTTCTATAAATCGTGGTGAATTCTCTCCAAACCTCTGTAGTATGTTCAATTGCTGATCAATTCCTCTGTTTGCTGTGTGCCATAGAAAAGAACAGGAAAGGGTTAAGGGGAAGGCAGTGGGTGGGGTCATGCAAATTCCACACCAATGGATAGAGTCAGAGACACTGGGATGTCTGTGGTGAAGGAAACACATAAAATCTAGGAAGAAATGGTGAAAGCCTTTACTTGGGTGGTGGACAGTATGGTGTTTGTGGAGGGCATTGGCAGGGCTCTTGTAAATGCTCATGGTGCTCACTATAACCTGCAATATCCTTGGAGGGAGGGCCTTTAATGTCTCCTAAGTAGTGGGAGCAATAGCTGTTTGTGGAGGCAGGAGTTTGTCTCTGGAAATGGACACCCTAGCTACATACATACACAACACAAGGCACTAAAACAGAGATGGGAATCCTGCAGTTCATAGACTGAATTGATTCTATTTACATTTGTTTCCATGAATGTCCAACATTTAGCACTGGATGTCCACTGGTGTGCATGACTTAAACATGCCTTGGAACTGGAGTTTGAAATCAGGTTACGTATGTAACTCTGCATATGTACTCTAGATGGCAAAAGAGAGCAAGGAGAATTGGAAGAAGCTGCTTTATATTAGGTTATGCATATTTTATCTCGGTGATGTATATCATTGTTTCACAACATAATGAGGACAAGATAGAAGGAATGTTA